TACATATTGCATTGGTCCTTTCTATTATTGGACGTCACATCACCAATATGATCATATCATCTCTGGGGCTAAATTCAGGATGCATTATTTCAGCTGTGGGCTACTGCACTCACTCTAAAGTCTAAACCGCCTCTCATTGCATTCCCGTTTTAGTCACTGCTCTGCTTTCTTACCCTGGCCATGGTTGTAGGGAACCCCATGAAGAGCACTATCAGCAACCCCCCCCCCGGGGGGGTTCCTCTTGAATTGACCTCATTCGCTTAATTTATTACAACTAAACCTGTCAAGATCGTATAAGAATCTTTCCCCCTTATGATACAACAGTTTGAATATGGGTATGTGTATGCATGTGTTACATAATACAAGTAATTTGTGTTGGTAAATTAAAAAAATTACAAGTAACTTGTTCGAAACCAAGTTAATTAAAATAAGGCTCAGAGCTCTAACACTGAAGGAAAAAAGTATGTCGGTGGAAAAAGGAAGCGAATGTAAAGCGGAGGGATTCATTGCTTAATTACAAATGATATAACGGATCACCAAAATCATTGATAATGAATCCTACGATGAATTTCGATCATGATTTGCCAACACGTTCATTTCATTTTCAGTGTGTCAGTGTTTGCCCAGCACCAAAACGCATCGAAACCGCATACGACGATATTTCTTTTCACTTGACAGCAGAGTTTTGCGCAAATCAACAGGGGGAAAAAAAGAAAAATTTCCACATATGAAAATGAAGATTGAGATATGGTAACAATAATCGAGTTATTCAGTTTCAGGAAATACCGTATTTAGGGCGGCAATTTGAGAAGGAGGATGCTGGCTTGGAATGAGAATAGGAGCGCTGGGTTTCTCTTTTCCCGATGCAGATCGACGAACAGCTTCTAGTGGAACTTTACATTGCACAACATGGGGGGTCGTCCTCCCTCATTATATAGCGCACTTGTTCCCATAAATATAGCGAAAGACAGTGATATCCATCTTGTGCACCTATCGTTAGAAAAAGAAAAAACGAAAATTGAAATTAAAAAAAAAAACTAAGAAAGAAAGAAAAATGTTCGATTCTTTACAAGGAGAATTTGTGTTGGTGTGGCTCAGTTGGATCATGATGAAACCCCAGAGTGAGTTTGAAAGTCTCTTTCTTTGCTTTAGGTTGTCTCTGGTTGATGTGATCGCACTGTAACCAACGAAAGCCGGAGGCTTTAAACATCGAGGGTGTGCGCTTTTGAGTCGGTTCTAAATATAAAACCCTTATATTAGTATCTATAAAAATTTTATATTTAAAATTAAAAAAATATAATTAAAAGCAAAATTATATTGATTAATACAAGGACAAACAAAAGCCGCTTTTAGATTCATTACCATTGCACGACCACATTTTCAACTCTGGCTGACTAAGCATGGACAAACACGCCAGATTGTTTCGCCCAATTAATTACCTTGTTGCACCATCCGCTTAGCTTTTGGAAACCGGCTTTATGTTTTCGTCTCCTGGACGGTCAGATTTATCGCTTAAGATGTACTATTTCCTCTCGTCTTATATAAACTTCAAATAACTAAATACTATTTAATAAACAAGTAGTTAAAATTAATTAAAAATATATATATTAAATATACTCTTAGTTATGATGAAAATAAATAAAAGAGATAATAAATAGATAAATGATAAAAGAGAATATATGGAGCGTATGCATTACAAAGAGATGGAATGAATTGTTAAAATAATTAAGTGCCATTCTCTCCATTCTCTAATTGTCATTTTTCTCCTATGCTCTCTGTGGTTTATTATGAATAAGAGTATTTCTCTCATTCCAAAGTGTCATCTCTCTCCCTATCTCGTAAATAGTTAGCCACATTTCTAATTAATGCTATTTATAGTCATTAGAAAAATAAAACACTAAATACAATTAAGTGCAAAATTGGAGAAAAAAGTATTAAATGTTCAAACAAAACTTAAAATGAAGCTTGTAATTTAGACCAGAACCTCTTCAAAAATGAAGTTTATATATAAGACCAGAGAAGATATTTTAAAAAAAATGTAAACATATATGTCAAAAATTCAAAATATGCGCATTGAGAGAAAATCTTGATATATAAAATTGTATTATACTACCTCCAGTCCTAATTATAAGATATCGTTTATAGTCACATATAAAGTCTTATAATTAAAATATGAGGTAGCAGCACATACATATTGCACTTTTCAGAATAAGGATAATGATATTGATATTCGAGTGATTTTAAATAGTTGTAAATCTTAATAGCATAGTTTTCAAAATGCCAGTAATGTTTTTTTCAAAGTATTCAAACGCCATGAATAAGACAAAAGCACAACACTGTCATGGGTTAATTGTAAATGCCACGACAAAGTATAATTGTGTACCCCTCTATACTTCTGTTGTCGCTTTTGAATTATAATTGAAGGATTTGTAGCTTATAAATAATAGGCATATACTATCTCCGGTCCTAATTATAAAACTCAGTTGACTAATTTGAGGAGATTAAGAAAGTAAGTTAATTTAGTTATTTGTAATAAATAAGTGTTGTCATTCCTAAAATATCCTTGCTAATTAAGTGTATTGGCTAAAACTATCATGATTAGAAGGACTATTTTGGAAAAAAATACATAAATATGAGAGACAAAATGGATTGGGGTCTTATAATTAGGACCAAACAAAAAGTCAAACGGAATCTTATATTAAGGACCGGAAGTAGTATTAAGTAATTTGTAAGTTTGAAGTGAATAACAACGTATCTCCGTATTTTCTCCCCAAGTTTTTCGTCTTGTTCGTCTTTTTCATCTCAAATCCCTTATATTTTCCTGGTTTCTTCACACGCTGAAACATTTCCAGGTTATTATAGATGGCTAGCCCTCCAATCCACCCCTTTTCTTTTGTTTCAAGTGTGAAACCATATATTGGGTTAGTGGGTTGGTGGGTTAATTGTAATGCTTATCCACCTGTGTCCGAACACTACTTGTGCATTCGATTATGTCTAAATAAATAGAAGACAGCTGTCTTATGTGGAAGAAGCATGCATATGAAAAATGTCAAAAATAATATTGTTGAGATCTTCAAAGTGAACAAAAAGGGTAGAGACCACTCTTGCTGCAACCGGACCAAGGAGAGAAAACGAAGAAGAAGACTTTACAAAAAGAGAAGCTTTTAGAATTGAAAGAAGGAATTGGTAAGCTAAAGAAGCATGGTCTCCGAGGGTTAATGATTGAAATCTCATCAATTTGGTGCTTTTGAGGAGAAATTAATACATTGCAAGGAGAGTTCATGCATCCGTCCATGACAGCTATGTATCCCATTATCCCAGAGACCCATCAGTTTTGTTTCTCATTATTATAATTGTCAGCCCAGAGCTACCTAGTTTGTACTCTTACGCTTTAGACTCGTCTTTGCTGATGGAATCTTCTAAGAGTGGGATGAGTTCTGATTGAACAAAGTGAAAAAAAAGAAAAAAAAGATTCAAGCTAGCCAGCAGAACCATCATTGCAGCATGGAATATGAGAAATTTGTACAGAAGTTTGAAGAAACTGATCGGCACTTTCATTATAACATGGAAGGATGGTGGGTCACTGCGCTAGAACGTCGTGGTCACACCCCTGATTGAAAATGTACTGCTTCGACTTTCACATTGAGTGGATCCAATCCATTGGAGTGCTTGATGACCATATATGCTCGAATAGTACATATTGTTTCATATCCTATTGGTTTGGTTGACCTCTTTCGTTATATTTGGGTTTTGTTTAAACTTGGGCACATTCGAGGGAATCTGAAACAAAATCTACTTTTGTGAAAAAGTCGAAGCCAAAGCATAGGACAAGCCATGGATGAGATTGATTAAAATTCAAAAGAGACTCAGACAGCATCATCGTGGACTGTGTACGTGTGCGCTGTGCAGCCGTCATATTAGATTCAAACTCGAATCATTACCCAGAAAAAGAAAAGGTCGATGAGTCTCTCTGAAGGAAGAAATCTAATCGATTATATTGCAGTTAGCATTCAAACAAACCCATAAAAAACAAATATTTATAGCTACTTGGTTATGTAATAATGATTTCGTTATGGATGAAGATGAAGGTCTCTGTCTGCAGGTTAGCTTTGTGATCGCATTATGAGGACAATCGGAATGTCGAATTTGACCGCATGATTAGGTCGCCCCCGGACGGAATGATTTCGTCAAAATACATAAACCTAATAATGAAATTAGATGCTCTGGAGTTATCGAAACACACAATAAATTAAAACAATATAATTACTTCCTTATATCTTTATTTATTATAAGATCTTATAATAAGGATCGGAAGTAGTATATATGACCTCATTTTTTTGTAAGTAAATATTTCATATATGCATAATTAATTTCATATCAAAGATTCTGATGCAAAATTAAGTTTAAAAAAAATGTCCTTTACAATATAGTAAACATAGTTAATAAGAATATAGCAAGTCATCAATTAATTGGTCGAATCGCCAAATGATTGATATATTCAGTTTTAAAAAAATACGACAAAAATAGTTTAAATTGAGGTTGACGATCACATTTTTTTTTTTTACAAAAAACTGTTGGATAATAACATTTATTTTCATGTAATAAAGTCAGACGAACGATCAACTTTTAAATCAAATCAAAAGAAAGGAAATAATTAAGGATATATATATATATATATATATGTCTGCATGGAAGAATAGAAAAGTAGACGCAACAACAAAACAAAGAGGCAATAATAATGGAGATGGGTGCATTTAAAATATAAAGGCAGAGCAGCACTTCTGCTTCGCTCTCTGTCCAACTTCTGCATGCAGCTTTCATCTGCTTTCTTTCTTGTCCTGCACTTACTGAGAGTGAAACGTCTTCAATTTTGTTTCTTGTATTCTTCTTTGCTGAACATTAATTGTAGAAGTATGAGATTTTCCAAAAAAGAAAAATTAAAAATTGCAGAAAAATAAAATAATAGAACATATATATATATATATAGGAGGAGATAACACTTAGAGATCGTGAATTTCATATCAACGGAACGGCATTCATTCATTTACATTTACTGATACACTCGGCACTAGTATATATATGTCAAACATATACATACGCAGAAATCCCAGATCAGATCAAACATCACTAAATGAACGTATCTATCTTAATTATAGAGCAAAACAAAAATACAGGCGGGGAGAAACAAATAAAAAATAGAAAGAGTAGTGAAAGAGACGGAGAAGGATGGGTCATGGTTGGAGTGCGGAAACACACAGCACGGAGTGTGCAGAGAGGGCTTTGAAGACGTCGCTTGCGCATGGCCTTGCTGTGGGATCCATGGCGGTGCAGTGCAGCGCCAGGTTCATGGTCTCTACGATGTCGTTCTGCTTCCCACCCTTCATTGTCGGGTCGACCCACGTTTCCCAATGACAATCCGAATAGCAATATCGGGCCCACTCCACTATGCCCCCCTCCTCCTCCTCCGCCGCACTTCTTCCCGTCAACAATTCTATCACAATAACACCAAATCCATATACGTCGCTCTTCTCTGTCACGTCCTTCCCATTCCTTGCTTCTGCATGTTATAATAACAACATCGTTAGTAATAAACATATCAAGAATTCAAGTTACGTATCTGTCTATCGGCGGGCAAATTGAAATTAAGTTAGATGGCGATTTACTGACCTGGGGCAACGTAGGGAGAAGAAATGGAGCCCTTCGGCAATGCCAGAGGGCTCAGCTTCAAGCGTGGAATGTCGTCGCCGTCGATGAAAACGCTTTCCGGCGACATCTCACCGACAAAAATAACTGACGAGCATTGAGCATGCAGAAACTTCAGTGCTTTTGCAATCCCCACGGCGATTTTCCGTCGCCTTTCCCAGCTCAAGTTTCTCACTACTTGGCTTAAACTCTTTCCTTCTGCATCCTCATACAGCAAAAATGCTCCTTTTCCCGAACGACATAGTCCCGTCAATTTAAAAATGTTTGGATGCTGCTCCTTACCCAGCTCCACCATGTCTTCCCAGAAACTCAACGGAACTGAATTTAAGTCCCTGATTTCCTTCACCTCGAATTGCATGCCACTTGCCATGCACTTCCCTTCGTATGAAACCCAGTTCTTCCCTTAGAGATCACATTTCCTGCTTTGGCTGACGACAAAACATCGTCCATTGTGATCAATTTGGCAAACTTGGAATGGAAGAACTGAATCTCCCAGGTACCATCTTCGCTTTCCACTCTCTTAAGCTCCGAATGCCTCCTTCGACGAGAACAAGTAACTAGAGAGGCTGCTAATGCAAACGCCGCAAATCCGACCACAAACCACAGTAGGACAAACCATGGATTCCTATCGCTTTTTTTACAAGGCGGCAACCCCCTTGAAGTGTCGCCGGAACCACCACAGAGGTCGTTGCCAGTGACCGCGCTGGCATTAATTGCAAGGAAAGCTCCAGTGGCCGGTAAATGTCCATGAAAATGGTTGTAGGATATGTTCACCTGCACAAGAGATTCCACTCTGCCTAAATTCTCTGGAATTTGACCCCACAATTGGTTATCCGACAAATCCAGAAAGCTCAGAATCGGCAAGTCGCCGAGACTTGCCGGAATTTGGCCAGTGAGTTGATTGTGGCTAACATCTAAAGCACTAGCTTCCTGAACAAAGTGAGCTCTTGTGGGATATCACCATAGAGGTTGTTATTGCTCAGGTTCAATTGCATCAGCTCCGATAAGCCTCCAAACCCATGTGGAATATAACCAGAAAATCCATTTTCGGATAAGTCCAGTTTCTCCAATTTTTTACTACCAAAAGTGGTCGGTAGCTCACCGGAGAAGTTGTTGTTACCCAAATTCAGCATTTGAAGCGACGGCATACTCCACTGCCTATCATCAATCCTGCCGGAGAGTCGGTTACCGGAGATGTCCAATAGATATACCTGTGACAGTTGAGTTAGCCGGGACGGTAATTCACCGGAGAACTTGTTGTTCTGGAGACGAACTCGGCGCAAGCTTGTGCAAGTGGTTAAGCTATTTGGTATTTCCCCTTGAAGAGAGTTGGAGAAAAGGATAAGCTTGGAAAGAGCGCCCGAGCGACATAAGCTATCTGGGATTTTCCCAGAAAGTTTGTTGGTGGAAAGGTCCAGAACCGTAAGGTTATTATGCTTTCCCAAATCTTCTGGAATCTCACCCGTTAATCCGTTAGACCATAGCTGAAGAACTTGGAGGCGAGGCAGAGAGGTTATAGCGGTTTGGAATCCTACCGGTTAAGTTGTTGGAGAAAAGGTGTAGAATCTCTACTCTCTGAAGCTGAATTACGAGCTCCGGAATCTCACCAGCCAGAAAATTGTCACTGAGATCAAGCGAAACAAGCTTTTTAAGCTCAAAAACAGATGGTGGAATTCGACCTGTCAGCTTGTTTTGGTAGAGAAAAAGATACTCGAGATTAGTGAGGTTTCCCAGAGAGTCGGGAATGTGTCCCGTGAGGTTGTTGTAAACAAGATCAAGATGATTCAAATTCGTCAATGCTCCGATTCCCTGTGGAATCTCACCCGAGAGATTGTTGTACCCGAAATATATCCACTTCAAGCTCTTCATGAGGCCAATTTTTGGAGGGATTTCACCCACGAGCTGGTTGGAAGCCAAGGTCAAGTACTCTAAACCTGTCATGTTAGTGATGGAATCAGGAATCTTTCCCACCAAAGCGTTGCCTCCCAGATCAACATACCTCAGCCTCGTAAGCGATCCAATTTGATGGGATATCTCCCCGGAAAACATGTTGTTGGAGAGATCCAGAATTTGGATGCGGGAAAACGACAATGGGACAGGACCTGTGAAATTGTTGTTGCTAAGATTGAGATAGACAAGCGAAGAGAGAGAGAAAGAGATTCCCCCAGAGAGCTGATTGTCGGAGAGGTCAATGTGTTCAAGGTGTGGAAGTTGAAAAATGGAGAATGAGGATATATTATTGGAGGAGATGTTTTTGGAGGAGAGGTTTATGGCTCGAACGTTGGAGTTACTGTCGCAGGTGACACCGTTCCAGTGGCAGATACTAGCGGAAGAGGAATTGACCCAGCTCGAGAGATGGTGAAGTGGGTCGTTAATGGAAGCCTTGAACGACAATAGAAGCTCGCCTTCTTCTTTCTCATTGCACGCCACAAAGTTCATCATCATCATCAACATGATGATGAGTACACAAATAAACGTGACGCACCACTTCGTTTCAGGTTGCGCCATGGTTGTCACTGGAGTACAATCTCCCGATCAACCTCCTCTGGTCTCTTAGTAATAATCTGTCCTCGGATCCTAACCTGTGAACATTGCATTCAATGATTAATTAAACGTCCTTCACCTTTTAGCTAAAGATATATTAATTTATGCCATCTGAAAACAAGCAAGTAGATTATGCAAAAAATCTAAATATCATGCGAATTCCTCAGGTTACCTATGTAAGAACGAGAAGCCTGAGATCTTCCATTGCACAGGAATCCCTCAAAGAACATGCATGGCGATCAAACCCGGTAGTGTTGTATCCTCGCACGTAAAGCTGGTAGGTAGGGAGTAGCCTAGGTTTCTGGTTGAAGTTGCAGTGGTGTGGATGAAACTAAGATGGCTATAGAACTTAAGGAACGAGTTTAGAGGTGGGGAATGAACTAGCAGTTGTATTGGAAGAAGATAGGTAAGACGTGAGGGAGAAGAGTGAGCCTAAATTTAAATAGGTAGGAGGGTAGAAAATGGGGGATAGAGTTGGGAGATAATTACGAAATTGCACCTTGACTTGTTCTGAACATATACATGTTTTTAAGTTTGAACGTGAACGGTTGAAAGGGAAACAGGGACACATGTTAGGAAAAAGGCTCTGCTTTTGCCGGATTGTAAACAAAATGCTCTTTTTGACTGACTCACCCACTGAGAGACCACTTGGGATAGCGACCACAATTTACTAAATCACTATATATTAGATTTAATACGCATAATGATGCCTGTGCGTGTATGCCTTTGATGTAGTGCTTAATTATTTACTGGCATGGGTTAGTAATGATATGAGGAGTGAAAACTGAGACATGGAGAGTGTGATTTTGCTTTTGAAAGCAGTTTTGAGCGTAATCAAGTTTAAGTAATAATGAAGACAGCCACTATAGTATACTACAACGTTTGAATGAATGGGAGTTGTTGGGCGATTTGGGACTGATGATTATATGTGTTTGGAAAAGGCAAGGCCATTTATGCCTTAGGGGCTGTGTTTGGCCGTTTATGACTTGTCAATACCCAACTGTATGCAATTTACTGCTTGGATTTTGCTCCGTGGATTACTTGGGGTTGTGTTAATCATTAAGATTATCAAATCTTTGCACTCATTGGGCTACTTGCCTATTCCCTGTCAGACCGATTTATGACAAGTCATTCCTTATCAGATTATTCTTCAAACTCACTCCAAGGACTATATTGATGGGGATGGCACAGGACACACCAATATCAATATGAACCGGGTCCAATGTAATTCTCCCATAAAACAAGGGCAGATACTAAGATTGAGGAAGCACGATCAGCTTTCTTTACCCTTTGCTTGCTAGAAATTAAAAGCAAAGTGCTTGAACCCCTTTTGGTCTACTCTCTATATATTCACTGTCACAGTAGAGAGACATAACAAACAGAGAATGAATGGAAAGAAACAGAAGAAAGTGTTAGAGATATGTAGCACCTAATTGAGTTAAAAGCCAGGCACAGAGGAATGAGCAGAAGAATCGGGAAACTAAAGCAGCCCATAAAGTTGTTCCTTGTAGATCGTAAATTTGTAAAATTGTCCAGACAAATGCATGTGTATTTTTACAGTTTCATTTTGAAACTCTCCATCAAGGTGTAAGGGTTAAAAAAAAAAGGTTGGTAAAGTTTAAAAGGTGAGAAGGGATGAAACATGAGAATGTAAAGAAAGAAAGAAAGTTGGATGTCTTTTACGTTGGACATGAATACACAAGAACTCGTGCGCACATCAAGTTTGTTTCATTCATTTTTTTTTCCTGATTTCTGGTTCACTCTCCCCAAGCATGAAGACTGAAGAGATATGGGACCCACTGTGTCTTTCTCGAAGGAATATCCAGCGTCTGGTCTTTGTCACACTCAGCATGCTTTGCCCCATCCTCCATTTTCTGGGGTTTTACATTCGCCCACACCTTAAGAACCACCAAGACCTCTCTCTTCTTTCCCTCCACTATTGCTTCATTATTTAACACCCGTTACTTATCTATATAATTTAGTACCTATAGAGATAGAGCACGACGAATCGGAAACTATATAAGTTGGGTTGGTCATCAGATTTTGGCGTGCTGGGCACTTCCTTGTGAAGCTTCTACTTCTACCGGTTCCCACCATCTTACAAGTCTCATCATGTGCATACTCCAGTGATTTTAATATTAGAGCCCATTGCTTATCAACGTTAATTGTACATTATTGCTTGAGTAAAAGTGGATTTGTGCCAATATGCTGTAAAGAGTACTGCCTTCCAGAACTAGGTCTAGGTGATATATATAAATATAGTGCTTTCGCTAGTTTGTACTTAATTATACGAATTAATATGACACACTTTCCACTAGCTAGTATATGCTTTATGGTTTGTTCTTCTATGTGATCTTAGCAACAAAATGGCTGCCTTATATAAATCTGTATTCAGAGATTAGAAATGTATGTGTCATGGCGTGGAGCCAACCCACTTTGGTTAGATAAGGGCCTGAATCTCTCTTTTTGAAATTTGTAGGGCTTCCATGTTCTTCATTTTGGTGGTCCAGTTCAGTCACTCAAACCAAACTTTAATAATTATCTGATAAATCCAAAGCACTTTTTTATATTGAATAAAAGTTTCAATCTTTTTTTCCTTTGGGTATACGGGATCTCAAAGAGCAAAAAAAATCAAGCTACCCTTAGAATGTAAACTTTTGAAAGAGCACTGCATCCTGTAAAAATGTTAGGTTGGAAGGTCCACTCGAGATAGTGACTAACTCACCAAAGTGGATTAGCAGCCATATTTGGATATATATGGATGAGAACCACACGGACCAAAGCTGTGTGATAGTGCTTTGGGTTTGGATAAAAAACGCCATAGATTCCTCTAAAAGAGTAGGGGGTTAATTAAATTAATCAATTCCTTTTGATTTTTCGGTGTTTGGGACAGATGAATTCTTTTTGTTTGTAATGCATAAGTGAAACGCATCTGGAAAATCCCAATGGGCCATTGGAACCTAATCTGCAAATGATGCTATATATCAATCAAATGGGAACAAAGAAGCAGACATTTATTTTATTTGAATCAAACTAAAGTTAAAGTTGATTTGTACTGATTAACGTTTGGAAGACAGGTTATGTCGAATAACAGTTAGACATTGGGATCAATAATTTGTCTCAAAGGCTCCCTTCTCTGTTGCTCTCTATCTCTTTCACAAACACCCACGCATTTTGATATGTAGTCGCTCAATTATTTCGCGAATGAATGATTTTATGTAATTTTTGTTGACTACAAGTTTAGTTTTTTTTATTCATTATTAGATGCTATATTTATCTCCTAATGAAGTGGTAATCTGGTAGATCGTACATCTCGTGGAGTAAGGAGGACGGCCTTTGTTAGAAGTGAGACCATGAACACATATTGGGCCAGTAATAAATACGGGCTCTGCGGGATAATGGGCAAAGCGTTCAAAGTTCAAACCAGGCTCTATATATAAAGTCACTTTTACTAACAGAAGGTTAGTCACTAACAGGAGTTAAGTCCAACAAAGAGACTAATCCCTCATAACATGACGAATCAATTCGAATTTTTATTAGAAGAGATATTACATTTAGTGCCCGACAGTACCAAAATAGGTACATACGAATGAATATGAAAAAATTCCAGGAAGAATCAATAATAATTCAATTTGAGATTCAGAAAACAGGTGGGTCGATACTTAAGCATTTGCGGAAGCGTGTTAATTAAAATGATTATGAATGAAGCGAGCAAAACTGCGTGTTGTGTTATCCAGTAGGAGCCAAGTCTGGCGTTGGCGAGTATTGCACGGTATAATGTTTGGGACCATTAACAATTACACCACTCTCCATGATAAACATGAAGGGTGTGTTTGGATAGAATCCAAACCATGGTTTCAGAAGTGCTTTTACGGATTACGAAGTAAATATGTGGAGGAGATTATCTCGTTTTGCGGAAAAGTGCTTCTGAAACCACGGTTTGGGGATACCCAAACAGGCCCGAAGTCTATATCTAGTCTCGGGACCACCACCTAATTATTCTTTGCAACAATCAATGCGGAAACCATTGATCAACTTCTTTCTCATACTCACTCGGTCCGTGGTTATGAAAAACAATTAGAAAAATAACGCAATTCAAAATATTAAATAAATTTAGCTAAAAATAATAAATATATAAGACATATATATATTTTCAGGTATTCCCTTGTCCATGAAAAGAGTACATGAGAGATAATAAATATAAACTTGGGTGTGATTCAAAATCACTCCAAACTTGAGATTAATCCTTACCAGCTCGGGAGCATTTAAGATTAAAGTCCTCTAAACAAATGTGTTTCCTGAGATTTTATTACAGACAGACAACAAATAGTATATATTTAAAGGAGTTCAAACAACAAAATTTGAAAGAATAGTTTAAAATATCAAACAACAAGAATTTGTTTTTTATATTTAGAAATATCAGCACAAGAAATATCATTCTATCCGGTCAGCTTAATTGGTGGATCCTTCCTTTCTCCTCCCCTGACATAAAATGCATGCAACTCGTTCACTTGGGGTCGATATACATATATAGTAGTGTATATATATAATTTTTAGTGATGGAATCAACTTATGTAGTTCGTGCCTTTCTCCCCCACCTCTTTTTCTTTTTTCCTTGTAGATAGAAGTACAGATAATGTAAGAAGTTCGTTCCTGGGTTTTATATCAAACCTCTTAAACATGCAAAGAGACATGTCAGTTTTCTCTTTTATTTATTAACACCACTTTAATTCTTCCGATCCTGGGGAAGAAAGAGGCCCCAAAGCCCAATTAAATACCTAAATAAAACAAGGACGCGTGCGTTATGAAAACTATTAGAAGAAGGGCTCTTATGAAATGGAGGCCGGCCGGAGACATTTTTTGCTGTATAATCAAATTACAAGAAACTAATGGGAAATGAAGCATATGGAGACATTCACCCCCAAACAAAATAGGAAATTGATAGCTAAAAAGGAAACAAAAACAAGAACTAATTTAGAAGATAAGGGAGGGAGACCTATTGGCACCCAGTTCCAAAGGGATAAATAGATAGATGTACGTACACAGGCCGCAACACTCTAATTTATATATTTGTTCAAACGTACATTACACGCCTAGCTAAACTTATTCTACTTTTACACAATATTGGTTATCGTATTTTTCATGTGAAGTAGACGCTGGGTGTGGTTGTGCTGTTCTCCAGCTACCAATCAGGGACAGGGTGCAGAATGGAGTTATTATTAGTTCCTGCTTTAACTCAGGCTGAAATTGAAACGGCGATGCCATGTCAAACAATACTATATCCCACTTTCTGCATTAATTAATTAGGTCAGAGCTATTAAAAATCTTATGCACGTTCTTGGACCCGGACAAGATCAAACGGAAATGACAATGAATCCAAAAGGAGAAGAAACTAAGAAGTAAATAATGAAATCATTATCTGCTTTGTTTCGGAGACTACTGAAGTTAATCAGAGCATAAAGAGTATATATTGTGCATGTATGTAGTGACGGGTGAAAACTTAAAGCCTGATTCAGGGATAGCTAGTGCTTCGAGCAAGCTTGGACTTCCTTTTTTCCAAGCTCTTTTTAGCAAAATCCCTCATAGATAGGGTTAAATAGAGCTTGGGGTTGAGCCTAGTGGTAGTATTATAAGAGAGGCAGAAATCTCTGTGAAGGTTGAGGGCATCTTGCAGCGACACCTGAGGATCTCTCCCAGCTCTTTCTTTGACAGCAGCAGAACAAAGCCCACACAGCCACTCTCCACAATATCCTCCTTCAACCTCTGAGATGTAAGCCGAGGTGCACTCCTCCTTCAGCCCACAGCACTTACATTCCACTTCCTCCACCTCTTCATCAATAGTAGGAATAATCCTAGTACTATCGCTCTCTATTTTGCAATACTTTTCCATTTCGTATGACACATCGGCCGACACAGCCTTTCGAAGCTTTTGCTGCTTCTCTCCCTCCATATCTACTTGCGCCATGTCAGATACAAAAGCCCAATTCAACTCTGTGCTGATATTTTAGCAAGCAAGCAACACAAAACCAGACGAGAAATAAGTTTGAGGTATCTCAATCCTTGGACGATCTTGTCTATTTATAGTTGGGAGATTGAGATATCCTAGCTTCAAAATACACACAACAGGACTTTGATCACTTTAATATCGGAAAATGAAGAGAGATAAGGTTTTAGGGATGCCTTGAGTGACATACAACCGACAACAAAAACCCTTTACAGGCCAAGGTAACTGTATCTGTACATATAGAGTCTGCTTTTTAATCGCCATCAATGCGCAAATTGCACCACTAGCCTTGCAACAAGCAGCATGCAATTAACAGACCTGAACTGAGAAAAAGAAACGCTACTTGTTCAACACTTCCTTGTTTTGCCAAACTCTAGCTCGTGAAGATGATCAGAAGTGGCGCATGCATGCATGTATGCATGTATTTACTATTTGCAACAGGAATTTAACACTACTTATATACCGCACGCGTGGACATCGCTCCATCACCCAGTAAATACATCTATGTAGAGAGAGAGAGAGAGAGTACTTTGAATGGTATTATCTGCCATGAGTTGATCTCCGGTAAAATTGGGAGGGGGGATATCAGATTTAGAATCATATCATATATCTATGTTTGGTCGTATATATCAGTGAAAGTAATTAATGAAAAACAATTGCTTTGTCACTCTTAGTAGCTCTTTGGGTTATTAGTTTAAAAAATCAATTTTGTTTAGTTTGCATGACAAAACTCTTTTCACATATTTACTCTTTATAATCCCAAATCTCTCATTCATCAGTGACTGAAGCGGACGCGTAGTTTTATCCAACTTACATGGCATTTGGGACAAGCAATTACATGAATGGAACAGTTACTCTTGGGTGTTATATATATCCATTACGAGCGTTGGATAGCGACAAATGCAAAAGATGAGTAGTGATATTCACGTAATACATCGCACAAACCCTAGTTTCTGTGTATGCTATTTATCTCAGCTCTGATTCTTGGTTGTATTTATAAACTTCGATACCCCAAAGCATAAGCTAAATGAGAACGACCTGATCAAAGCTATTCCCCGATGGCCATGGCAAATTGATACGTGTACAGTACTTTTTCCGTTGCTCCTCCGTGGTGAACATCAAAGTCATGAGTCTTGACAAGTCCAAGTCCTCACATATTCTTCGTCTTCATGAAGAGAAGGTATGATTATGATCACGACGACACGATCAAGTTTTTTAACCTTTTACTGGTCCCTCCTGTCTTGCGGCTTTTCCAGTATATTCTTCTTCCACATTCCATAATATTTCCGTTTGAGACTTGATGAATGTGTATATAATACATCTATTGATGACGACATAATGGTCAAACTTTTTAATTTTACTTGAGAGCATTAATTTACCACAATAATGCAACGCGCGTCTTATTTTCTAACCGATACCCATTTTCTTATAAGGAAAAGGTAAATACTGGTAGTTGAATAATATGAAAACGAAGAAAACCAGCATAGCAGAATCTGTGGGCACTGGATAAGTGGAAAGATGGTCTCTAGAAAGCCAGCCAGCAACAGAGGTAAGTGCAGTTTAATTTAATGCATCATCTTTTTGGTTTCAGAAAAGATATTATTTGTTATGCTGTGTCTTGTCATGTCGCGAAGAAATTATCAGATGCGCAAGAAGAAATCCAAGATCACGAGAGAAAAATAATAAGCAGACGCATGTGAGATGCAAAATAAAGGAGGGTTGGGGGTACATTCATAGGTTTCTTGAAGGTTTCAAGAAAAAGTTGTGCTTTTTGGTTTTATATACCTATTATGGTGGAGATCAAAGGCTACATTCAGAAAATGACTCCTCCATCCCGAGGGCTTCACTTTAAAAAGGGGGGAAAATAAGGCTATCGGATCTGGACTAATCATTCTTTAACGAAAATGAGCACCATATTCAATTTTTCTTTTGTGTTTTAGTTTTAAAATTTATCTTGAAAAAATAAAAATAAAAATTTAAAAATTAACTTAAAAATAACAAATAATTTAGTAACCAAATTCAAAAATCACAATATAGAATGTGGTTTAAATTGGAGTGCTTTTTTTTTTTCAAGTAAGCACAAAGATTCTTGTACTAAGGGCAATTCTATTCAAGGTACTAACTATGAATACCTTTATCAGCAAAAATTTAAACTTTAGTTTGTTTCGTTGGAAGAAATTCGGATTGGTAATTGGAGTTCTTAGTGTATCACATGAGAGGCTTGTGTTATCCCACTCTTGGAAGCCTCGTCTTACAGGCCGAAAATACTCATTACTGTAAGGTAGTCGTAGGCCAGCCCAGGCAGATCAAAGGCCTCGTCAAAGAAATATTGTCTCTCTCATCATCCAAACCCGACCGAAAGTTTGCCCACACACTTTATATAACAGGCCTGCCTTTCAGAAAAGGAGGCTTAATTCACCACCCCCAAAACACACAGACACACGATCGTCATTTATTTCTAAGGAAACATTTCAGGTACGGACTCATTTAGGAAGTTAATTAAGCACGTTTATTTATTTTTTTTGATTATTTTGCACAGCTAGTGTTCTTCGCCAAAATGCCCATGGAACAATTAAAAAAAGGCAAAATGATGCCCTTTGTCCCTCTCCCCGTTGTCTTAGGCTCCAGGTCCAGGGCCACTTTCGGAACGGAGGTGCCAGCGCCTCCGACGACTTTTGTGGGGAATTTTCATACAGCTTCAGAAATATTTAAAAGAAAAACGATCACTCCTAATTAAACTTAGCATCGAGCATTCGAACATCTCGTGTTACATTTCTTTAAGCGTGATTTAGAGGTCAGAAAAACGAAATTTACGAGTGTCACTCTCAAATTAAGTAATCAAATTCAAGATTGCACATTGGTTTAATCTTCTTGATCTTCTATCCACTATTCCGCTACCTTTCACGGAACTGCTAATACGGTGCAATTGATCACAGCATTTGAATTTTACATATTAAATTCTAATTATTATCACCTCCGAGGGAAAAGATGAACTTTTTGTAAAGACAGCATCGAATTTTGAAATGGGTATTATTGGAGCGATAAAGTTAATTAATCACTTCGTAATGATTACAACCAAAGTAAAGGGATTGAGATGATCCCAAACAATACGGCGTGAATATTTATTAATCTTTTTTTTTTTGGGCGACCCTGAATATTAATTAATGGGCAGGTGGGGACTTCATTTTCCCATAATCAACCTACATCATGTGTCACCCATATATAATTTTTGACAATCATCAACTAATAATTAATAATTGACGACAAAGTATCCTGCACTACATAAAAGTAGTGTCGTCGGTTATCATTCGGATGCAAAAACGGCCTCATCATGAAACTGAAATATATCAATGGAAAATAATTTAACAAACGACCTTCCTCTTCGCGAGAGTAATTTTTTTCGCTAGGGTATATGTGCTTATGTACTGAAGTTTTGGACACTCCATAGAGCTGGCGTCTCTGTTCCCGGGGACGTGAAAGGAGATCCGAATAAATAATCGATGTCTCTGCAGATATTAAATGGTAAACATAAAGTATCCAAAAAGTTAATTATTATCGTGAAAATCTAACCATCCGCCTCAAAGTTTTATTTTCCAGCTTAATTTGATAATTATTATGTAAAAAAACTCCCACAATTATGCATACAAATTTCTCTAGTTCTTTATTTGGGGTCTGGATTGAGTATACAACTTGATAATATTTGATTGTTATACGCAATTAAAAAAAAGGTACGATATGGTTAGCATTATTGTAAGATATTAGGATTAATAATATGCCTCATTTGATGGAAGAATTTGAATATATAGAAGCGATATAGCCTTCTAATCCTTCTCGTAACTTCCCTAATCCTGCATTATTAAAAGTAAAATGTTGGTTTTGCCTTAACCATGAGTCCTTAACCACCCCCCAAAAGGCCAAAAAAGACTGGTGTGAGCTAATAGAAATTGTCTAACTTCTGAAGAGATGGTTGCCAGCCTCTCAGATCATCTTTTTTGTCGAGCACCCCAAAACGAATGCCAGATTTTTATCCATTATTTAGTAATAATTTTATAAACAGCCAGCACTAAACAAAAGCTGTGGTCCTACGTCCGTATTTAATTCAAGTGACACTATGACGGTGATCTTATTGTATATTACTCTATACTTTCCTCTCCAATAACCATGAGGACATCCACATTCCTTTGAAATTGATCAGGCTCTCTCGCTTTTCCCCAAAAAAACTCTTCCACTGAGTAAAGAAATATGTGTTGCCGTGTGTTGCACAGGACTTGGAAACCAATCTGTTTCAACTAATATATACCAAGTAATTCCATTATATTATTCCTAAATATTGCATTTATAGTACAATATATACTCTTCAGGTCTTTAATATAAGACCCATTTAATTAATTTGATTAAATTAAGGAAGTTAGGTAAGTTAGTTAATTACAAGAAATGTGACACGTTTTTTCTAAAATACCATAATCATTTTTCTTAATATCCTCTCTTCCTCTTCTATTTGATTATGGTTGAGGGAGTATCATATGGGTAATTTAGAAAAAATTGATAAATATGATAAATGGATCTTATATTTAAGACCAAAACCAACTCAACAATTAGGTCCTATATTAAAGACCAGAGGAGTGTATATATAGTAGGATATGCTGGGAAAGTGAAACCTAAGTAAGATAAATTTGAAATATGTTTGTCGAAGTGCATCATGTTTTAAACGAACGAAATGAAGGATGTAAAAGAAATATTAGCAGTAAATTAAATATCCATAAACTGACGACACGCACCCTGTATTATCATACGTTTCCATAAGAAAGTAAATCAGTAAGTGTCAGTTTGGAATAGATAATACTCCTCCGGTCCTTAATATAGGACCCAATTCTTGAGTTGGTTTTGATTCTAAATATAAGATCCATTTCTCATATTTATCAATTTTCTCTAAATTACCCCTAAAGATACTCCCTCAACTATAATCAAGTAGAAGAGGGAGAGGGGGTATTAAGAAAGATAATTATAGTGTTTTAGGAAAAATGTGTAACTTTTCTTATAATTAACTAACTTACCTAACTTCCTTAATCTAATCAAATTAGTTAAATAGGTATTATATTAAGGACCGGAGGAGTACAACTGTATATTATGGAGAAAGCTTAACATATCAGCCAACATCATAGACCATTCAGAAAATCATAACAATGTACGAAATGGCAAGCTGTGAAAGTTCTTAAAGAGGGAAATTACTGAGATGTATAGACCCAATATCAGATGCGAGAAAACCTTACTCTTCCTTCCACCATGTCTTGTTAGATGGTTCTCCTGTTCAGAAGCAACAATCACGTACGCACTCGCGCATGGCATGGCACTGAGTCTCTTTTTTGATGGGCTGCATCATCTGATATCCTCCACTTCGAACCCACAAAAGTATCGCGTTAATGGCGGATCCCAATACTTAGTGCTTCTCAACTCCACTTTTCCTCTGTTAACAATTAGACCAACTCAACATCATCATCATCATCAACATATCCTTCCCCCAGCTTTCGTAGATTTCACTCTTTTCATCTTCATGAAACACATAAATTAAACCAGCATATATTATTGTTGCCGATGATGATGAGCAGCTATATACCCTATGGTGTGTCTGTGTGTGTCACACACACACACACACACATCATTTAATTTGACTTGTTGTGGCACACTGCCCCTTCAAGTGTTGGCTTATTTTGTCAGGGCTGCTCTTAAACTGGAAACTGATGGATGATATATTAATGGAGCATAGTGATTGGCAGTTTGTAATAGTTGGACCAAGTCATGATGGCACACCTACTAATTCCAAATAACCCTCCCGACATCCTTTTTCTCTCTGCTTTACTAAATTTTCTCGCACCATCATCATTTGGTCTCGCAGTTAAAAATAGCATCACTTCAACAACGACCATCCGTCCATCTCCAACTAACCTCATAAAACTAGCCAAAAACCATTTACTATATAATACCATTATTGTACCTTTGCTCAAAATGATTACAATATCATGTGCTCACGAAATCAACAGTTCTCCCTCTCTCCATATATAACCTTACCTTGCCTCGAATATCGTTCTCAAGCCGCCCTATTTGTGGCCTCAGAAGAGAATAATAACCTCAATGACGGTTTTTCACCCGGCCAAAATGATGATTATATAACGCTCATGTATAGATAAACAGTAACATATAGTATAGCTTATGATCGAGTTTTGTGTAGAATAATAACATGGGCGTTAATCAGTGACGTACATGCTGCTAGGATATACTATTTCTCAAAGCCAGATCTCTATTATGCGCATTTTCGATAACTACAAACCAAACACTTTTTACTAATTAAAAAGGGAAAAAAATAATCAGTTCCAGAATGGATGCTTAGCCACTGGATATTTATAATGCATATTATTTACTCAATCACCGACTAGATTAGAGCCCACTTTGGATTCTTGATACTGTCATCATGACCGTAGGGCCGTGTATGGCATAAAATAAGCAAAGTGCTTGATAGACGGATTGTGGGTGTAGCTTTTGACATGTAAGGTGGGAACTAAATATCGATTATGTGGGATTAAAGGGAGTATTGCACCTAACTAAAGTTGTCATTTGAATTGAAGTCCCCCCCCCCACTTCCACTGCACCTTGCTTTGCTTTCTCCCTTCAGGAAAAAAAAAATTATAAGATTTTTTTAAAGAATATAAGGCATGCATTTTTTATTTTTCACCTGTAATTAATAAGTTTTTGTTTAAAATGCTCTTAATTGACGGTGTACCAGTAATTAATAGGGTTTTTCTAATTAAGTGAGTGATGCCTTATTAAATAAAGGTGAACTTGAAAAGAACGTATGGTTTTATAGGTTGGTAAATAACTTATTGAGTGATGTGTAAATCTGTTTAATCAGAGTGCTTTATATTTTCAAAGGGACGGAGTATGATTTATAATTATACATTTGTTGGCCAAACATATAGATATCCATTGATGTGTATATACGGAGTAAAAACTCACTCAAGTACGCTGCTAATACTGGCATACAGCTCCGGGTCCACAGCCTGGAAGATATCGAGCAATAAGGCCGAGACCTTAGAGGTCAAAAAGTAGCCATCTGTTTGGGTTGGTGGTATATATATGTCTCTGCCTCTCAATTCTTATCTAACCATTTTGAAGGTGGTCCCATTCGAGCATTCTATTGGGCGCCCTGTTTTTAGCCTTTAACAAAATAGGGACTTGGTTCGATTTCATTTATGTATGCACATGAACAAAGAAAGGGAAGGAATATATGTATCATATAATAACAACAAAAAGAGCTCATCCAATAGAAGGAAAAAAAGGCAGAGAAAAGAAAAGAAACGAAACACAATTAATTAAGGACAGTGCACAATAAAACTGTCATGATTAAAGCTCACCATCCATAACACAACGAAACAAACATCTGACCCCTTCTTTCTCTGGCCTTATCCTGCCTCTTCCCTTTCTTTAAATTTCCCTCCCCCACCTAAACCAAACCCTCTTCACTGATAAATACCGTCGCCCCCCTACCCTCTTGGACCACTCACTCAGTCTTCTTCCACACATATGAAATATGAAGCCGCACAGCGACACGCCCTTTTCTCTCCCAGACGTCTCTGACGTAACGTGCATGGACCCAGGCCGGCCGTCGTTGGTGGTGGAGAAGCTCTGCAAAACGGTGCGTTTGATCGGCTTCCTCGTACAGAACGGTGTCTCCAAAAGCAAAGTCATGCACGACGTTCACTTCATGATGAAGCGCGGCAAGAACTTGGGAAAGACCCTGAATAACGCCGTCGTCCGACACCACGAAGCTCTGACCTGCCGCTCACGTGACGCGCACTTGTCTTTCATTTCCCCCATGGAGTACCAGTTCAGCTGCAGCGGCAGTCCGCCTCGACTTTCCTACGCTGGCAGGCGGAAGGGCGGTTCTCCCCCCTACACGCGCCGCCAACACCATCACGCGCTCCATTATTCTCGTGAAACGCCGGTTCATAAGATCGCAGGATTGTGTCGTGGCGACGAGGACACGCTGGTGGCATCGGCTCTGGGGAATTATTCAACAAAAGGGCGAGCGAAAATAACAGGACCGAGTTCCATGCTAAGCGACGACGTCGTAGAGGAAGAATACCGCGTGGACGAGGCCGCAGAAGAGTTCATAGAGAGGTTTTACAGAGAGTTGAGGTTGCAGAAATGGTTGGATCACTGTTGCTGATTTGTGGTTGTGTGCCCATCTGGCAGTTTGTGATTGGCCAAAAGCTCTTAAGGCAATATGTATTTGATGACTAGTTGTATCTCCCTGCTTCTCACTGTAAATTCCAATCTCATTCCACAAATTAACACTAGTTGTTAGGTTTTATTTATGCCTAACAGATCGCGTGCCTTAGTTTTGTTAGTTCCATGGGTGTGTACGCACACAGTCCTACACATGTGCGTTAAAATATTAAGTACAATTGAATGATATCCCAAGCGGAAGTGAAACCGACTGAAGCAGTAGATGGGTGCGTTAAAAAATAAGAGAAGGCTTGAGGGAACGGTTGGTTTTTAAACACAAGACGATTATGTAAGAAACCCGAGAAGAATACGAAAGAAGAAGCGGGGGAGATCAATATATATAAGGCACCTTTGGAATGGCTTGTATTTCGATAGGTGATTTACGAAATATAAAATAAATATATAAAAAGAGTCTTATATTACTTACATTTTAGTATTTATATGTAATTTCGAATGTGATGACAAACGGAGCCGCAGTGTAATCACAATTCAAAAGATGATAGTGTTTAAATGAATTTTCATTCACAATAATGAGACGCGCAGTTCCTTGAATTTCCTTCTAACATGAGTAACAGGATGGGGTGTTTTAAAAAAAAAAAAAAATTCAGGTCCGTCCCAAAAGAAGGAAGAGACGAGAGAGAGGGAAGCGGTGAGGAAAGGCTGTGGGGGCAGCCACGAAGTCCGCGTCCGTCCCATCGAAACTAACGATCAAGGCAAATTCTGGCCCATGATATCAATCGCTCGGTTATGGGATGGGAAGCTTCGCCGCCGTATATATTTTGCTAATCTCATTTTTACTATTTTGAGCCTAATAAAGAAATCGACCTGTTGGAAGATGACTATTGCTGCTATTTTCTCACCATTATTAGTCGGGTTTAAATCTACGAGTACACTAAGAGCCTGTTTAGGATAGCGGTGAAAATCCCTTATAAGCACATTTTACGTAAACTGAGATAAAACTCTTCTACATACTTATCTCGTATTTTGTAAATCATGATTAAAAATTACTCATAAGCTATTCTAAACAAGCCCTAACTAATTTTCATATTTGTTATTTTATCAGTTGAGAGCCCCTCGGCCTTGATGGTAACTTGAATCCACTGTGCGTTGAAAAGTGGCTTCTTCAGCTTGCCTCTGAATTCTGATCCTACTCTTGCGGTCTTGCCCTCTAACTTCAAGTTCTATTTAAAAAAAAAAACAAAAAACTTGACGCCACTCCGTCTATCAAATTTCCCCAATACACATACGTATGTATATCTAAACTAGATATTTTCCACTGCGTTGGTTTTTTCTAAAAAAATTTTTGGGCACATAAGCATCCTCCTAATAGAATTAATCCATACTATAGAGTACTAAATATGGATATCTCTCTTAATAATAATTCAAACATTAATTTGGTATGTTGCAAGAGATAAATTTTTTGGCTGGACCAGTTCATATTAGTTGCTTTAAGTCAATAGGGTAGTGAGTGGCAGCTGAATCATAGCAAAACCTATTTTTGGGCCACTCATTTTGGCAAAGCCTTTTTTTTTTGGTTGCCCACCCAGTTTACTGGAGTTTTATTCTGACTATATCTAGATCCGACCCGTGTCATGCACCTAGCTGTGGTGGGTGAGTCTTCCAACGGAGATTTCTACATACGTTGAGACTCGAACTCGAGACCTCACTTAAACGGTACCAAGCCGCTTACCACTTAAACCAATCATTTTTGGCAAAGCCTAACTAGTTGGACTTGCCAGAGGCATTGAGGGCAATGAGGGGCGTTGAGCGTCTTTTGGGTTTTATTGAATGGGCTTTAACTCGGGTGCATCATGAAACTGGGTTTTGGGCTGGAGACGCGGGGTTTATAGATCCGCTGAGACTGAGGCTTCATTATCGCGCGTGCCCGCGTTTATAAATTTATTTATTTATGTTTTCACGAGTTCCATGCTGAAAGTGAAAAACATTAATATGTTTTTATTAAAAAAATAAAAAACACAACGCACACATTAATATGTAGATGACAGTAGAACCAAATTTCCTTATGGGCTACGATATTGAGTTGTTGACGGCGTCGTTTTTAAGACGGAACATGAACATCATAGATTTACTATGTTTTTTGCCAGCCATAAGTTTACAATTACCATGTTGTTTTATTCACGATGCAAAAAAGTTGCCCCGTCTCTTTAATTTGGATGACATGGGAGTTTTGTTAAAAGTTTGTTCTTTTCTCCTTTAAAACCAACGAACAAACAAACGAAAGACGATCCTGGGACTGAAGCTTCGAATTACAAACCACCACGCAGCCTGATCAAGGCTTGCAATGGACGGAAGAAATGGGCCATACCGTTCTTATCAAGATCCATTAATTCCTGCCCTCCTTATTTAGAATGATTATTCCGCTATTATTAGTAAACTATGCTCTGGAGACAGACAGACAGTACCAGTTAAATTTAAATGGAATTCGTGACAAAAATATTTTTAATTTGTAAACAGATTACAATATTGGTTTCTCTTTGATGCTTCACGCATAACTTGACTTTCCTCTGGTACGTTCTTCTGTTCAGACCTTTTCAGTATTAAGTTAACATTCTGTAGACACATTTTTGCTCATAGTCCTGGAATTCCAATGAAAATTGTTAAAAGAAATTATCAGTTTGCCGGGAGAGTCGAATTAATAAATGGCTGTTTATTTGCAGTTAAAAATAAATAATTAGCAGAGTAGTGACTTATTCGTCATTCTTTTAACTTCATCGTTCTGCTGTCAGTGATGAAACATAGTTTGCTAACTACTACCTCTTGTCCTAAACATAAGAGCTAGTTCATTAATTTGAGTAGATTAAGAAAATAAGTTAAGTTAGTTATTTGTAATAAATATGTGTTGTTTTTCCTAAAATATCTTTATTAATCAAGTTTATTGGCTTGAACTACTATTATTAGAGGGACTATTTTAAAAATAAATAAATAAATATGATAGACAAGGTGGATTGTGGTATTATATTTAAGACCAAGATAAAAGTCAAACAATGTCTTATATTAAAAATCGGAAGCAATATTTCTTTGTTTATTTTTTTTGGGTAAAAGCTCGTCAAAGAAAATTTCTCCAGGCTTACAAAAGTAAGCTAGTGCACGAGCTGTATCAGAGCACGGGGATCAAGATTAGAAAAAGGGTTAATTAATCTGTAAGTTCTTATAGTTTCAACCAATTTTAAATTAAGTTCCTATAGTTTTTTTTTTCTTTTTATAAAATCCTTATACTTTTAGCTGTTTTTAATTAGGTTATTGTATTTATTTTTCTTTTTATCAAATCCTTATAATTTCACTAAATTTAATCAGGTCCATGTAGTTTTAATTTTCATTTATTAATTAAGTATAAACTTAATTAAATAGATTAATACTGAAATATAAAATATTGATAATGAAATTAAATTACTAATTATATAATAAAAATAAGTAATATAATTAATTAATCCAGGAAATTTTTTTAGAACAATTAATATTTTCTTGCTGGCAAAAAATAAAATTATTATAATAATTCATTATTTTTAGAATATTATTGTTTATAAACTAATATTAAATAATATATACTATTTTATGGTAATAGAATAGTAATATTATAATTTATAAAATAAAGAATAAAAAGTTCAGGGACTTAATTAAAAACAAGGTAAACTTACAAGGATTTGATAAAAAGAAAAATAAATATAAGGACTTAATTAAAAACAGGTGAAGATATAAGGACCTGATAAAAAGAAAAAAAAACTATAACGGCCTAATTTAAAATTAGTTAAAACTATAAAGACTTACAGATTAATTATCTCGATGAATGGAGCCGTGAGACACGAGAAGTCATGTTTTCTCATGTCATTTTCTTTAACGCGTGCACGCGCATATATGTATAAACATGATATAGGGGGTGTTTGGGTGATTGCCCAAACCATGGTTTGGGAAAAAATTACCTAAACACCTATCAATTTTTCAAAACCATGGTTTTATGATAAAACCATGGTTTGCCTATCAAAACCAAGGTTTTGTAATAAACTAAAAATTTTTGCTTTTTGAGTGGTTCTCCCCCACCCCCTACGTATGGTAATTTTTTTTTTTGGTTAAAAATAATTATTTAGTTTTCTAAAAACATAATCTTATATTTTATAATTATATATACACATATTAACAATTACCACATCTTGTTTTTAATATAAGACCTCATTTGATTTTTATTTGGTCCTAAATATAAAACCTCAATTTACTTTATTTCTCATATTTGTCTATCGTTTTTTAAGTTATAACCAATAAACTTGATTAATAGGAATATCGTAGGAAAGGCAACACCTGTTTATTACAAATAACTAACTTAACTTATTTTTTTAATTTACTCAAATTAGTCAACTAACTCTTACATTTACAACTGGATATAGTAATTAATATATGTTTTTATACATTGTTTATTATGTTGGCAAAAAAAATTAATAAATTTATTATTTCGGTTTTTAATGTAGGACCTAATTGGAGAGTTAATATTGGTTCAAATGTAAGATTATTGTTCCAGTCATTGATGTAAAACCTAATTAGAGAGTTAATATATAGACAAGGTCTTAATACCTTCATCAATAGAATCTTCATTTCACATGGCTCGGTTTCGTGACTCCATAAGAGATCAAATTATTCACTATATACAAGAATAATCATGTCCCTTTTATTTTCTTTTTTCTTTTCAGATAATGTAATGTGTTGTTAAAAAAAACTATTTGAACAAATATATTTCGTTGCAACCTCTATTATTAAAACAATTAATATGAAATTTTTTTGTGTGGTTATTTAATTTTGTGGAAAAAAAAAGGGATTTCATCTTTAAAATTTTTAAGAAATAATAATATTTTTTTGGCAAAGTAAATCATTTTCCTAAAAACATATTTAATTATTTTATTAATATATATACACTTTAATTTTTTATTAATTATATTATTTATGTCTTATTTATTATGTTGCCAAAATATATGTTATTAACAAATTTATTACTTCAAATAAACATATATTATGAAATATATCTTACATGTAATTATCATTTAAACTTATGTCCTTTTTAGTAATTTCTACATATCAAAAAGCACTTCTGACAACAATTATCCAAACACTCTCATTTTATCAGAATCACTTTTTCAAAAAATCTATTCTTTCAAAATCTATTATCTCTAGAATCTATTCTCCAGAAGTCATTCTCCAAACTATAGTTTTGCCTCGTCCAAACACTCCCACAGTTAAATGCCAATAATCGGTGTTTCCCGGATGACGATGGTGATGCATGGCTTGAGCAGCTGTTATAATAGTCACCTCTACATAGATAGATCGAAATAAAACTTTTATCTCACATTTTCCTTGTATAATATAAAAGTACTCAGGCTGCATTTGGTATTACAATTAAAAATACTTATAAACATGTTTCATATAAGTTGAGGCAAAATTATTTACCAATGTTTTATTTGATAAATCACAACTGAAAAATTATTTATAAACTATTCCAAACAAGTAACATTCCCTAAATTACACCACAACCCTGTTTCTTAAGTTTAAAAAATCCTTAAACACTTGTGCGGGGGATTATTGGGGCAAGCTGCTTGGATTGGATGGAAAGAAAAGCAAAAAAAAAAAAAGAAAAGAAAAGAAAAGAAAGAAAATGAAAAAAAGGATAATAAAAATATTAGCACTCATCTTACTTAGATGAATAAAAAAACATAAAAAAAAGAAATGAGTAAATATCAGAATAACTAAAATATCTTTATTATAAATAAATAGCATAGAAATTAAATAATTCAGCAAACAGAAATTATTTTTGTAGCTTAAAAAAAATAAAAAGGAGATGAGCTTTTAACTTATATAAAATAAAAGAAAATAAATAAACTATACCTTATCTAATATTTTAATAAAATGATAAAATCAAATAAAATGAAAGATTACGATAACGTGAGAAATTAATATCACAAGAATGTTATCAATAATACTGTTAAAAACAATCTTGATACTCATAAATAAAATGCCTTACACTGTGATTATGGAGGATAACAGTGAGAATGATTTGTTTTTGGGCAAAAATCTCTTGTGGAGTGAAATCTTTAAAAAAAAAAAGATGCAGAACACATCTTGTTTTTGTCTATTTTTCTTTTTCCTCTTATTTTCCCCCCATCTAGTAAGCAGAGAAAACTCCACTCCTTCCCAAAATTTTCACTCCACTTTTCCGCCCTCGTATTTTCTCACAATCTAAACAGAGTTTTAGGATATATTTGAAATAACTTATAAATAACTTTTGAATTATAATTTATGAAATGCAAACTTAGTTTAGATGAAAGACACTTACAATTATTTTTAATCACCATCCCAAATAGGTCGTCTCAGAGTTGTTAGTTTAAATAATATATTACAACATTTTTGTATATCTTTATGTTGTTATCATCATTCTTTTTCTTTCTCTCAATAAGAAACAATTTTATTAATAACCAGGTAAAATGGTATATAAAAAAATTGTTTTCTTTTTGACAAACGCTGCTCCATCGTTCTCTTCCATTCACCACTTTTTTCGAGGTATTAGATTTTTTTTTTAATTTTTAAACTCAAACTATCTTTAAAAAGAAAGAATACCTAAATCTAAATTTAAAATCACACTTTTAACAAATTTCTAATTAGGCCATGAGATCTCGTAGTACTTTTCAATGATCATAATGTCTCTCTTTAATTAAAAAAAATATGTTTTACCTCTCCTAAATAATTTCTCTTCTCTCATGATTATTTTTTGGCACTAAAAAACATATAAATAATTTTATAATACTTAAAATTTGTACATATAACCAAAACCTTAAAAAATATTTAAATCCAACATTTTACATTACAATGTAAGTACCTTTTAAATAAATATTTTTTATTTTCATATTATAAATATCTATTTTTAAGATTTAAAAAATTAATTAATTATAAAAAATATTTTATATTAAGTTGTTACAAATAACGATTTTGGTTGGAATCTAATATTTGCTTAAATGAATAAAACTGACGTAAATTATAAGAACAAAATATTAAATATTTTTTGTAATTAAATATCTTAAGATCTCAAAATAAATACTATCTCCGGTCCTAATTATAAGAGCTGATTGACTAATTTGAGGAGATTAAAAAGGTAAATTAAGTTAGTTATTTATAATAAATATGTATTGTCTTTCATAAAATACTCTTACTAATTAAGTTTATTCATTAGAACTACTATTATTAGAAGGACTACTTTGAAAAAAAATACATAAATATGAGAGACAAAATTTACTGAGGTCTTATAATTAGGACTAAAATAAAAATCAAACGAGGCCTTATATTAAAGACCGGAGGTAGTATTTACAAACATAAAATAAAAAAAATCATTTCAAGGATATTTATGTTGAAATTTAAAATATTTTTGAAGCTTCTAGTTATTCATACGAATTTTAACCAATATAAATTTTTTTATGTGTTTTTTGTTCTCAAAATAAACACAAGAGGTGAGATATCACTTGGATGCGTAAATAATCAATTTTTCATTTTAATTAAAAAGAGACTTTATGGTTATTTAATAATATTAATAAATTCTAAATTAGGACTCATTTTTTAATTAGACATTTGTTAAAAGTGTATGTTTTAATTTAAATTTAGGTATTTTAACTAAATTTTATTAAGATTTTCTCTTTTAAAAAAATGGGATAATTAATGTATAAGTCCTTATAATTTCAATTGATTTTTAATCATGTCCCTATAATTTTTTCTTTTTATCAGATCCTTATACTTTCATATATTTTTAATCAAGTCCTTATAATCTTTTTTCTTTTTATCAGGTCTTTATTGTTTTACTTTGTTTTTAATTAGGTTCTTGTAGTTTTTATTCTTTATTTTACAAATAATAACATTTTGAAAATAATAAATTATTGTAACAATCTTATGTTAATATTTTTTAAATTTTTAGTTAAACAAATATATTATTTATTTTCAATTTGAATTTTTATAATTATAAAATTCAAATTATAAAAATAAATTTATCTAAAATTAAAATATGATTATAAATAATTTATATTTAATTATAATTATTATTCTGATTGTTTATTAATTACTAAATGATTATATAATTATTTTGTCTAATTATAAATTATTAATTTAAAAATGAAATTAATTTTAAAGAATAAAGTTAATAAATAATTTTTCAAAAACTACAAAGTACCTAATTAAAAAATAAGTGAACTATAAGGACCTGATAAAAAAAAAAAAAATAGAAGGACCTAATTAAAAACACACGAAAGTAAAAGTGATAAAAAAAAATTTTTATAAGGACCTAATTAAAAATCAGATAAAAGTATAAGGATCTGGAGATTAATTATCCCTAAAAAAATTATACAAGCACAATAAATTTACCATTTTTTTTCAAAAAATAAGTGATTTTTTGAGTAAATCTTCTGACAAAATGTATATTGTTTTACCTATTAAAGTTATCGTAACAACTTTGCCATGCGATTTCATTATTTATTTTAATCTAACCAAACAAGACAAAGAAGATTTATTTAATTAATTTTTTTGAGTGTTACGTGTATTTAGTTTATTAGGGAGAAACAGAGTGATGCTTTCTCTCAAGCCATCTCCTCTGTGTGTGACTCTCTCTCTCTCTGTTCTAGAAGTCTAGAATCATCTGCTTTTCAATTTCCTCCACAGATCTCTCGTCGAACTGTAACATATTTTTTTGGCTCGTCTCTTCAGCCATCGGCTGCCATTCTCTATCGTCCACCCCTCTTCATTTCTGCTTCGCCCAAGCCTGCGCGGATCCGTTCGCCGCCGATGATTCTGAAGCCTTGATGAATCCTCACATAGGGCTCTCTTTCTTCATGGGCCAACCGCCTTACGATGCCTGAACTGCGTAGCAGAGCGCGCAGGAACTGGGCATTACATAACCCAATCCCTAAGCCGATTACCAAACCCCATCAGCCCACGGTAAGAACTCGTCAGAGGAGGAGAACCAACGTGCAGAACAGGGAGAATCCGCAGCAGAAGAACACGATCGGGGTTGAAGAAACTAATTATATTGTGAGCAAGGACGTTGGCGCCATTCCTGAAAGGAGGACGTTGGGAGATAAGGAAGGGAAAGAACAGGGACAAGCGCCAGACGCAAAGCTTAGGGTTTTGAGAGAGAACGTTGGGGATAAAGCCATGGATGATTATGAGAGTGGTGGCCATAGTCCCGATAAGGCTCCGGCTGCCGAAGACGAGGGCTGCACCGCTCCGTTACCAGAGAAGGTGGTCTGATTTCTTGAATTTGTTTCAGTTTGTTTTGTGTTTCCACCTTCTTTGATGATAAAGATCAAAGAAAATTTCCCTTTCTCATTATAATATGAGGTTTGATACGACACGGATGAGCTATAGCTCTAAAAAATTAGTGAGACCTATCTTGTTTATTGGCTTTTCTGAGCATACGTGGTAGCTTCTCTCTGTCTTGGTGAGGTTTGTTTTTATAGGATTTTGAGTGCTTTCCCCAACATATCTGCAATAAGCTTCAGTGAAAAGGTTTTTCTTTCTCGACTTATTCATCTTTCTCGACATACATGAGGATGTCCCACTGGTTATTGCTTGTTCCTCCCTGTGCTTAATTTACGATTGTGGTTGGGGGGCTGGTGATATTTCACCGTGTGTATGCCTGCGGTCTGCTTTGAATGAAATGTGAGAAGATAGTTTAGTTACTTGTGAGAGCGGCTCTCCCACCCGGGTGGCATGGTAACCAGTGGTTTGGTTGCTGATTTTTCTCCTGTCAAGACATTATCAGTTTCTCAGTTCCCAAATAATTTAGTTGCAAGTCAATTTTCGGAAGCGTTCTGATGTTTAATATAGAAAAATAATCTATCGTTTGGTTTCTCCACGACAGGTCCAGGTTGGTGGTTCACCAGTATATAGAATTGATAGAAAATTGGGAAAAGGAGGATTTGGACAAGTCTATGTTGGCAGGCGTGTTGTTGCAACAAATCCCATTGAACTGACTGGTCCTGGAGCTGTGGAGGTTTGGCATTAGTGTTTCTGTTTTATCCTATGGCATGTTTCACGGAGTCATCTATCATCTTTGTGTTGTCTAATTCTTTCAGGTGGCCTTAAAGTTTGAGCATAGAAGCAGTAAAGGCTGCAACTATGGACCACCATACGAGTGGCAGGTTTACAAGTAAGCTACAAATCCTTTCTTTCTAGACGACAGGATCTCTCCACCTTTTTTCTCATTTACTGATAATGGCGTGATTATCCCTCTAGTGTGTTGGGAGGTAGTCACGGTGTTCCGCGAGTTCATTATAAGGGGAGGCAAGGTGATTACTATGTCATGGTATGTACAGTCAAATTTTATATAAAGAGTTAGTATGTCTATGGCTATGGGTATTTTTGTAACTGTTTTTCATAACAGGTAATGGATATGCTTGGCCCTAGTCTATGGGACGTGTGGAATAACAACTCTCATGCGTAAGTATCTCTGCAAGTATAGTGAAATGGATAGCATCTTAATTTTTTCAAACGTGTAAAGGATATTGCTTATCTTACCTTCACTCCTTTTATTTTTCTTTAGGATGTCTATAGAAATGGTAGCTTGTATTGCCATTGAGGCAATATCCATATTAGAGAAGATGCATTCTAGAGGGTAATTCTCATCTTTATGATTCTATATTATTAAGTCTCATATTATGCTTTATTGATTTTAATTTTCCAAGAATGTGGTATCATAATACAGCTATGTTCACGGTGATGTAAAACCTGAGAACTTCTTGCTTGGCTCCCCTGGAACTACTGATGAGAAGAAGCTGTTTCTTGTCGATCTGGGACTTGGTAAATAAGCTCCTTGAATCTCGGTGCTTTTATTTGAAATGATGCATGCTTAATTTCTTATGATTACAGCTACCAGATGGCGCGATAGTTCAACAGGCCTTCATGTTGAGTATGATCAACGCCCAGATGTATTTAGGTAGGTTATGATATCTAGTTTTTGCTTAATATGCCTATTGAACATTGGGCTTCTGTTTGATTGCATGTGTCATATTCTTGCCGCAGGGGGACAGTACGATATGCTAGTGTGCATGCTCATCTTGGTAGAACTGGCAGCAGAAGAGATGATTTGGAATCTCTTGCTTATACACTGATCTTCCTACTTCGTGGTCGGCTTCCGTGGCAAGGATATCAGGTCAGTATTGTGTGTAATAACATGGTCAACAGAGCAGATAATATAACTTTGCTGTTCTCATATAATTGTATTTTGCAGGGAGATAACAAAGGATTCCTTGTCTGCAAGAAGAAGATGGCCACATCCCCAGAAACTTTGTGCTGTTTTTGTCCTCAACCCTTTCGACATGCTATGTGTGAATTTGAAGTTTGATGAAGCAAATTATGCAAAGTCATCTCTTGGTAGAACTGGCAGCAGAAGAGATGATTTGGAATCTCTTGCTTATACACTGATCTTCCTACTTCGTGGTCGGCTTCCGTGGCAAGGATATCAGGTCAGTATTGTGTGTAATAACATGGTCAACAGAGCAGATAATATAACTTTGCTGTTCTCATATAATTGTATTTTGCAGGGAGATAACAAAGGATTCCTTGTCTGCAAGAAGAAGATGGCCACATCCCCAGAAACTTTGTGCTGTTTTTGTCCTCAACCCTTTCGACAGTTTGTTGAGTATGTTGTGAATTTGAAGTTTGATGAAGAACCAAATTATGCAAAGTACATCTCCCTTTTTGATGGAATTGTTGGCCCGAATCCGGACATCAGGCCAATAAATACTGAGGGCGCTCAGAAGGTACTATTCTTGCTATGCTATGTTGCCTTTTACTGATACTGGTACAATTTGCCTGACTTAACACACCTTTCTGTTGTTCTTGTGAAGCTTATATGTCAGGTTGGTCATAAGAGAGGACGATTGACCATAGAAGATGACGACGATGAACAACCTAAGAAGAAGGTCAGAATGGGAATGCCAGCAACTCAATGGATCAGTGTTTACAATGCTCGTCGACCAATGAAGCAAAGGTTTTTTTCTTCCCTCTTTCTTTTTTTTCCCTTGAATCTTAATAAACTATTGTCTTCTGAAAGGTCAGAGGTTGAAGTTTTCGTCTGGTGGTATAGGTATCATTACAATGTGGCAGACATGCGCCTGTCTCAACACATTGAGAAAGGAAATGAGGATGGGTTATTTATAAGCAGCGTGGCTTCTTGTTCTAATCTTTGGGCACTTATTATGGATGCTGGCACTGGTTTCTCTTCACAAGTTTATGAACTCTCACCGTATTTTCTTCATAAGGTTGGATGAATTACATTTCAGTTGGCAGTTGTTCTACTTCTAGCTGCGAATCTAAGGCCTTTTTGTATATGATTTTTGAATTATTTCATACTTAACTTTTACTGTATGATTCTTACAAGATTTATGTACTGTTCCCATTTTTATAGGATTGGATTATGGAACAATGGGAAAAAAATTATTACATCAGTGCTATAGCAGGGGCTAATAATGGAAGCTCATTGGTTGTAATGTCTAAAGGTTTGTTCTTCTGGCTTTGTGAGTGTGCGCATGCGCATGCGAACGAACAAGTGCTTGTGAAATGGATTTGATAACATGTTGAGCTTAATTTGGCATGTATTTTCATGTATAAACGGCTGCTTTGCCTCTGCTGTTGTGTTGTTTTTCAGGGACCCAGTACGTGCAGCAGTCCTATAAAGTGAGTGATTCATTTCCATTCAAGTGGATTAATAAAAAATGGAGAGAGGGCTTTTACGTCACTGCCATGGCAACTGCTGGAAGTAGATGGGCTATTGTCATGTCCCGTGGTGCAGGATTTTCAGATCAGGTCTTATTCTTAGATTTTAAATACTTCATTGAGTTAAAGATCTTTTGGTGCTTAAAATCATATCTGGCATGCCTTTGTTGAACTGTTCAAAATAATTGGCAGGTTGTGGAACTTGATTTCCTGTATCCCAGTGAAGGTATTCATCGGAGGTGGGATGGTGGTTACCGAATCACATCTACTGCTGCAACATGGGACCAAGCTGCTTTTGTTCTGAGCGTCCCAAGAAGAAAACCAGCTGATGAAACTCAAGAGACGCTTCGCACATCTGCTTTCCCTAGTACTCATGTTAAGGTTATTATGACACATGATTTTCAATATCCATTGTCATTCCATGATGCTCGATGCTTACACTTGATATGTTAATTGTGCAGGAAAAGTGGGCCAAAAACTTGTACATAGCATCTATTTGTTATGGGAGAACAGTTTCATGAGCTGCTGAAGGTCTGCAGAGATTCTAGTTGATGTCGATTGGCCTCTTACAGCCAAATGTGATCCGAAGATTTGCTCTGACAGTTTTGAACAAATGCCGTTCAGCATTGATGTATGCTAAACCTCTCTTTATGGTCGCCATCACATATCATTTGATACAATAGCTGTTCACTGTTATGAGCTAAATTAAATCTTTCATTTCCATTGGGATGAGTCTTGGTTAAAAAAAAAAATGTATAGATGTGAACGATAATTACTTTGTTGAAGGCATTTTCACAGTCCAGGTTTTTAATTATTGAAGGCATTTTGCAAAAATGCACCTGATTTTCCAGTGAAAGCTGGCCACTTTTAGCTGTTTAGGCTTGTACGTAGATCCTTTTGTCCCTTCCTCTTGACTTAAAGCTGCTGCTAGCCTCATGTCTGAATTTGACCTTATGACAGAAAGTTGTGTACTCTGGCCACAGTTTGTAATTGATTATTATGATCACTATATTATTATTTTGTCATCAACTACGATTGTAGTTTATAGTCAGTAACTTTCTCTTGGAGAATTTGTATTTGGCGGTTCATCTGATGAAATGTTAGTGATGTTAATTTGATTGAAACAAAGGTTATGGGTGGTTTATTCTGAATTTCATCCAAAATTATGCCGACCTCTCCTCTTTAGTTGCAGTTCAGCTGTGATGTTGAGCATCAAACTTGACCAAGCTTTTCTGGTCCCGGTCTGTTTTCTATTACATTTATCTTGACTATTTCAGTTTTGGAAGGTCAAGGTATGTACATGGTTACATCTATATAAGCTTCTGGGTGTCTCAGAAAAGGAGCTATGTAAGCATCTGCATATGTTCTAGCTGTGACAAATGATAGCCGTCTTTCTGCTTCCTGTTTGACTGACAATGTCACCCCACTGCTCTAACCACTTTGTGCTTCCAGTATCAAAATCTTCAATGTCTCTTGGCCTGTCAGTCTGCGTGGCTGGGTGCTTATTTTGTCCGACTCTTACTGCCATCGAACTTGGCAATTTGCAGCTTTGATAATAAGTTGGCTATCTGGGAGGTCCTATTAAGGTGACAAAAATACTTGGATAGCTGTATTTGTTTTTATCACCTGAGTTTACTTGAAATCTGAAGCAGGTATTGATTTCTGCATCTATTTTTAATGAGCTCCTCTAAAATACTGTGGTGCAGCTGAGAAGTTGGCATGCATTGTTTCAGATATGCCCATGAATGTTCGATCATTTGGCCTGATGGCACCTTTCTTCTGCTCCTGACATTGGGGTATTAATTATTATCTTTTCTTTCCATCTCTTGTATGTGCCATTGGTTGTCACCTGATTATTGTCTCTCTCTCTCTTGTGCTGAACAGAAATTATGGCTCTTATGGCGCTTCACAATTTTCTCTTTAAGTTCTATGCCTGTCATAATTTGCAGATTTATTCATGCTGGTTCGAAACCTCAATGATGCTGGACCAACACTTTTGGAGCATTTTAATCCATGTGATTATTGCCCCTTCTCAAACAGTTTTGAGATTTTTTCCCGTTTTAAAACAAGTGGGAGAGAGGAAAAAAAGGTGGGGGATTGTAACAGCGAGTCTGAAACAAGTTGAGACTAATTGTCAAAAATGCCAAGGAAATTAAACAAAGCTAGCTGTAAGCTAGCAACATTTGGCTTCAACTGTAAGGTGGGTGTTTGGATAGAAACCAAACCATGGTTTCAGAAGTGCTTTTACGGATTACGAAGTAAATATGTGGAGGAAGATATTTCGTTTTGCGGAAAAGTACTTCTGAAACTGCGGTTTTGAGAATGCCAAACACCTCTGTAGTCCAAACGCTTTGTGCGTCCACGAGACTCCAATATTGACAGATAATTAGATAAATATTGGGGATCTTTTAAAGTTGGTCGGCATTTATGCTCATTGCTCTGCATCTAGGGTTGGTTTAAAAGAACTCATGGGTAATTTTTTAATCATAATTTATGAAATATGAGGTGTGTGAAAAGGGTTGTGTTTTTATGTTAAACATGCATATAAATATTTTTGAGTACCATTCCAAGTAGGCCTTTAATTTATTTCTTAATGAATGTTGTTTTGCTGACATAACTAAAATGGACTGTGCCCCTTTTTAAGTGTGCTATTTGGAGGACGTGGGAAAGTTATTCAGAAAACTTAATGAGAATATATGGTGAGTTAACCAAGATTTTCTGGCAAAAATTTGTTTTTGAATCCCGTCAGACCCCTCCTGTATATGGAAAACATCAAATAATTTAACATGAGTTGTGCTCTTGTTGGTCCCATTTGAATCTCAGTTTACAGGAAGTCTTTGCCTCGGTATATTTCTCTCTCTCTCTTTTCTATTTTAATTTCAAAATATTTAGTTAATTTTTTAATTCAAGACAACATTGTTGGGGCCATCCACTGCTCCTCCACCCCCTTCGCCCCCAAAAAAAAAAAAAGAAATTTTTTTTACAAGAAAAGTTCCCGAGCCTAGACAATTAAGCACATTGGATTCCTAGGTTCCAGTGATAATGATGATTGTTCAGCGAGAAATGAGTGTTGAGAAAGGTGTTCACGTTTGGTGCGTTAAATTTGAATTTGACGTTTGTATTACTTGTAAACTTGATGCATGTTGGTGAGTTGGATTGTTACATTGAAGCCAATATTCATTCATATATATTATTTCTGATTTTTAATATAAGATCTTGTTTGACTTTTATTTTGATTCTAAATATAAGATCTTAATTTATTTTATCTCTTATATTTATGTATTTTTTTTCCTAATATAGTCTTTTTAACAATGGTAATTTTAACTAATACATTTGACTAATAAGTATATTTTAATAAAGACAACATCTATTTATTATAAATAACTAACTAATTTTTTTTTTTAATCTTCTCAAATTAGTCAATTAACTCTTATAATTAGTACTGAATATAGTAATAATAATGGTAGCGTTGATAGTGACTAAGATGTACCCGAAAAATGGCACATACAAGGCGGACTTACTCTGCAGGCCACAGAATTAATAGAGTCACCGCATCCTTTGCATTCTCTGTTGGCAGTTGGCGGTGGGCACAGGGCTTTTCTTCATGTTATTTCCAAAAGTACCCAACGCGGGTTGGGTCATTGAAGTTGAAAGAAACCATACATCTAGAATCGTGAAACTGAAGAAGAGGGTGTTAGGTAGCGGAGGCAAAAGGGGGAGGGAAATTGAGTGTTAACATCAACACGCTCTTTCCCATCATACCAACTGGGTTTGAAGCAAGAGTGAGTATTCATGGCTACGCCCTCAACACAAACCAGCGGCACCGCCAGTGTCCCTTTCCATTGACTGGTGGTTCCTAGTAGTTGCCCTGACATGCGCTCACGTTCCCACACCCAACACGTTCTTGACGAGTATTCTCATATCATCATGTTTTAATCAATATGAAGTCAAGCTCAAAATTTTAAAAAAAAAAAGTCTTATGATGTAATATTTTCTTACCCACAAGATTTAAACTGCTTAAAAAAATATTGCCCTGACATGCGCTCACTAACGTAATGGACAAGACCCTCCGCGTTGAAAAGCTTCCCAAAATAAGTTGACGTCGTCGTCGGCCCATGAAATAAACAAAAGGAGGTCAATCAGATGGATCCTGAAAACGGGACCAGCTACATCAAGTCTCGGCCAAGCACGTGGATGGGCTTGTTAGTTGCAATGGCTTTTCAAACCGCTCTTTTCTGACCACAGATAATGGATTACCCACAGATATGAGTGGGCCTCTCTTCTGTTCTCAGCTCTAATTTCATTTTATTTTTTCGATTTTTACTTTTTAGAAACCTTTACTTGAAAACTTTCAATCTACTCCACTGTCATATTCCCTGTAATAAAATTTCTAATAAACCGTCTTTTCTAATTGATTACTCCGATCAGCCCATCACACCATTCAACTTAATAACATCACTTCACTAATTTCAATAAATTATGAAACTCGTTAATTATAATAAATATATGACCTAATCCCCTTAAAATACATAACATGTGTGACTTTATATATTATTTATTAATATAGAGGTTAGATAGGTTAGTTTAGAGAAATAATAAATACAAGACTAAATTATACATTTGATTATTTAACTTTATATAAGATTTTAATTTGGCTTCTTAACTTTCAAAAGCGCACATTTAGTCTTTTAGTTCTAAATTTGTTAGACTTCAATTATGATTTTTTTAACAATTATGGATGTTTTAAAAATTAAATTTAATATATTAGCATTTGAAAATATTTTATCAACATTTAAATCTTAATATCATAATTTTTTAATAATTTTTGGAATTAAATAACTAAAAGTATACTTTTTAAAATTAAAATTAAGAGACCAAACTAAAACTTTATACAAAGTTAAAAGATCAAATATATATTTTAGACTAAATATAAAAGAGAAGAGTATTAAAATCTTATATTTAAGCTTTTATTTTCTTCAATTTTTTTTTTAGTTTTTATTTTCTTCAATAATCTTTAGGCCCTATTCCAAACAATCTATTTATTGGCCATGAAGGAAGCTAATAACTACTTTGGATTAGGACCCTGGTCATTAATTCAGACAATCGGTGAACCAAGATTCACTCTCGGGGTTGTTGCGTTAATCGCATGTTCATCAACGCCCATATAAAAATATATATTTATATATATAATTTTTTAAATCAGGAATTAAACTCGCAGCATGAAGGTGGGAAAGAACAAAGCAGCATCTTTAGACGCCTTTTTCTGACCACAGGTATGCTTATGAACACAACTGGAATCGGAAACAATCTGCCAATGTGAATCTACAAAGGAACAATTCTTCGCAGTTTTCGAGCCATTCAATGCACTACCTGTAACGATACGAATATTTTGCCTGCGCAATGTGTATATGGATCTATTCACAAAAGCATAATCGTAAAAATTTGTCTAATATATGGGGAAAAGTATAAGCAAGACTAGCAAAACTTTCCAGAATGTCAAGTCTCCTCCGCACTATTTGATTTCTCGTTTCCCATCTTGGCTTAGAAGGGAACCCGAATAGCTGTGCAATATTGACTTCCATCAGACGCGGAAAATCTACACGCCTTCCGCGTCCCTCCAATATGATGTCGTTCAACTGTCACAAACGCAGCATTCTGGTAACACCCACCATTTTTTTAATCAGTTCTTTCCAAATTAAAAATGCAAAAGAAGAAACTGTAGCTTTCAAAGAGGGTGAATCATCCGTCCTACCAACAACTAAATTCTGCTTTTATTTGATTAAACTAAATGCTCCACGTGCCATTGCTAGTCCACGTTCTGACCATTTGGACGTTGAAATCTAATCACTATATATAAGATTATGATCTGATTTGCCAAACCGTCTCTGCTTATTTTCGTTTTTCATAAGCTTTGTTTTGTGCAACGCCTCAGGAAGTGAATAATCCTTTGATTTTGAAGCTCTGAAACACTATTTCGTCTCGGAATTTTTGGCATTTCGGTATTTAGGTGTGAGTTGATTTTAGATTGCAGTTTGGTTAAGCATATCTCATCTCACTGCTAAGTACTGGTTACTGCAGAAACAGGTTTTGTGCTGGAGAGAAGGGAGAAAATTCGTGGCATTAATGTCGAGCAACGCGAACGAGATGAGAAACGGCGGTCTTTCAGCGGATGGCCTGAAAGGTCACGGAGGCGGTGTTCGGGACTTGTATGGCGAGGATAGTGCCACGGAGGACCAGCTTATCACTCCCTGGACCTCATCAGTTGCCAGGTGAGGCAGCAGCAGGCTGTGAGTTTTGTGTTTTTATATTATTCTATTTTCTTAGCTATGAAGACGGATGATGACGTGTTAAAAAAAGACAAGAATTCCGCATCACTTCCTGTTGATTCTCCTCATATTTTAATCGATGATCTCAGTTTTTTTGGATCTGTGCTTTACGGTTTTGTATGCTCTTATTATTTTTCCGGGCTTTTGGCTAGACTAGTAGGCTTGACTTCGATCTCATCCACTTCATTTGGTCCCCCCCCCCTCCCAATCAACTTGTTTCTCTTACAATTCAAGTTTCGATGAATTCCGTTGTTTTGAGAATTAGGCATCAATAAAATACAAAATGAATGCTAATAAAGTATGTTTTGTGTTACAGTGGATGCACTCTGCTGCGTGATCCACGCTACAACAAAGGACTCGCCTTCACGGAGAAAGAAAGAGATGCCCATTACCTGCGTGGCCTTTTGCCTCCTGCTGTCCTTTCTCAAGAGCTTCAGGTACCTATAATACGTTGCTAACCTCACCTGAACTTTTCCCATGGTCTGGGCTCTTACGAGTTACGATTATTTACACTTTCTTTTGGGCTAATTACCCTTGTTATTATCATTGTTAAACAGGAGAAGAGGTTGATGCACACTCTTCGCCAGTATGATGTTCCTCTGCATAGATACATGGCCTTGATGGATCTTCAGGTACTAGCTGGCTTCTTGCTCTTATGGCCACTTTTCTAACTAGCAAGTCATTACTTGGTTGGTGCTTAGCTGTGTCAAATTTATCACCTTCTCTTACTGTTTCTATTCTAACAGGAGAGGAATGAAAGGCTGTTTTACAAGCTTTTGATCGATAATGTTGAGGAACTGCTCCCTATTGTTTACACTCCTACGGTCGGAGAAGCCTGCCAGAAATATGGAAGCATTTTCAGGCGTCCGCAGGGTCTCTATATCAGTTTGAAAGAGAAGTATGCTTCTTTTCATGCCACTCCTCTTTCTTTCTCTGTTCCCCACTGCTTATAATTTCAGAAAATACTGAGTGATTGAGTTTTTCAGAGGTAAGATTGTTGAAGTATTGAAAAACTGGGGAGAAAAGAGCATTCAGGTTATTGTTGTGACTGATGGTGAGCGTATTTTGGGGCTCGGAGATCTCGGTTGCCAGGTATCTATTGATTTGGTTCCTAGTTCTGTATAATCTTCAGAATCTTCTCTCGGCTGACTTATAATGGTTCTAATTTTTCTGATAGGGCATGGGCATTCCTGTTGGGAAACTCTCTCTCTATACAGCATTAGGAGGTGTTCGCCCTTCAGCGGTAGGGATTACTAGCATGTGAAATTTTTTCCTGTTTCCCTCGCTTGTAACTTTCTTCCAACTCTTGATTAATGTCAATATGGATCCATAATTTACAGTGCTTACCAATCACTATTGATGTCGGTACAAACAATGAGAAGTTGCTGAATGACGAGTTTTACATTGGGCTTAGGCAAAAGAGGGCAACTGGGAAGGTCTGGTTACTTCTCTTTCACTCTCTCGCAATAATGCACAGTTCAGTTGTTTTTTGATCCCTATATGGAGTAAGAAGTATTCAAGTAAATATGAACATGAGATTTATTAATTGTGGTTTAGGAATATGGAGAGCTTCTAGATGAGTTCATGCAAGCTGTTAAACAGAATTACGGGGAGAAAGTCTTAATACAGGTTACAGATCTGCTCCAACATGTCAATCTGATTTTTCTCTTCTTTGCTCTATTATGTTGTCTTGCCAACATTTATCATTCCTTTTCAGTTCGAAGATTTTGCAAATCACAATGCGTTTGATCTACTGACAAAATACAACTCATCTCATCTTGTCTTTAATGATGATATACAGGTACACGAAAGACAAATAATGACTCTATGCCCAGTCCCTTTTTAATTTTATGAGTGATTGACTTTGATTTTTGGTTTAATTCAGGGTACAGCATCCGTGGTATTAGCAGGATTGCTTGCTTCCCTGAAGTTGGTGGGGGGAACCTTGGCTGATCACACCTTCCTATTTCTTGGCGCTGGAGAGGTTAGCATGACAGATCAATGCCTTATTTGCATATGTCACCATTTCAACACCATGTCTGATAGAGGAAAAAAAGGAAAAAAATGTCACCCACACACACACAAATTTAAATTGATGGGTTTATTTCCCACTTATATAATCTTTTGGCTTTTGAAGGCTGGAACTGGTATAGCAGAGCTGATAGCTCTTGAGGTTTCAAAGCAGGTATTATTATTAACTTAAAAAAATTTACTTCTATCAGCAATGTTCATGTCAACTCTTTTGACCATCCATATTCTTGGCCAGACAAAAGCTCCATTGGAAGAGACCCGTAAGAAAATTTGGCTAGTGGATTCAAAGGTAACAAAGGGGGATTGATTTGTTTTTCACTTAATAAGTTTCCTTCTCCTAATAACTGTCATTCGTAACAAGCCCCATAACAAGCACCTCTTCTCAGGGACTGATTGTTAGGTCTCGTATGGAATCGCTCCAGCATTTCAAAAAGCCTTGGGCTCATGAGCATGACCCGGTAAAGGGACTTCTGGATGCTGTCAAGGTAAGAAAAGGGCCTCGAATTCAGTTTCTGTGCCAAACAAGATTTTTCCTTCCCATCATAGTTCCTACAATGTACTTACAGTGGACTCCCTCAGGCAATCAAGCCGACGGTTCTAATAGGATCGTCTGGAGTAGGAAGGACGTTTACCAAGGAGGTGGTTGAAGCCATGTCATCCTTCAATGAGGTTCTTCACACTTTCCTTTAGTAATAACTTTGTTAACTAATGAGAATATTGAGTCATTAATGCATAAAATATTTATTGGCATTTAGAAACCGCTCATTCTTGCTCTCTCCAACCCAACTTCACAATCTGAGTGCACGGCTGAGGAAGCTTATACATGGAGCAAGGTATCGTTTTTATTGCCCCACCTTTTTTTCTCTGCACAAGACTCCATGAAACATTGATTTGCAGATTAATTCTACTGAATCAGATAAAGCAGAAAATCCATCTTTAATTTGCAGGGACGAGCAATCTTTGCTAGCGGAAGCCCATTTGACCCAGTCAAATATGAAGAAAAAGTTTTTGTGCCTGGACAGGTTTTGTTTTGAAACCTTCAAAGCATTTTATCATGCAACATGCTTGACTCAACGAAAGTTAATGCCTTACTTCTTCTTACGATGACATTCAGGCCAACAATGCCTACATATTTCCTGGTTTTGGTTTGGGGTTGATCATCTCCGGTGCAATCCGGGTGCGTGATGAAATGCTCCTGGCAGCCTGTAAGTAATATGATCTGCATGAAGCAATCTAAATGATGGAATTTGTATGGATCATTCATTAAACATTACATGTTCTGGTGCAGCGGAAGCTCTGGCTGCGCAAGTGACACAGGAAAACTACGATAAGGGGCTGATTTACCCTCCTTTCACTAACATAAGAAAGATATCGGCCCACATTGCTGCTCATGTTGCAGCCAAGGCATATGAACTTGGTAAGTCTGTTCCTGTGTTCAATTCTGAGAACACAGGCACGTGTATGGTTATCTTTTTCTTTTTCTTTTTTTCCCCTTATTTTTACTTTTTTTTTTTTTTTGGTGGATAGGTTTGGCTTCTCATCTACCTCGGCCTAAAGATCTTGTCAAATATGCAGAGAGCTGCATGTACAGCCCTGTCTACCGAAGCTACCTTTGAAAGTTTTGATCCGTATTCTGCAGTATCCATGAGTTTTAGAAGAAGATAATTGATGACTTACTAGGCAATGTTGTTAGAACATTTTATGCCTTAGGAAAGTGGTCGATTCTTTTAATTTTTTTAAATTGTATTTGGATGGAGTATTGTTATATTCTGCAGTGAAACTTGGATGTTTGTTCTAAACGTACGAGTCATATGGTCAATAAGAAAAGTTATGCTATTAGCAATTTCATGCCAGTATAGTGAACTAGATTTTGCATGTTAGTGTGGCCCAAATAGAAAGGGTTGAGACGCGTAAGTTGAACAACTGCACGGAGAGGGGGAAAAAATTAAAACAACTAACATTTTCATTTTTCAGAAACAAGATTAATCTCATGAATGTTTAACCTTCTAGTTAAGTTCACGACTCGTCCCTGCGATCTGCGTTTCAAATTTTATGTTGACGTTGAAATCCTTGTAGTCTTAATGCCATTTGTAAGATATTTGCCCCAAAAAAAATTAATAATTAAAAAAAATCATTTAATAGTAACTCTTGTTGCATTTTATCTTCTTTCGACAGCCACAGAATGGGTGGTGCTGCCGCAGTTCGTGTTGACTGTTGACATAAGGCTACCGTTAAATAAGTTTACTTATTTGGTTTCTTTCATATTTGTTTTTGTTTTTCTTTTAGTTTGCAACATCTGGTTGGCTTCTCGTTAGTCATCATCTCTTGCTCCATCTTGGCTGCACGAGCAAAGCAGGGCGTTTGGCCTTGTCATCATCTCTCAGGTTATCGATTCCAAAGTTCCAACATCATTCTCATGCAAGCGCGCACACATTATTGCTTTTCATATAAACAATACTTAATAGAAAATTTAAATTTAGATGATATTTTTTATATTTTGACGTTTAAAACTATTGAATAATATTTATTTAAATTGATGCATCATTGCCAGGTGCACCATTTAACTATTATTATGAAAAGGTTAAACTTCTATTTTTATTTTTAATTATGAATTTCTTATTTTAACTCAATATTTAATTATCAATTTATATTAGAGGAGTTGGTCTTTAATCATCCATTATTTTAATGTCGTCCCTTTGCATCTTTTAATTAGTTCCTAAACGGGATTTTTTTTTTTTAAAAGAGTATAAATCCAGATTTAAAGGATGAAAATTTAAAGAATTTAAATAATACAATTATACCTACTCCTCCGGTCCTTAATATAGGACCCAATTGTTGAGTTGGTTTTGGTCCTAAATATAAGACCAATTTCTCATATTTATCAATTTTCTCTAAATTACCCCTATAGATAGTCCCTTAACTATAATCAAGTAAAAGAGGGAAAAGAGGTATTAAGAAAGATGATTATGGTGTTTTAGGAAAGATGTGTCATATTTTTTATAATTAACTAATTTACCTAACTTTCTTAATCTAATCAAATTAGTTAAATATGTCTTATATTAAGGATAAGAGGAGTATTTTCTTTTTTGGCGGGGCCGGCTGGGCCGCGGGAACCAATGGCACTGCAATAAACGACTTGCAGCATACCAGCCTTTGAAAGAGCACAGTGTCCGTTGCCGAGATTGGGCGTGCCGTGGTATATAATATGATCGAAACCACGAGTCTGTCGTAGTCGTAAGATGCATTCCGATAAAACTAAGCAGGAGACCGACATGGATCCCCTCCCGTGACTTTCTTATAATCATTGAATTGAAATGCTTTTTTCCCTAAGCTAATCGGCTCGGGTGTTTAGTTTCGTTTCTTTTAAGTAACTTTACGCATGATTTTTTGAAGGGTACCTTACAGATTCCGAAATTGCAATTCCACTTTTGAAGCTCGAAGTGCAATTCCCCATGATCAAACACGATCTTTATTTGGGGATGGCAGAAGGCATCGAAGAAGATGGAGAGGACCGTGAAGGAGGGGTTGGATTTAGAATTGGAAGATGGAACAAAAATGGAGGGGGTTGATTCGGAACTGAAAGCTATCGTACATGGGGAACGCACACCGAGAAGGAGAGAGCTGGGGTTGGATCTAAAACGCTGTTGGAGAGCTAACAAGGGAAAGCTTTAATATCCATAGAGAACGCAAGTGGAGAAGGAAAGAGGTGAGACAGAATTTAGATTTAGCACACTGATGGAAACGTAGTGGAGAAAGAGGGCATGTTGGAAGTTAGCGTCTGAGCAAGGAAAAGCTTTAAAAACCCCTGATGTTTTTGTGCTTTGACCGGTTGGAATAAATCATACACCACTCTCCTCCTGACCATCAGATAGATCTTACGGATATGATTAACCCACTTCCCAGCCATTGCATAAAAGTCTCGGGAGGGGGTCAGAAGCCGGCAGAAGACAGCCGTTGAAGTAAGATGGGTCGCGCGGTTCTTTCTCAAATCTTGATTCTCTCATCTTCATCTCCGCACCTCGCTCCTTCACTGTACACAGCAACGCTCTCCTGTCCTCATTGTATTCTTCTTCACCACCTTATAAATGTAGCTTTTATTTTCTGATATGTACTGCTATCACCAGGTCGTGTGTTGGGCCAAGGTTCTTGACGGCACCTGCCACCAACCTTCTTCGTTCTCGCCGTCCACTTATCTTCAGTGGAGCGTGCGTCCGCTGTTGTTCTAGCATTGCGTCTACTCCCGAGACTTCTCCGACCTCTGCAAAGTAATCATAACTCTATTCTTCTAACAGTTAGTGTTTACTGAGTCCACAAATTTTGATCAATGTGGTGAGGTCTCGCTGTTGATACATTATGATTCATACGCTGGAGTAAGTATTGGGAACATATGTATACTGTTCCTCGATGCCGACCACTTAGATTGACACTACGACACTACTGCATGCTCTGTATTCTATAGTTACATCGGCGCTTGAATGCAGATTTGTTGTCTTTTGCTGTCTTTTATCTTGGACTTGGAATTCCGCTTTTCAAATGTTTATTTAACTTCTCTTTGACAGGAAACGGGTAGTGTCAGGAGTTCAACCTACAGGATCTATCCACCTTGGGAATTATCTTGGGGCCATAAAGAATTGGATTGGACTTCAGGTTGTTGATGAGTTGATCTTCTTCTTGATATTGTTGCAAATTGAATGACCTGAAACTTGGACTTGTATATAGTTATTATTTTGAACCGGGCCTCTTTATTCTGTATAAGATCAAATAAATCAATTGGCACTAACATTTAAGTTTCATAAATCTGACCTTTTAATCTTTCATTTCTACTGTGGAATCCCACTTATATATGCCTATGCATCCAAAAATCTCTGTCAATCCCTGGCCACCCTGACGTTCTAGTTCCTATGGCACTGAAAGTTAAGGTCGAAGGAAATGACTTGACGCTTACTTATTCTTTCTACACGTGTACAGCAGTAGCTTGCCCAACTCAACTTGCTAATAGCCAAATAATGTCTGGTCAGTGCCCTCATGGCTGCTAAAGATTTTTCTGGCCATTGGGAGGCATGCCTATATATATTTTGTGTTGTAAATCAGTGGTATAGTGAAAAAAATTAGGTCATCAATCAGAGTACTGCAACGGTGAATCCCCGGCTGTTCTTTTCTTGGATTCTCAATTATGGGTTAAGATTAGGGAGAATGCTAATCAAGGACTCATTTGTTCCTAGTTGTTGGTCGTCTCTCACCCCCAAGCTATAAACAAAAGTTCATTGATTGTATATAAGTGTTAATTGACTTTAACATTTTCCTAAATTGACTTTGGCGTGAAACAACAATTGATTGATTTGATTCATGGATTTTATATGACTTGCTAATATATGATTTTTCTTTAATTATGCAGAATACATATGATACACTTTACTTCATCGTCGACCTGCATGCGGTATTTCTTCTACATAAGCTTTTAAAGTTTTAGGGTGCTGTTTTTTTTTCCCTTCTCATTTTGTAGTTAAAACTACAGCTCGGAGATCATGTAAGTGCACAGATTAGGTGGAAAACTCTTCCGGAATATCATTTATAGTAGAAAGCAAATATGTCACCAGCTATTGTCTGTGATATCCTAAGCTTTGCAAATATTTTGGTAAGGTCAATTGAGACTGATAAAAAATGAGTTCAATCTTTAGATGGATATTGAACTATCTGTTACTCTAGTCAATTTGGAATGTGGACGATGGACCAGCTCTTGCATGCGCATTTTGACTGATAAAAAATGAGTTCAATCTTTAGATGGATATTGAACTATCTGTTACTCTAGTCAATTTGGAATGTGGACGATGGACCAGCTCTTGCATGCGCATTTTGAGTATAGCTAAATAAGTGGGACCCTATTAATGGAGAAAAGGATAATGAAATTGATAATTTTTACTTTATTTGTCTGTGCTGCTTCTCAGCTTTAGTTGGTTTTGTATGACCCCAACAATGGACTTGATATTGTGTGTGCACATTACCCTCATGATCAGTTTCAAGTAATATTGGTCTCAAACCTTTTATCTTGGAGGCTGAATAGCCCAAGGAAATTCATAATTGAGGCTGATTATATTTGTTAGTGGGGTGGAATATGAAATTAATCTCTTACTTTTCAGATGTAATACACTAATAATTATAGCTGTTTAATACATTACTATTTAATAATTATAGATGGTTTTCTGTTCTCTTGTAATGATGCAGATCACATTACCATATGACACCCAGCAATTATCTAGGACAACAAGAGAAACAGCGGCCATTTATTTGGCATGTGGCGTTGATACTTCAAAGGTATTTAGTAACCTTTTCTGTTTTTTTATAACTTTTTTGGATATGTGCATTTTGCTAGAAATATCAGGATAATTGTGCAGGCATCTGTATTTGTACAATCCCATGTCCGTGAACATGTAGAGTTGATGTGGCTGCTAAGTTCTGCCACACCAATTGGTTGGTTGTACAGAATGATTCAGTTTAAAGAGAAATCCCGCAAGGAGGTGTGTGCCTAGCTGCATGAATATCCTATTTTCATTTTTTATTTCCTTTTTTCTAATTCATTGAAGTTTTAATTTTAGATTAGACTTAAGTCTAGCTTCTTATATTTATTTTTTATCATATTGTTCACCAAAATTACAACGTACATGATTTTCTAAGTGTAACATGGCGTGCATCTACTTTTATTGGGTAAGTATATACTTGCTTTGAAAAATGAGATACTTGTTACATTTTAGTTAAGGAACCTGCTAGTGAAGATATAAGAAACTGCATATAATTGTTTTCCTTGATTTTATAATTTTTTTTTCCTTAACTTTCTTTGACAATAATTTCCCTTCTTTATGGAGGCCTAGTCAAAGGCAAAGTAGTACTCTGCAAGAACATTTATTTTCTTGTGAAGTTATAAGTAATTTTCATATTGGACATAATTCACCCTTTTTTTTTTGGGGGGGGGGGTCTGACTTGCTTGTTTCATAAATTTTTTGCATGGTGAAAATCAGAGCCTATTCATAGAATGGAAAGAAAATTTTGCTTTAGAACCATGAACATGAATATGTCTCACAGTTTTCTGGGTATTGACAGCTCTTCGTTGCTTAATTTGAAAGCCTTTGCATTGAAAGAAAAACAGAGAAGAAAGAAAAGAAAGATAAAAAGAGTCCCCTTTTTTCATGCTGTGTTATAAAGCAGCTATTACGTCAAAGCATGAGATTTCAAGACTATGAAGATCACTTTCTGCAAAAAAAAATGTGAAAATTGGGGAATCGTGTTTTTCACTAGTACTTATATTGGGGTTTACGATTAGTATTTTGTATTTAGCTTTTGTAATTTCTTTAGCAGACTCTCCTTTATTCTTTAGTTCTTTACATTCAGTTCTGAGGCTTTACTGATTCATGAACCTGTATTTCTTTTCAAATTGAACTTGTAGGGAGATGAAAATGTTGGGGTCGCTCTTTTGACATACCCTGTTCTAATGGCCGCTGATATTCTCCTATATCAGGTCGTTTCCAATGCTCTAGCTTTCTGTGTCTTTGTCTCTAATATTTCTCTCTGGATGTTTATCAATTTATTTCTTCTTTTATGGAGCTACTTGCGAAAGCTTAAATACCAATTTTAATGTACCTGTAATACTTATTAGTGACTTTATCTTTTTCTACATAATTTTTACAAGTTCCAATGTTTTAAAGTTTTATTTGGACTTTTTTATGGTGGATTGACATTACCTTGAATTTGCACAATTCTTATGAAGTCCAGCTTGCTTTTGCAGTCAGACTTTGTCCCAGTTGGTGAAGATCAAAAGCAGCATTTGGAATTGACCCGTGAATTAGCTGAACGTGTCAATTATTTATATGGAGGAAGGAAGTGGAAGAAGTTAGGCGGGTAGGGGATATTGTCTTTTAAACTGGACATAAATGGCACCTTATGACTTGTTGGAATGACCCTTCTTATTTTTGTGACAGCCGAGGTGGTGCCATATTTAAGGTAAGTGGTATTCACTCATTGACAAGTGTTAATGAATCATATCGAAATATAGTATTTCTGTCAGTGCTTTCTATGACGTAGGTTCCAGAGCCGCTTATACCTCCAACTGGAGCCCGAGTTATGTCACTAACTGATGGTCTTTCCAAGGTTTCTTCTTTTTGTTTCTTTCTTTTTTATTTTCTTTTTTCCCTTTTATGTGCATATCTGTATCTTTCATATCTGCCACTTCTGCTTTTCCTGTATTAACTTTTGAAAATTCATGTGTATGTCTGATATATCTGATTTACCATTAAAGTAGATAGAACAACATGAGATATCGATTGAAAATTTAGTATAGGTTGCCAGCACTGATAATTTTCTTTCGGTTGAACTTCCCAAGTTTTAAGAACAAACTTGTGATATTCAGGCAAATTATATAAATATGTTTTATGCTTTCTTTTCAATGTTATTGTTCCTTTCATGTCATCATGCAAGGTCACGTTCAATTTGTTATCCCCTCATGTACCCTCTTGCCTTGTTGGAAGGGAAAATAAAATCTTTATGATGATACATTTCCATAGAACTATGAACTGAAAAAGCTACTTGTAATTGCAGGTGCAAATTTCTTTCCAATTAATTAAAAATGGCAAAATGCTAGATTCACTATTAACATCTAAGCCTTTATACTTATTCTGAATTCTGGCATTTGTTGTGCGTCCATCTGATAGATGTCAAAGTCTGCAGCTTCTGATCAATCCAGAATCAGTCTTCTTGACCCAAAAGATGTAAGTATGAGTACAGTTTCACTTGTTGTAGTGCTTCGTATGTCAGCCTTACTGCATAATGTAAGACTTATTTAAAAAAATTATCATTTATAATTATTTTTGAAAAATTTTTCATTTCAAAATTTATGGAATTTTGTTATGATCTGTAAGATAGTAATATTAGAAGCAATAATTGAATTTAGCAATTACCGTATCAATAAAAATTGTATCTCATGGTGAGTGCTGCTTTCTCGTAGCATTCAGCCAGTAACGAGATTGTCAAATTCACATTATATAAATGGGAGTATTTATATAAAGAGAGAAAGTTTCATATAGTACAGCTACATTTGGAATTACAGAGGGCCTCTACTTTTTCTTTGAATAATTGTTGTGTCTTATTAGATTTAATTCATGTTACCATTAGAGTTGGAGAAGCTTATTCATTGGGAGATAAGTGCTTTAGCTTCAAGATTGACCTGATTCCTTGAGTGATTACTTAATTTATGCCTCCGAGTACAAACCATGAATATTGAGACAAACACAGGGATATGACACAGGCCCTTTTTGAAGCGTTTTGCTCTACTGATTGACAGCATATAATTAGGCATCACTACAAGCATTTTCAGTTCTGCAATGCTTTTATTATTGCCTGAAGTATGACTGAATATATTCTCCCTAATTTAGCTGTTGATTTTCCTCTCATCCCACTTGCTCTGAGATTGTTTTGTTTTGTAGCTGATAGCAAACAAGATAAAACGTTGCAAAACTGATGCGTTCACTGGGTAGGTATTTTTCATTGTTTTATTTGCAATATGAAGATACGATGATCTTAGTACTCGGAGTAATGGTCTCTAAATATTTTGATCCCCTCCCCTTATAAATCTTTGTTAATCTGCTGCCCAACTAGTTCTAAAGTTACTGTTTTTGGACTTTGTGGTGAACCTTACAGCTTAGAATTTGACAATCCTGAAAGACCCGAATGTAACAATCTTCTTTCCATATACCAGCTCATTACAGACAAGACAAAAGAGGTAATAAAACATCTTATTTTTAAAAAATTATTTTTGCATTATGCTTGTTCAGTTGTTAAACTCCTATTAATGATGTTGGGACCTGCTTAGTTTGTTCAAACGTCTATTCTGCTGGCCTTATACAATTTTGGGATTTGGCATGATTAATGAACTATTAACTTGATGATATTTTATCTGTGAGCATTACATATGATATTATACAAATTAACAGTCGTTATAATTGATGCTACATCAGAAAATGTGGTTTGGCAGGTGGGTCTAAATACTGTTCTGTCTTATTCTAGGGTAAATGGGGAGAGAGAGAAAGAAAGAGAAGGATGTCTGAAAGAAAATTCTCTGGGACAAAGCCCTTAGAAATTAAGGCAAAAGAGATCCAATACAGCCAGAAAGAAAATGGTTTTCTGGCGAGAACAATAGCAAACTTATTCTGAATGGATTAAAGTATTATTTCCTCACTACTAGCTTTTACTTATTGGAAAGAATATAAATTAATAAGAACAAATCATAGTTATTGACAAGGAGCGTGTTTGGACCAAAATATTTTACCAAGAAGTATAGGGCATGTTCTAGAAGGCACTTGATGGCTGTGTACACATCTAAACCATATCGGCATCAAATTAGAAAAATTCTTGAGTTGATCTTCTAATAGGCTATCTTGGGCGTTCGGCATAGTTTTTTAACAGAGGGTTTGGCAGTTTTGCTGAACGTATAAGTTGCTATTCTTTATTCCTTTTTGTTCTCAATCTGCTTCTAGGATTTTCTACTGCATGATACTTCATTCTTTTATTTTCTTATCCTTGACGTAATTACTTCTTTGATTAAGGGGAAATAGGTTCTTTCTGCTATGGTTACTAATGGACGGGTGTTTACTTGAGGACTTTCGTTTTAGAAGTGTTTTTTTTCCCCTGAAAAAAAAAAAAAAAAAATTCCCCATCATACCATAATTAATGGCTTTCAAGCAATCTGATTTATTTTTGTGGTAATTATTTTTATATCCAGGAAGTTCTGCAAGAATGTCAAAATATGAACTGGGGCACATTCAAAGCTCTTTTAACAGATGCCCTGATTGATCATCTGCATCCCATTCAGGTTTTAACTTTTCATTGATGCCAAAATTCTATGGCGCAGCAATGATGGATATAAAATATAAAATCTGTACTGGTTTAAATTCTTGTTCTCTATCTTTTTCTTTTTTCATGGAACTGCCTTATATCTTTCATCCTACGAGCTACAAATCACTGATTCCTTTTTTTTTTTTTTGGGGGTCAAGTCACTGAATATTTGTTGACAACTTGACATAGTGTTGGAAGGAAAAGTCAGCATTCTTATGTTAGTTTTGGTAATTAGGAATCCATATAACACTGCTTGCATGAGATTTTTCTAATTGGAATTTTCATTTCTTCCTTTTAACTTTTTTAAAATATTGTCATTGATGAATGTGTTACTTTCACTGTCATCCTTGTCTTGGCACTTCCTTGTACGCTGTGTTGAGATGGAAGGCTATTGTGCATGGATTTTTGACTTCCATCCACCCTATTGAGATTATGGAAAATGCGTGGTGATAATCTGTCAACCAGATATTTTGAGTGGGGCTGTAGTAGGACTGTGGCATCAGGTTGATGTCTACATAATTTATGGCAGATAAGATATGGAATCATGGTCTCCCTAAAGACTTAAATACAAAATAAAACGAAAGTGGTTAGTCATGTATCTGAGCAAATCAACTTTCCTTTTCTCATTTTCATTCAAACACTTCGTGTAAACATGTAATATGACTTTTGATGGTATTTTTTGACAAATTATATATGAAAGGGAATTAATAGCACATGAGTGCATGTGAAGATTCTCGTTCATTTAAGTCTTTTAACTAGCTTTTTTTATGGTGGCTTCTAATTATCCAAGGTTAAATTTCTTTCCTAACTATTAGATTCCACCTCCTAACCTGTGTTATTTTTCCGAAGACATTTTATTTTGCTGGTGCCAGGTTGGACAACTCAAATGGGGCAGACGTCTATATGATCTGAACACACCCTATCCGTAAATATTGTTGCTAAAGACAAATAAACTTGATTAAAGTCTAAAATATTCTATTCCGAGTATAATTCTTCAATTTTCCATCAACTGGATAGGTGATCTGCCTTGAAGGGGGCTGGTCATAGAAGCAGTCAATCCTGCATTTTGAATTTGTCTGTCTTGAAATGTTGCATGCTGCTGTACTTGAGTTGTCAGTTCTTTTGATATGGATATTTGTTTTCAAAATTTGATCATGCTTTGTTGAATTTGCACACGTGCATGGGTATATTTGCGGTTTCCCGCTTTTCATCATGCTGCTGAATGTCTGTGGACTGTAATACAGTCGGGTACAATCTGATCTTGGCTAGGTCTTCAAATCTGAATTGTCAATTTGTAGGCACATGCTGCTGTGCTTGAGTTGTCAATTCGTAGACGTTGATATATGATTTGATCTTGATGCATCAAATTTGAACACATGCATTTGTTTGCTGTTAGTCGATTCTCAGTCCTCAGTATGCTGCTGAACATAATCATCACTTATTGCTTAATGCTGTCTTTTTGCTTTGAAGAATGTCTTTGTAGGTCATCTGCGTTCCTTCAGCTGTGCTCATACATTTTTTAGTCTGACTCTGTTTATTTTTTTAATATAATCTTGTGTTCCTGTCAAAGTTCATCAGTCATCATCAAGCTTTTTTTTTTTTTTTCAAACTTTGCCAGGTTCGCTATGAGGAAATCATGTCCGATTCTGGTTATTTAGATCAAATCTTAGCAGAAGGTGCTAGAAAAGCTTCTCATATAGCAGATGCTACACTCCAAAACGTTTACCAGGCAATGGGATTCTTGAGAAAACAATCATAGTCGATGCTCGGGAATAATTGAAAAGATGAATGAGACAGCAACTTAAAGCTAACTTTTGGACGATTTATCGCCGTCCACCACTGGGTTTTGGATTACAGCTTTTTGACTACTGGAAACACTATTTGATGTCCAGGTCCCAGAGGTTCTTGATGCAAAGTTCTATACACCAGACAGGTTAATTTTCATATTCTGTGTTCTCGATGTATTTAGTTGTCAACTTCATATTTTTTGAACTTTTCCATCATTACTTGTGAGCTGTAATTTAAATCTTATGGTTAATAATTGGGTCCTCATTGGTAATAATCTTTGTGGATCTTAGTGAATATCTTTCTGTCCCCTATTATTATTTTTTCATGTCTTGTTCTTCAGTGTTTTGTTTGCGAGCGAAGCATTGGCTGGAAAATAATCGTTCAACTCATCAACCCCGAGAGGCTGTTGATAATGCTATGAATGAAACATTGCCATGTCAGTTGATGGGGGAAAAAAATCTCTCGTCTCGCTTTTCATGTTACTTGCCTCTGTTTTTCCTCTTCCTCCTTTTGAATTACGGTGCAACTACACTATGATTTCTTGCTGAAAACGTAGAAATATGGACTTTCTTTCAAGTATGCATTCATTGAGATGCCGAAAGCAAACATCTGACGTGGAATTCTACGGTGCTGGCCTTAGGTAGTGGCATGCTTATCATCATAAGAGACTGAGGAAAGGAATATTATAGGCTGCTGAAATGTACATTTCGTGTATATTCCCGGGCAGTGGCCTCACGACGTACCCACGGAATTAGTTCCTTTTGAAATGAAGAGATGTGATAGAGCATCTGTCCAGAGAAAACTAATTGGAAATCGCATTGCAAAATCCCTCTGCCTGCTTTTCCCCACTTCACTTTTTTTCGGATGTGCAGCTAGAGAATAAAGGTTTAATATCTTATCATATGAGCTGAGCAACGCAGGTGGAGAGATCAATGGAACAAAACACGTGTTGCTGTCGGGGGCCCACCGTTGGTTGATGTAAATTGTAAAGTGAGATTCTCACACCATCAATCTTTAGCAATCAGTGAACAGAATCTTGAATTTCCTATCATGTTTCCTTGGGCTTAATATTTAGCTTCTTTTGACAAAATGGAACAAAATATTTAGCTTCTGTTACGGGTTATGGGTTACAGCACACTGGAATGCATCTTGCCTTCTATAAGGTATCATGAGGATGCAGGAACTATAGTTTGTATGAAGTCCATATGATGCCGAGAGAGGCATTTCCTATGAGCCCCCTAAAAGAAGTCACATAAATGCATTTCCATGAAGCTGACTTCCAATTACAGTAATCGGTGAGCTAATTAAGATTCAAAGCAGTCTGTCTATTCATTGGGTTCGTTCCGCTTACATGAAAGTGATCGATGGTTATTACCCACAAAAAAGTGGTCATTGGTCAAAATAGCTTTATGCTTATACCTATGCTCCAAGTAGGAAAGCCTAGAAATGCAGATTGAGTCCTGGTTTTTGAAGTAAATGATGGCAGAGAGTACTAAATCTAAACCTACCCGTTGATCACGCATCCAACTTGTTAAGTAGCTCAATAGGCTTCTGCGATCAGCTAGTTGAATTGTTTATTTAAACGGTGCCTGTTGTTTGGGGAGTTCCTTTTTTAATTTTATTTTAACAATTGAAAAAACCCCACGCCCCTCGAAGAGGAGAGAAGGCCATACACCCACCCTTTTCTCTCTCTCTCTCTCTCACACACTTCCCTATTTGACCATTTTGGGATAAAGAACTTACATTCTCCTATGAGAGAAGCTATGAGATGTTATTGAACCAAGAGTTTTTTGCCACCGTTGGACGGCTTAATTTTATTAAACATTTTTTTTGGTATAAATCAAAGTGCATTTTCTTTTCTTTTTTTGGAAAAATATTTTCTTGCATTTTAAAGACAGGAGTGTCCAATCAGACTCCTATAAATATCATTTTGCATATTCTATGAGCTCTTTTTTTTTTTGGTTAATACTTATACTCTACGCTGGAACTGCAATTTTTATGTTGCACATACCCAGACAGACACATGCTTTTATTAGCATCCTATGAGACTTCCATACATATACATACACATAGAGATAGATGAGAAAATTTCACCAAAAGAAGCTTAAAATTAGGAAATTTTAAATTAAGTTTGGTAACAACATTTAATAGGTTTTAATAACACTGGATTTATAAATAACAACATATTTTTATTAAAAAAAATATTTGGAACTTAGTGATTTTAGACTTTTTTTTGGTGAGATTTTTCCTAAATAGATCCATACATGTAGGGAAGTTGCCATAAAAATAGAGAGAGAGAGAGAGAGAGAGAACGGGGGTTGCGTGCCTGCTAGTCAGTCGAAATAAAAATATCTACATGTTTCAACGAACAAAAAAATTAAGGTAAAAGTAGATCAGCGCCTCAATATATTTTTTTTCCCAGGTACCCCATCTTTTTCATGATGCATTCAGTATCTGATCACCTCAATACTATTTTTTAATTACATTCAATATACTAAAAATGCAACTCAGTAAAAAAAAGATTGGTTGCACCTTTATCCAATAATCAATATATGAGAATAAAAGGAGGCTGCTTTGGAGGGAGAAAAAACAAAAAAAAAAATGCGAAGAATAAATAACAGTAACTTGACAATGATGTGATGTGCGGATATTTTTTGAAAAATAGGTGAAAATTCATGTTTGAAATTTTTTTTAAATTTGAGTATTGATATCTTTTATATGTAAAATTCTATAAAATACTGATAACGTCTGTGTGTAAAAACATATCAAGTTCTTCTAATAATAAAATTTTCAAACAGAAATTTTTACTTATTTTTCCTACTTTCTCAAAAGTAAATGCCATTTACACAATATGTAAAGGAGCTTATAATATCTTTTGCATGTGATTTTTATGGCACGGAGGAAAATTTCAAGCGGAAGTGGGTGCGTGTCTTGGTGTGTGCAGGTGAAAAAGGGGTGAGAGAGATTCTTTCCCCTTTTTTCTCTTAACTTATTCTCTACATCTCTTTCAATTGTTAAATTAAATTTAAATGGATGAAATTTAATACTTGATAAAAATATTATTAAAATATTAAATAATAAAAAATAATTTAATATACAAACATTTGATTTAAACGGACTATTATTAAGATATTTTGTAAAGTGATTTTTCTTTTACCTTTTCTAAGTTGCTCAGATTAAATTTTAAAAACTTAAGCATATGAAATTACTTTTTATTGTTTAATGTTTGATAATAATGTCATATGATATGAAAGAAAAATGGTAAGGGAGTGAAGCTAGAGATAGAAAAGTGGGGAGAATGTCAGTGGTGGAATAAGAAGAAGAGGAGGAGGAAGAAAGGGTTTGTGCATGAATTCAAATGTATGGGAGAACATATATTAACAAAAAGAGGTAGCTTTTCAAGAGTGGGGCATAAAACTAATGGGAAGAATGAATACCGGTCATTTGACCATTTTCTATGTACTCAAATATATCATGCTGTGTTTGGTTTGTTATGATAAACTTGACTTTATCATGTCACATGTCAAAATATTTCGAATATTTCATATTGGTGAATAATAAATATCTTGTGTAATATGAAAGTGATATATATGTGTGTGTGCGTGGGCTATATAAATCTTCTCTGAACTTAGAATTATGTACAAATAATCTCATTAACTTTTAAAACTTAATAATAAATTCCTAAACTTTCAAGTCTAAGCAGAAAACTTAAATTTATCAATTTTATACCCCCCAAACTTTATTTTTGTATGCGTAGAATCTCCTCAAACTGAAACATGTGGAGTTAACTCCCTAATCCTCAGGATTTGTTGGCTCAATGAGAGGAAGGGGAGGGGAGGGATTTTAATAGAGGGAAGGGGAGGGGAGGAGAGTGAAAGGATTTTAATATTACCTTATTTGGATTTATAAAAAGAAGGAGAAGGGAAGAGTTTTAATATTACCTTGTTTGGTTCATGAGGGGAGAGGAGGGAAAAATATTTTTACATGGACAATTTTACCCTTATTTTATTTAAAATATGGGTATAATGGTTACAACATGACAAAATATGCGCATAATGGTCACAACATGACAAAATATTACCCTTTCTTTTCAAATCCTCCCAATTTTGGATGGGAGGTTGAGGAGGAGAGGGGAGGGTTTTTTAAAATTTTCCCTCCTTTCTTAAAATTTGTGTGTTGCCAAATAAGAAAAAATGATTAAAATCCTTAAAAATTTTCCCTCTCTTCTTAAAATTTGTGTGTTGCCAAATAAGAAAAAATGATTAAAATCCTTCCCCCTCCCTCCCTTCCCTTCCCTCCCAAACCCCTCATACCAAACACACCCTTAAATTATTTATAGATAAATAATGAATAAGACTAATAATAGGTGAGTTATCTGCGTGAATGTAAAAGTGCAAGGTTTATTGTGAAATTTAAAATGTTAGGACGGTTATTTGCACATGGTTTTTATAATTTAACCATACACACACACGCGCACACTCTTGCGTGGTAGTAATTGGGGAGAAAAAAAAAATCACCCTATGACAGTCAAAACGCTCTGTTGATCTGAATGAGGGGTCGGTCCAAGAATGTATAAAAAATATAAATTTTATTATAAGTCACGTCTTTCGTAAATTATAAATAATGTGATATATTTTTAAAGTCTAATCTAACTTCATAAAGAATACAGCACACTAAATTAGACAGAGACAACAACTATTTTTTTTCTTTTTTATTTATACATGTGTGTGGAAATTATAATTGTATTAAAAATATTCAAATATTCCTAAGCATATCCAAAGCAATTATGAATCTAAAACTGAATATTTCTAAATTATGCCAAAATCAATTATGAACTCAAGACTATTCATCTCATAAGCTATTGTTATATGTTTTCGAATTATATCTAAAATCTAAAAGATTTTCCAGCTCAAATCCAAATACCATCTCATACATCACTCTGGTTTTATTTATTCGTCACTTGTATCTCAAACCCGTAAATCAAGAAATACATTGAATTTGAAGAGTATAAATAAAGTGGACCACAGTCCTCGTTTTCTGATGTCAGTGTAATTGTTAAGAATCTTAAAAGATGGGAATTATTCGACAGAGACAGAAATTTACATATACTGCTAAAACAAATGCAAGTGTGATGCGGTAGAGGCACGTGAAAGGTAATATTCGGGATATACATATATTAATAGTTCCTTTTCATACTATTTTTGTTGAAAGAAAATAAATGGCGAAAAAAAGAATCCGAAACCGAAAAAAGGAAATGAATAAGAATCACGTGACGTGACCTGAAGCTATAAATGCTGCCACCCCCATCACCAAGCCCTGCATCACACAAACCCTATTCTTAGCTTCTTCCATTATTATTTCTTTCTGCTTCTCTTTTTCCTTATTAAGGTCAGAAAAAAAAAATCCAAAAATGAGAAAGGCTCAGCTCCAACAAGAGGCCGCCTTCATGAGAAGGTCCCTCTTTGACCAGGTATATCTTCTTCTTCTTCTTTATACATATATAGTGCCACGTGCATCTCTGGTAAAGTTGGAATATCTTCCTGCTGTAATGTTCAAATGAGATGGAATTAAACCACCTGTTAACTGTAATTTATGTTCATAAGCGCTGGCTAATAGATCGAGTTATGAGTATATTATATGGATATGTTATGTGAATGCATGCTAATAATATTAGTTGATATACATGTGTGTGTGATTCTCTATATATATATACATGTATATCCTTCTGCAAAAGGATTCCAATTAATTAACCCCACGTAAACAGTTTGCAGGTTAATTAATAATCAAGTTGGTAATTAATTAACGATTTAGTTTGGATGGTGATGAACAGGGGTACCTGGACGAACAGTTTGAGGAGCTGGAGGGGCTGCAGGACGATTCTAATCCCAATTTTGAGGAGGAGATCGTTACAGTCTTCTACAGCGACACTGCTAGGATGATCAACAACTTGGACCGCGCACTGTGAGTTTGTGTGTGTGTGTGTGTGTATACCATTCATTCATCTTTAGGGTTGGGTTTGAACATTCTGCTGGTTCTTCTTGAGCACTAATTAATAATAAGGAACGTATAGGATGAGCAGCCCAATGGATTTCGACAAGCTGGACAATTACATGCATCAATTCAAGGGTAGTTGCGCTGGGTATATATTCATCCATATCTTCCCTTAATCCTTTTAACTTCTGATATATATATATATATATATATATATATATTTATATGTTTTTGCTTTGAACCTGCTGAAATCTCACATTGACGTACAGAATTGGAGCCAAGAGGGTGAAACTGGAATGCATAAGGTTCGATGAATGCTGCGCGGCTAGGGACGCAGACGGGTATTGATCCATCAACTTATATATATATATATATATATATATAAATATATATGTCTCTTGCATTTTTCACTTCTTTTTCTTTCTTTTATACGAAACCATCCGTGGTTCGAGTCTACTTAGTTGTTAATCTTTGAGAATATGTAATTTTCAGATGCATTAGGACTTTCCAACGAGTGAAGCACGAGTATGCGACTTTAAAGCAGCAGCTTCAAACTTACTTTCAGGTGTGTGTGTGTAGCCGCCGCCTTTCTTGATTTTAATTTGCACTTTAATTTTGGTGTCACACACGCACACACATATCCATTTCATTTTCAGCAAATGTTTAATTTCGACTTCATTTTGTTTTCAGGTGGCAAGGCGAGCTGCACAAGTTTAATCATACTCATTCACTGCAAATTAAGGATCCCATGTTATCCCCTAGCCTTATCGGTGACCACTATGGTCAAATATTTTTCTGGCTTTAGATAAGTCAATTTTTACATATATATTCCCTAGCTTTTGATCAGTCACTTGGCTCAAGTTCCTTCATTATCTGTTTTCTTTTTCCCATTTAGTCACCAATATTACAGCAATGTTATGGCTCCAAGATCTGTTTACTGGTATATTTAAATAAGATGAAAAAAAATAATGTCCCATGATAAAGCGGATTTTTATACAATGTAGTACTACCTCCGATTATAGTTATAAGACTCCGTCTGTAGTCTACAAATATGGTCTTAGAATAGGAGGTAGTGTATCCTTTTTCTTTTTCTTATGCTTGCTTTGTTTTAAGTATCAAATGGCTCATCATCATTTTGAGATAAGATGAGAATAATCGTCTGTTTGTCTCCATCTCCAGTTAGGTACCAATGAACAATATGACAGTGTTCAAGACTTTTGTCGTTTGTGTTTCGTTTCTCTCTTTCTATCAATAAGAAATGCCTTTTATTACGATTTTCGTTTCTGTTTCAATATGCTCATATCGGCCCATCGCACAACATTCGATCGATGTTTCTAATATTAAAAAATAAAAATATAAAGCACAAAATATCTTCCTAACATTTAATACAGATGACAATTCACGTTGGCAAAAAAATATACTCCTCCGGTCCTTATTATAAGACCCCATTTGACTTTTTATTTGGTCCTAATTATAAGACCCCAATCCATTTTGTCTCTTATATTTATATATTTTTTTCCAAGATAATCTTTCTAATAATGATAGTTTTAGCCAATGTACTTAATTAGCAAAGATATTTTAGGAATGACAATACTTATTTATTATAAATAACCAACTTAACTTACTTCCTTAATCTCCTCAAATAAGTCAATTGGGTCTTATAATTAGGACCGGAGGAGTACATCACAATTCACAAAACTATCTTTTGGCGGTTGGATTATCATTGTAATACTCTTCCTGTCCTATTTATCATTGAGGATTATCATTGTAATACTCTTCTTGTCCTATTTATAAGGCACTTCTAATATATTTTATGCAAAAAAAAAATAATCTTAAACCATATCAACTATTCTTAAAATATAATAAATTTTCAACTTTACTCCTATTTAATATATAGGCCATTTAAAAGAATAATCATCTATACTATGATAAATAAAGAATAAAATATTATTTTCATATTAAAAATTTAATATGCTTTATAAACAGAAACAGATGAGTATGGATTATTATAAGCAGCCGTTTTAATTTGATGAGCGAAGAAGCATATAATGCCTTGTACATGCATGAAGGAGTTAAAAATGAGAATAAAAAAGTTTTTTTAATATAATACTGAAAGGGAATAAGTTCGCTTTCATGCTTTCAGAGGAATATATTTTTATATAAAAAGTTAACTTTATCAAAAGGTTCAAGAAAGCAATATAAATATTTTCTCATCATACAGGAGTATATATTATATAACTAGATCAATCTTTCCCTTATATTAAATGCAGGAGGAAGACACAATTTTCTTTTCTGCACATATCAACGTCTGCAGTGTACAACTGAATATATGCACATCAAATCTTCATCATTAAATGGATCCATTCTTTTTATTCTTTTGCCTTTTATTGTATTCATCTACGCTCCATGTTTCGTCTTTTTTCCCAGCAAGAAATGAGAATGCTTCGTGTTTAAAGCAACAAGCTGATTTATCTCCAATTGCTACGGCGTGCACGATATATCAGCTTGTCTTCTATTATACTCCCTCCGTTCCTTATTATAAGAGACGAATAACCGAATTACGTTGATCAAAAAAATAGTTAAAATTAGTTAAGAACAATTAATATGTAAAAAGTATAATTTTTTTTCCAAAAATGCCCTCATTAATAAGGAGAGAGAACAATGGTAATTTATTAAAAGAAAGAGAAGTGGGAAGGAGAGAGAGTGTGAGTTGGAGACAATAAATATGGGTAAAATAGGAAATCAACACAAAAAAGTAGAGACAACTTTTAAGTGTCTCTTATATATAGGAACATGCCATAAGCACTAAATGTCTCTTATAATAAGGAACGGAAGGAGTACTACTCTCTGTGTGTGTGTGTATCATATGGCCTACGTGTTCCAATTTTCCAAAGCACAAAAATATTGAAATCTAGGTGATTTAATTTTACTGTTCGGCCATAGGTGGCAATATATATATATATATATATATATATATATTGTTCGGCCATAATTTATGTACCTTTTATATTTTATATAGGACTTAAATTCACAACCTCACCCTTAAAAGGGCTCTAAGAAAGATACTTCTAGTCATTAATTAAAAAAACTAAAAGTTGAGACTTGGAATAAAAAGGTACAAGGGTATATATACGTGTAGGTAGTATAATATTTCTTCCGATTTTATTTATAAGTTTTAAATCTGGAGAGGGGTATAGTTCATTTTATAAGTTTTAATTTTAGATTTGTTTAAACATTTAATGTATTTTTTTCAATTTTATCTTTAATTATTTATTTTCTCTCTCTTTTTATATCCTCTTATCATATTTTCCCATGCATTATTTTTTATTTTTTCTTATTTATTATGAAAGTGTATTTAAAAACAAAACTATATTTTTAATTTATCTATTACTTTAACTAATTTTAACTAATTATTTATTATTTGTGAATTAATCATTTAAAGTTTAATTTATGGATGAAACTCAGCAAGTCCTAGGTTTGACTTTTGCACTGTGCTATTTAATTCCAACATAAATGCGTCACTCTCATTTATGCATAATCTCGCTTCCCTACGCTAACATATTCATTCTTCTTGTTACAAAATCACTAAACTATCCATCCATTTGCTTTTATGAGCAATAAATTCTACGCCTTGGCGGTAAAATTTACAAATAATTATTTAGTGGCAAAATTCAAATTCATATTTTTGTCTGCTATTGTATTTATTATTATTATTACTAAGTACTTATTAATAATGCATGCAAAATTTAAATTTAATCATTAGTGAACCAGATAACTATATCCAAACATAATTTTGCATATCGTCTCTAAAACAGAAGGAAAAGACCACATCATTCTCTGTTTTTGGTTTAAATAACTCGTCTCTTGGCTCTCTTATCGTGCCAGTCATTACGAATATAAAACTGATGCGAGTATAGGAGGTTTTTTGGGCGGGGTCTATTTAAAATAATGACAATACATTATGGGGTTGGGATATGTGTGTGTGTGTGTGTATAAATATATATAAGGAGCTCAAAGCAGTTGAAACAGATGGAGGTAGCCCATCATCAATTGATTTGTGAATGAACAGGTATAAAGGTACACACGCGCACATATATATGAAACCCGTCTTTCTGCTTTCTTCTTCTCTTGTTCTTCCTCCTCCTCACAATAAATACAGTTGCGTTGTAAATTGCTTGAATGTATTGGGTTTTTACTCAACTAACCTATATAATTGGCTGTGGATGATCAGTGAAATAATCGATCTAGCAGAGAATGGAGGTGGAATCTGGTGCTCTTCATTATTTCGCTGACGATCATGCCCACCAACTCGTCGACGATGATGGCAGACCTTCCAGAACCGGTCAGCTCTCTCCCTCTCTCTTCCTTCCTTATTCCTTTGCACAGTTCATGGTTACATCACAAGCATGACTTTTACTAATTTCAGTATTCTCACAGTTTAGTTTGAGGATCAACTTCAACTTCTTATTGATATTTGGTCACGTTTTTATATATTCACTATTAATATATGAAGATTTTGTCGTAAGCGGACAAAAAGTACTCTTTGAGTTTAGAGAGGCATCCCCTGATTTTGATGAAATCCTAGAGACCTTAATTAATTATCTCAATTTCTTCTGTTGAAAAAAAAAGAGTGTATTTTCTCTGAATGGCTTCTTTGAATCTCTTTTTTTCTTTTCCAATTTGGTCATAATAAGTTCCTCTAGAGGAAACAAATCCACTAAGTTCAATTTTCTATATACTCTTAAATTGTGTATTAATTTCTTTGGATACTCTAAAACTGTCTTTCTAATTATTTTCATACTGTGGACATTATATCATTTATCAATGACGATACAGCTTTATGCAGTATTTTAAGTGCCGATAAAAATACATTAGGGGTGCTGGAAAGAGTTTTCAACAAATAAAATAATATATTAATGGCCATTTTTTGTCGTATAACTAAAAATGTATTCTGACAAGGGAAAAAAAAACTATAAGTGACATTGTTTGGCATAGTGATATTGCTTTTGTTTTTAAGGAAAAACTCTTAAAAATATTTACTTTTCTTTTTATGGGAATAAGAAGCTTCTAAAACAAGTGACAATTTTAAGTTATTTCAAGAAAGCATATTTTTTCGCCAATCAATTTAAGAAAAAGCATGAAAGGACCAATTCTATTTTTTTGACCAGAAACCAATTCTATTTTGAAATAAGAGTAAACGGCTTTTCTTTCTTCTTCTTCTTTTTAAAAGATGCCTTTTATTTAAAATTGCTAGTGACATATTTATTCTTCATCTTCCTTATTCTTCTCACTCCCGCGCTCAAGCATGTCATACGTGCATATTTTTTTAGATTTTTTTTAAAATTTATTATCTATTTAGTTAAGGGTGTATCTTGATAAATTTACTTTTATTAAAACATTTTATTTACTTGATTTGATGTTATTTTGTAAACTTCAACTAAAGAAGACATTAGAAACTTAACTGAAAACAGCAATATTTAAACTCTCTCTACTTTATTCAAAACAATATTAATTATGAGGTCAAATTTATGCAGTCCTCCTTGAAAAATTTCTGCTGAGGATAATACTATTAACATTTAACAAAAATGTTTATAAAATAACTTTGTCGAGCACGGATAATTTATCTAATTACCATACTTTTCATGAAAATAAAAATCAAACAAGTAGTCAGTAACTTCAAAACAAACCAAAATTCAGAAGTCACGATATACGAAAGAGATGCTCAAATACAGAAATATTTGACCCCGTTGACCCACTGACATCAACTAGAAATCTCACATCCATCACACTTGATTACACAGAGTAATATATGAATCAAACTCCAGATTATAGAGTTTTAGAAAATTTCTAGCAATCTGCCAATGCGTATATCAAGCGAGGTGATTAATCACAAGAGAAACAGGGACGCAATGGACGGCGACAGCACATATAATAACGGCGGTGGTGGGGGCGGGAGTGCTGTCTCTGGCGTGGGCCATGGCTCAGTTGGGATGGCTCATAGGCCTAACCACTATCTTCGCCTTCGCCGCCGTCACCCTCTATGCCGCCAACCTTCTCGCCGACTGCTACCGATCGCCGGATCCCGTCTCCGGCAAGAGGAACTATTCGTACATGGCGACTGTCAAAAACATCTTAGGCGGGAAACAATACATCTTTTGTGCGATCGTCCAGTATGGCAATCTCGCTGCCTTTGCCATTGGCTACACAATCACTACTTCGCTCAGCGTCGTGTGAGCCATACAATCTCTTTAAGTACTTTCATGACTTCGCTAGCTCCTCGTCAGAACAGAGGTTAAGAATTAAATGGCGGATATTTCTTTCAGGGCAATACGCAAAATCAATTGCTACCATTACAAGATGGAGGGAGAGTCGTGCCGTTACTCGAATAATCCATACATGATTGTGTTTGGAATTGTTGAAATAGTTTTGTCCCAAATCCCCAGTTTTCACAAGCTTTCTTGGCTCTCTATTATAGCAGCTGTAACTTCCGTTGGGTATGCATCTATTGGCGCCGGCCTTTCTTTTGCAACAATCATCAAAGGTTTGTCTCCCAGTTTAATCTGTTTTCAAAGTAAGAAGTATGGTCTGGTGATTTATATTTATAGGGAGAATGAGAATGGATTGAAACAGGGAAAGGAAGCAAAACATCCTTTACTGGTAGCAATCCTGATCAAACTCCCGCAGATAGAGCGTGGAACATGCTCGTTGCTCTGGGGAACATTGCACTTGCTAGTACTTACTCTCAACTTGTCATCGACATCGAGGTATTGTTAGTGTTTTTTGTGTAAATACACTAGTATTCTCTCGAGGGGGAACAAAAATCGAGTCTTGAGTTGAATTTATTGCTCTGTTTCGCTAAGGTTGTGCCCATCGAAACAGGACACTTTAAAGTCATCGCCGCCAGAAAATGAAACGATGAAGAAGGCAAACAGGAATGGAATAGTCACAATGACAATCATGTTCCTGTTGTGTTCGTGCTCTGGCTACGCTGCCTTTGGCCCACACACTCCTGGCAGCATCCTCATGGCCTCTGGATTTCATGAGCCCTTCTGGCTAGTCGACTTAGCCAATGTACTGATCGTGGTCCATCTGGTTGGCGCGTATCAGGTTCGTAAATTTACTCTCTTCCCATGTCATGTTTTTATTCGAAAAACCAAGCGCTAATACCTAAGATTTTTGTTATTATTGAACAACAACCTTTGGACAGGTGATTACCCAACCCATATTCCGAGTGGTGGAAACCATAGCTGGGCAGAAATGGCCAAACACAGCGTTTGTGACGAAGGAGTACAGAGTGAGCATTGGGAAAAAGAAGTTGAATATGAATATGTTGAGGCTGGTCTGGAGGACCATATTTGTGGTGGTGGTGACAGTACTAGGCATGGCAATGCCATTTTTCAACGACATGCTTGCACTCCTTGGAGCAATTGGGTTCTGGCCCTCCGTCATTTATTTCCCAGTGGAGATGACCATTGCCAGACAGAAACTTCAGAAACGATCTCTCTACTGGTTTGGGCTTCAGACACTCAACTTCTTTTGCTTCCTTGTGTCATTGGCTGCAGCATGTGCTGCCATTCACGGGATAAGTCGAGCCATGGGGAGATTCAAACCCTTTATGTACAAGGAGTAGTTTGCGTGCCATTTCTGAATGTCTGGGAACAAAAAGACAATTGTCATGAATAGCTTGGTTGGAAATGCCCCTTCATGATTTGAGATTTTATGTTATTGAAATGAAACGGTCATGCCTAATTTAAAATGAAAAGGGCAATCAATGGTTGTGTTCCATCTATCCTCATGAATCCCATCACCATTCCGATCCTCCCTCTCCCATGACTATTCCGATCCTCCCATCAAGGATTTCAGTTGGAGTAAAGGAGGAAAAAGACAAAAAGAAAAAAAAAAAAAAAAGCTAGGAGTCCCGCGCCCGCCATTGATGGATTCGCATTATGGCCCACAAGAGAAGTAGAGAACTCATCATCGATATGCGGACGGTTGGACAAAGTATGGTCGCACGGCCACTCTTCGTGCCGTTTCGATGAATGAACCCCTCCCGCAGATGTCATCAATTCTTTGCATATAATAAAAATAGGGGAGGTAGAGGCACTGGTTAATGGATTACCTCAACATCGCAATGAAATATGGAAGAGAACCAAAATAGAACCAGAGGGCGCATTCTAAAATCGAGGGAGCAGAGATATTAAAATAAGCCACGTCCCCGGTGAAGAAAATGAGACGACCGTTATGCTGCCATCCTTTTAAACGAGGGAATATTGGTGAAAAATATAGCAATATTTTACAAGATTGTTCTTCACTAAATTAAAAACCGAAACAGTACAAGGCCAAAAGCAGAATGATAATCCCGACCCTCCTCTACAAGTGACTCAACTCTGCTCCTCCAATGCCTCACCCAGAGATTTTCTGTCGTCCCCTGTCTGCTTCTCCTTGACATAATTTTTTCAAATACATTTACACAATGCATCAACCACATCACACCCAACAAACCAAGTTCCAAATCTAACAAATCAAAGAACACCACAACAAAACAAGTCACTGCTCTGAACCTGAAACCCAGTTTCATGGTTTAAAAATGACGAGACATCTTGTGTAACCCCGTCACACTTCTCATCTATGTACAAAAATGATCATCATAGCTCCATCCCCCTACTCCCATGCTCTCAGGGGGCGGCAACAGCCCAAATTCAGCAATGAAGACTCATTTCCTACAAAAAGACGCAAAAACCAACCAGGACAGCATGAAGATATACTAATTCACACTGAAAAGAGTTAAAAAAACATGCCTTGCCACTAGCTACTGCAAAGTTTCTGACCTCGCCCCATCTTGTGGTTATACAACACTTCTGAGTCTGGGATCTGGTGGCTATACACAATATAAAAATAGAAAGCATAAGAATTGGGTTGCCAGGCATGCAAAAATATAATAAAAGGACAAATAAAATGAAACAAAAAGGAAGGTCTTCTCTCTGAGCCCTCTATACACAAAACAAGTCAGGTTGTTAAGCACGTATAGTGGTGCAGGACCTGCGACCACATATTCATCAGTCAGAAAATCGCCTATGAAAGTTAATGACCATGGAAATTGATAATCAGGAAGCAACTCAGGGAAGGTACATGAAAAAACAATAAGCCATGGTTCAAAGACGAGAAAAGGGGGGGAAAATACAAGGACAGACCAAACTGAGTGGACAAATAATGGAAATCAAATCAACATAGATATAACCAGATTAGATTTATTCTAAAAACAGGTCTAAAAAAAGGATTCCATATAACCAAATTAGACTTGTTTTAAAAAAAAAAAGATTCCAATTTTTTTTCCTGAAAAGCCATCAAAATTAATATTGTAACATCTGTTATTAAAATGAAAAGGCATGAAAAATCTAGAAGAATTTAGAAGATCATCTTCATTAAGGGCAGTGAAAGAGAATAGAAGTTCCAAAACCTTGATTCTTCAGCCATGCTATTTTGAAATACTGTATTTCCATCTAAACAACCACTCTTCAAAATGGAATCTGGGTCTGCCACTTAAACATCACCCTGCAAAGATCCCTGACCCTCACTGTCTCCCAGACTTTCAGTTATACCACTTCCATCAACAATAGTCCCTAATCTATAATATGTCTTCAAATGAAGAAACTTACCTCGTAATTGAGATTCTGGGTGCTGGCACTTGGCAAATAGTCTGCATGTTTCAAACAATCTAAATCCAGATCCCGTGCTTTGTCCTCACTCATACCATTCTGAAATTGGACCAACTTCTTAATAAGGAAATTCACACGAAGCAAACAACTCCCAAAGAGATTTCTCCATTGGTTCAGTAGGCTTACCTCGTTCTGAACTTCAGGACTTTCTGATTGCATCTTATCAAGTTTGGAATCAACTACACCTGCTTCGTTTCTCTGTGTGACGCTGCCTAGAGTATCGGTTCCACCTCCTAGTTGTCTCCCAGGTGACTTAATTTCCAAATTTCCATCTACATCCTTGTTTATTGAATTGTTTATCTTAGTCCCTTCAATTAAATCAATACTCGTCTGAGAAATACCACCTGATCTATTACTATTCGCAGGGGAAGCAGACTCCAACCTCTGGGGACTAATAGAGGCCTGCTTCTCTCGTTTTATTGGCTTCACATCTGTTTCAGTATCATTTTTCCTCTTAATGCATCTTTCAGCAGACTCCAAGTAGCACTTTGTGGCATCCTCGCCCATTTTTTCAGCCAGATGACTCAGATGCTTTGACATTCGAGTACGCTTATAACCACCCGGAAAAACAAATGCAGGGAGCTGCCTTCGACGAACATGAGAAACATAAACTTCCATCCCTGGTTTCCAATACATAAACATGTTTATCTCTTGTCTAAATTCATCAACTGTTCCACGTATATCAAATTGCTGTCCTTCTTGACCTCTTATTCCCTCTTTTCTTTGCAAGCCCATGAAAAATGCGCAATGCGGACAAGGCTTGGATGTGTCAGCACACTCATGTGGATAAGGATGACACTGCAACATCCCATTGGTGTCCCTCTCTATCTGCTCAGGTGGAAACCAAATTAGTTGCATTGTTCTAGATTACCTGTCAATAATAAATAAAGAAAATATAATGGACTAAATCCAGTGAAGGGTCTTATATCAGATTCCTACATGATTTTACCTTCAGGGTAAGCAGCCTCAACCGGGATTCTACCCAGCCCTTCCATGCTAGTAAATCATCGGCATCCGCTGCAATAATGTCAACTTGCAAGTAGTTTTTGTACGCCTCAAAAAAAGAATATGGCTCAAAAAGAGCACTCCACTGGGCTTTATTAAGCTCTATTTCCTAACAGCAGAAAATAACATGTGTATCAATCAAATTAAAGGGCCTAGCATGTTAAAGAAAATTTGACATGTTCCACTCACCTCACATATCTTGTTGCCAAACTGGAATTGATCCATCATAACACGAAGAGTGCTTATAGAGACATTATAACTGGAATTCATGCAAGGGTATGCAGGAGTAATTATTGGCATATGATGAAACCTGTCCCGGGGATTCCTACGAGGATCCCATATAGCAAAACCCAGATCATTCTCTTCTATAGGACATAGCATCACAGGGTTTGGCCACCGCCACTGTGTATATACTCTGAAAAACCGAGAAACCAACATGCTAGGAATTGCATTAGGATAAAGCTGGCAAACTCGAGCAACTAGAAGAGCCCAATTAACGCCACCAAGAAATCCAGTAACCTAGCAATAACAAAAGAAGATTATGAATAAAGAGCTATAAAAGTTGATGGCATTAATGATTTAAAACTTTGAAGGTCCAGGATCTTACATTTGAATAAACACCACGCCTTTTAGCCCAATACTTCAAACATATCAGGGTGGTTCGAAAGTTCTAACATCATCAAACGTTAAAGGACTATCAAATTAATAAGCTAGACAATCATAAAAGAAAATGTGTCATTACCGTAAGGAATGAGGATCCATATTACCTCAACGCTGGGAACAAGTTTAAGAATTTGATCTGCCACTCGGCAGCCATTAAGACTTCTAACAGTAGGTTCATCAACATCACACAGCACAGACATACTAGAGATATCCAAATCCTGTTGATAACAATGCATAAAAACCATAAAAAATGGAAGACAAGATAATACAGTAGATTCCAAGAAGGAGGAGGACTGACAGAGTAAATGGAAGAAAACTAAGGTACAGTTTAATCACGTGTTTCTCTGGGTAAAATACAAAACTGAAGGGACTGAGGACACGTACTGCATACATATATACCAAAAAAATAAATAGCAAATCCAATTTGGTTCGAATAAAATTTATCTCCCTCAATAAAATGCAGCCATACACTAATATTTGCAGTGAAAACATCCATTTAGCAAACTTACAAGTGCCAGATGACACATATTTGAAACAATAGCACCCTAAACCAAACATATAGCCACCTAACTTTCCTCCACCTAATCTTCCTACCTCCTTAGATGCAGCAGACTATGAGGGCAAATTAAAAATAATAAAGAGGAAAAAAATCCTGCACTTAACAAGCCAGAAAAATAAAGATCAAGTAACAGAGTACATACAGGACGCTTAGTGAAGTCGAGGAATGGATGCAGTAAATATTAAAATTTTCCAGGGACATTTACACTCTCAACTCTCTAATTGACTCACCAGATCTTAGGGCAGTCCTCAAACTCTAAAGTATAGGGAGTGCTACTTTTGTTCGAGGTAGAAACTATTATCATGAAAAGTGCAAACTCACAAAAAATTAAACCCTTGATAAATAAGGAATTGGAACTTACTTCTGGGACAACCAAAAGAGATATACCAGCATAAAGCAAATCGATAGATATGCTCTGAAATTTGAACTTCATTACTGGTACATGAGCATCAGCAACTCGTTGAAGTTCAGTGACTTCTTCGATATCAGCTAAGATGTCGTGCAAAATGATAAAAAAGTCTTCCTGTGAAAGATGCATGAGATAAAAACCTATAGAAGGATGCTGTATTATGTACATTTTATCATAATGAGTAAAAGTAGCCAGCTACAGTGTGTCACCTCTCGATTTATATAAGAAGGGCCAACACAAAGGGTGTCTATGTCAGCTCCAGGTCCATGTACCTGTAAAACAGCAGTAGAATGTTGCCACATTTCCAAACAGACGTTGCTACCTTTCCAAATAGACAAAAAATGTTATAAATAAAACAAAACAACACAATATTTGGCTCGTTTTCTGCGTGCTGCTACTTTCTTTGAAACTAAGCTAAACATAGGTTGTTGCCACGGGAGCATATATTTTCAAAAGGCTGGTCTGAAGATCCACTAATATGCGAATCTAATGAGGGGCAACACAATTATGATTAAGAGTAGCAAAGACATGTCTTGTGACTTAGGAGTCATCGGGCTTTGCTGAGAACAACTAAAGCATGACAATAAATTACAAACAATTAAAAAAAATATATCTTCTTACCTGCTTTCTAATGTATAAAATAAGATTTACCCAAGTTTTAAAATATCAGAGAAGTTGTGCCTTGTCTTAATAAATAATAGAATGATTTAAGCTGTACAATTTTGTTTCTCAATAGGATTGAGATTCTTGTAGTGCAGCATATGTTATTAAATGAAATAGTTTGTTGGCTTCGATTTTTTTTTTTTTTCCCCAATCAAAAAACAGAATGCTGAAACAATGGCTGCCACCACTTTCAGATGAAATGAAAAACGATTATATTTTATCCATTTCTGTAGGGGATTTAGGCCCTATTTCCTTTTCTACATCCTGTTTATTGTCCAAACGTATGAATTCATTTCCTTCGTATAAGCATGTGAATTGAGGACAACTATTCTGTCTGATTTATGCAAAATTTATTGTACCCTTGGTATCGTTTTATTTTTATCTTTTAGTTGTTAAAGGGCAATAATATCATATATCCATCATTCTTTATCACTGCTACCCCAGCTTTATCCAACAAAAAATGAAATTAAAATAACATCCCATTCATTTCTATATTTTAACAAGTATGATTATTCCATTTACATTCACATTCTCCGCTAAGTTCCTCCATGTCCCTCAAATACCCAACTAAATAAATGACCAGATGCGCTGTGATAATGGGGCTCCTGTCAATTGCTAAACAACTTTTCCTTTCTATTACCTTTTTTCCCCATCCAATGGCACTAGAAACATTTCTCATCCACAAAACCACTTTTTTCATTCTATTTCCTTTTCTATTCCATTACATTACACATCAAGCAAGTAGTGACCAAACGGAATTCCATGCATTTAAGACATTATAATGAGTTAAATCATGACATAATGGCTTCTACCTTTTATGCATAGGAATTTTTCGCAAGAATTCCACGAGCAGAAAGTAAAAGAACCAACAATTATCCTTGTATGCAATTTTACTAACTGCAAGCATTATAGCAAGCCAGAGAAAGGAAAAACTATAGCATGCTCACCCCAAGCCGATAAGAACCAAATGTGAAAATGACAGCATTTGCATCCTCCACCATCTGGTCAGTGTAGCCTCGTTGACGGGTCAACTGCTTCACCCAGCTTTTTACAATCTACATATCATGTCAACTTCTTCACTAAAATAAGCCATATTTGATAATAGTGAAACAATAGTTATTCCCGTATGCCAAAATAAAACGCCTTAGACTAAGAGCACAGTACCACCTCAAAACAATTCTCATCAACATGCAACACCAGATGCTATACAATGTCAATCTCCAATGAGGCAAAAGAACATCTTGAACTAATTTTCTTCAATATATAAAATATGCTAGGGAACATCAAAGCCAAGCTTGACAAACAAGTAGCATGAGTAGATAGTCTGCTGTATACATAAGCCCATAGTGCAAGCTGCATTGATTTTGCCTTGGCCCTGCGATGCAATGACAACCACTCTACTACTAAAGATTCGTTAATTCCTGTATATGTTGAAACCCCCCCGTGGTGGGTGGCACATAATGCATTTTGAAAATGACACTGAGAGCACAAAGATATGAATTAAGTAAGCATTTTGTGGCCAGCCACTCTCGAAGCCAAAAATCAACCAAGAACATGCTATTCTCTTGCTTCAATAAAAATATCCTTAACTGATGAAATGACAATGCATTTGCCGCATTGAAGCAGACATACAATTTAAGCTCAAAATTATAGCTACAAAAATATGGGGCACTCAACATGCCAAATGATTTATAGGATCCTCCAAAAAGAAAATAATCATACTAGTGGGGAGCAGGATCCTAAACCAAGAAGATAACTCTAATGGAGAAACGGACGAAATAGGAGTTTATGAAAGCCTTACCTGATCGAGGCGGGATAAAACTTCCTCTCTCTTTGCAGCTTCTTCTTTGCTCTCGTATAGCCCGGCATCAACCAAAAACTGATGAAAGAAAAAAGTTAATCCTTTTTGTTTTTTGATAATAGAAATAATATCTATCCAATGATACTCGGAAATTACCTTCTCCAATTGTATGTTACGATAGATATCAGTCTCCGTGGGACCGGCAAGAGAGATGGGTTTCGTGATCCCATACTTATTCCCTTGTTGAGTTGGCGGATTCGAAGAAACATTCGGACTCGGGGGACTCACCATTTCAGTACCCACCCAAGGAAGCGCTCGGGGCACTCAAGACCTAGATTAGAACGGACCCAGTACCTAGCCTCACTCACATGATCGCAGAAGACGACTATGCGAGGCTAGAAACTTGCAGATCCTCCGCATCTATGAACTGAAGCCTCGCACTTTCGGATTGGAGAGTTTAAAATTGAGAGGTCTGCGAAGGGGTTCAACAGAGGAAAGGAGATGAAGAAAAAACGTCGAAAGATAGTGACAAAAATTGAAGCTTTTTAGTGCGATTGAAACAGGTCAAACGCGCAGCGATGCAGAGCAAAGAGGGGAAGATCACGATTGAAACATGCTAGCAGAGCAAAGGAGGAGCAGTCGGTAGAGTGAGACAGACGGCGAAGAGCGCCAAAAAGGAAAGATCCAGAATGGGGAAAGACGGAGGAGTGGACTCCAGCAGATTCGGGGTCACGGTGGGCTAACGGGAGCGCTTGGAACTAACAAGTTCGATCGATCAAACACCCAAGGAGAGGGTCGGGAAAAAATCCCGAGTAACAAAAAAAAAAAAAAGAAGTCGATCAGGCAATTCCATTGTTTTGCCTGATTTATATACTCCGTGACCCTGCAAGATATTTTACTACTTTTTCCTTAATATTTTCAGCCTCACTTCATTATTTTCTCGAGAATATTCTGATACTGCTCAATTGGACATGGACTATGATTCGTATCGGGTAAATATAATATGACCAGGGCATAAGTTATCCAAAAAAGGGAAGCTCCAATAATAAATGGGGAGAGGAAGAACACATAGGTCGATGCCTAAATTAAAATGATAAGATTTTAGCATGGCGTCATATGTCATTATTAATCGGCTTTATCATATCTTGTCATGTTGATATTATTGCAGAGGGCGGCTGAGGGCTGAAATTTTCACTCGTTATTTTTTCCGAGTTTCCCTTTTTTGGGAAGAAATCTTATTCACATAGTTTTAGAAGCATGAGGTAACACTCATTATCAAAACAAATGAAGGATGTAATTATGAAAGTTGAAAAAAATTATCACATACTACCTCCAGTCATTGATATAACATCCTATTTGACTTTCATTTTGATCCTAAATATAAGACCCTAATCCATTTTATCTCTCATATTTATACATTTTTTTTCAAAATAGTCCTTCTAACAATGATAGTTATAGTCAATACACTTGATTAACAAAAATATTTTAGGAAAGGCAACACCTATTTATGACAAATAACTAACTCAACTTACTTCTTTAATCTTCTCAAATTAGTCAACTGGCTCTTATAAATAGGAGTAGAGGTAGTATTACCATATTAATTTTTTAATTTTATTTATTCTTATAAATTTACCCTATAATATAACATAAAAGTAAGAGAAATAAAAAAATAAAGGGCTTGTTTGTACTTTGCGCATTCGAAGCTCCTTGCGAAGCGCTTCATTCTCGGCGTTCACATCCTGGGCCTGAAACAGAAACACAGTCCAACTGAAACGATTCTCCGGTGCGGCATGATGTTGGGTTGATGTGGGATCCGCGCAAGCTTGGCCCGGCCCATATGTGTGCATGGTTGTTAATTTTTTAGTATACATTTAATTTATCACTAAATTGATAGGCCTTTTTTTTGTTAATACAATTTGTGGTCTCTCAAGAATTTTTTTATCTTAGTTTTAATCTTTCAAGTTTTAAACTATCAATTTTGGTCCATCAAGAAGCAAAATGGTCCAGATTTATATTGAATTACATGGACCAATATTTTAGATAAAAAGATGATGGGTTTTGGTTCTTTAAGGGGTAAGATGGTTTAGATTTTTATGAAATTATAAAGACTAATATTTTAAACAGAAATAAATTTAAGAAACTAAAGCATATAATTTAAAATTTGATAGACTAAAATTAAAACAAGGACAAAGTCAAAAAAACCAAAGATTATATTAAATTTTTTTTCACAGTTGTTGTGCTATTGTTTAGCTAGAATCTTCTCTATCGTTTATACTATCATCTGATTTTTGACTTTGGGCCACTTCAATGTCTCTTATGGCAGGATTAAACATCATTGCAGGAATTCTTAAGCCATGTGTTTATTTGTCCATTTCTTTATTGCCTGTAAATAGATATTTCTAGAGCAAGATATTTTTTTCCTTTAAAATAAGAATCTTATGAAACACTAACATACATTGCCATGGGACAAAGCAAGTCTCCCCTTTTCACCTGCCTTCGTTGCTTAAGCTTCTCCATTCATGTAACTCGATTGACATTACACTGAGATAAAATCCCAATTTAGGTGCATGATTATTGCAAAACCTAGATATTTTATTTATACGTGTGATTATTTAGTTTCTTCATTATTAAATGCTGCTTTGCTGTCTTGCCAGAAAAGGAAATGTTGTTTTGTCCATGTTGCATTCATTCAATTATGCACCAACTCATGCATGCAAGCAACCACAGTTGGTTCATTTCTTGAATATGATATTTTAATCTGCATTTTTAGTTTAAAACCTACAGATCTTATAAAGAGCCGAGGAAAATCAAAGAGAACGCTTAATAGAATTATTAAATATTATTTTTTTTAGTTAACAACATATTTAAGAATTTAATTGTTGTTTAGTGTCTATTTGAGTGAATAAAATAGACTTTTTATTTCTTTTTTTTTTTTTTTGCCGTTACAAACTTTTTATTTCTGTATATTCTCTTAGCAGCATGAAAACATAGCATTACGCTGCTTACCTGGTCGTTAACAGCCCAAAATTCCCCAAAATCTGACACCAACCATCTCCTCTGCTTGGGGTAGGCAGCATCATCTCTCGCCTCCTTCGGCTCAGGTCACTGTCACATTAGCCTCAAGCGTTCAAAACTACTCAAAGCCAGCAACCTACAATTTCTTGGGAGCATTCTCTATGCTTCCTCGTCTTTCTCTTATCCTTCGCCCCCTTCATTCGCCTCCTTCACTCGCCGCTTTCTCCATGGCGCGTGCTATTTCGGGCGCCACCCATCTTCCCATGTGCCCGACCACGAACAATGCGACGTCTATCCATTCCTCTTTGCACCCGGGTTTTGTTCATTTCACGAATCGTTTACATGCTTCCCTCTCTTCAAAATCTTTTCTTTTTGGTCGGAGGTTCCATGTTCTGTGTCGAAGCGGAGGCAATCATCTGGGTGCATTCGGGGGAGCTCGCGCTGATCAGAGGGGGTATCGGAAGACGAGGAAGCGAACACCGAAGAATAAAGAGAAGGAGTTAGAACTCAGTGTCGACATTTGTATTGAAGAAGATTTGCCTGACGATGATGAAATATTGGTATACCGCGCCTCAATTTTACGTTTTTAAGATTTATGGCTTTAGTGATAATGTAAGATACTCTTTTCTTGCTTTTGGGCTTTAATTCTTCATCTGATAATTGAAAAGATAAAGGTATTGATGCTAATGTAAAGCTGGGAGGTTAGCAATGAATTAATTAAGTTTTGTTGAATAATTAACGCTTCACTTTATCTGCATTTCTACATGATGATTGAATAATTACCTTATCATTTCTGTCTTGTTTATCTGACTGCAGGGCATTGCTGAGATGCTCCGTCTAAATGTGCCAATGGCAATGAAGCTGGCATTTGATGGTTTGAAAGGTTCAGCGTATAAAACAAGAGATCCTGCTATAACTGATGTTGGTGGGTTCGAAAGTGTTGAATTATCTGTGCTTCTCTGCAATGACGAATTTATTCAAAAACTTAACAAGGAATGGAGGGATGAGGATCATGCCACCGACGTTCTCTCAATGTCACAACATGTCCCTGGGCTCAAGCTTCCTATTGTAAGAATGCGAATTTTTCTAGCTGATGCTATATGCTCGTTTTATAATAAATAAAAAAACAGAACTTTCCTTAAGTTGTTGATGGATTCCCTCGTCTGCAGCTTATGTTGGGTGATATTGTAATTTCCGTGGAGACAGCTGCAAGACAAGCAGAGCAAAGAGGGCATGCTCTTCTTGATGAGATACGCATCCTCTTGGTTGGTTTAATTAAATTCTAACGATTGTCTGCTGAATGCTGAAGTTTATCATGCCCTTTGATATTATCTTTCCTCTCGTACAGGCATGTTTAAATTCACATTTGCGTGACCACAGCTTAACTTGCGGGAACGCTTTTTTTTTTTTAAATTTATTTATTTAAATTATTGATGTAAGTGTAACTTTGGTGCTTTTGGTTGGTCCTTTGAAAGATCATGCATCTGGGCGATGATAAATCATTTATCACAAATCTCTCAAGAAACTGATCATAAATCATAGAAGTAAAGAAGAAAAGCTAAACCAATTGGCACAGGTACCAATGGATTGCATGTTTTTGCTACCAAATACAAAGTGAGAGGAAGGACCCTGCACTGAAAAATTAAACTGCTGAGGAAGAAAAATTGCAATATTTACATCTTATTTTATTATTGAAATTTTAGAAGAAATTAAGCCATGAACTTCCACTCTTTCAATTTTAAGCTTGGGTCTATTTCCCTGGTTTATCTAAGATTTTTATTTATTTATGTAAATTGAACATTGAAAGTGTAATAACTTCATATTTATGCAGGTTCATGGCCTATTACATCTTTTGGGATTTGACCATGAACTTAGTGAAGAAGCTGAAGCTGAAATGGAGAGAGAGGAGGAACTACTTCTGAAGAGTCTTGGTTGGAAAGGAAAAGGACTAATACAAAGCGCATGTGATGCTGAAACCGATTTAAGTTCTCACCAATACAGTTCAGATGGTAATTGTACTTTTGCTGATAGGCTGCAGCAATATACCTCTTGCTGTATCATCTATTGGTCCTACACACCATTTATTGAAATATTGTCATTTGCATATATCGAAGTATATGGGAACGTAATCTTACAGTTGGATTGTCAAAAGACAGGAAGAAAGAAGGCAGTCTTAGATTTTATAAACCAAAGTTCAGTTATATCTTCTGCGATATGGATGGTGAGATCATGCTGAGACATAGTCTCTATATATTCTTTGGTGCTGTTTCTGGGTTTTAATAGTCTCCTGTATCATGTAAAGGAACATTGTTGAACAGCAAGAGTCAAATTACTCCTACAACTGTCATGGCGTTAAGAGAAGCCTTGTCAAGGGGTGTGAAAATTGTCATAGCTACTGGAAAAGTAAGCTCATATAGTCTCAAACTTGATAGTGCATCATATTAAATTTTTTAAGATAGGCCAGTATGTTTTATCTTTAGTACCGTCTGTCTCAGTAAAATTTCTGATTCACTATATGTCGATATTGGCTGACATAAGATCTGACATGTAGTGTTGAACATTTGGAAATAGGCTCGTCCAGCTGTTATAGATATTTTTAAGATGGTGGACTTGGCTGGAAAAGACGGTGTTGTGTCAGAATTTTCCCCTGGTGTTTTCTTACAGGTTACTATTTTGTCTCTGGACCTTTGATGTTCATGATGAAGATTGATTCAGCAAGACACTACATATTTGTAGCTTCTAGTCTTGCCCCATATCATATTCTCTTCTCATGCGTATGCTTGCATTCTTCTTTGCATCACAATTGTGTTTACATGAAACAACTCCTATTCAGTTCTTTCTGGTTTGCCGTTAATGTGGATAGTTTAGGTGTCCCTATCTCTTAGAGGGTCGAACAATACCAAAACTAGGAAAGGGCAAAGTTAAGAGTGCCTGAAAGGGCAAAACATACCAAAAAGAAAAACCTTTGAAAGAGTTGGACCGGCAATCCCAACGGTCAGTATAGCAAGTACTCAAATCATGTGTTATCCTGGCAGTCTAAGCTCTCACCTACACTTGCATATCTCTGTTATTTATATTTATATACCGAGTGATATGAGTTCTTGATGGGAGAGCAGCTGCTCAAACATCATTCAGCAAAAGAAAATAATGTGTATGTTCCAAAATAAAGTGATGGTATAAAGCATCATAGACACTTAAAAGGCTTCCTCTAATTGAAAGCACTCAAACTACATATTAAGTAAACTACATATTTTTCCCCATACGATGCATGGAATAGATAATAATCTAAGTTTTTGGAAAATCATGCTTTTTTTTTTTTGTAAGATTTTCTAGCCACATGTTTTAGGATTTAAACTCTACTAAAATGCCAAAAAAAGTGGAAAGAATTAAAAAAATTACAAAAACCCAATAAAATGTGTGGATAAAGATTGAGAATCAAAAAATTGTGTGAAACTTGAGGAGAGGGGAGTAATGTTATTCATAACTTATAAAATAATGTGGCTTTGTATAAATGCTATATTTTATGTTGATATTAAACAGCATGAAATCTTTGAATTTGATCTTACATATAATTTTGCCTGCTGTATAAGTTCCCTGCTTTAGGCTGAGCCTTGCATTCCGTGCACCACTTGATTTCAGGGGTTGCTTGTTTATGGTAGACAGGGTCGGGAAATTTTTAGAAGCAACTTAAACCCAAATGTCTGTAGAGAGGTAATTTATATCAATTTTGGTCTTAATGCCTGTGAGATTTTACCATTTTCTGTAAATTAATTCATCTTACAAAGTGAAAAACAAGTATTTTCTTTTTCACCCAAAAGAAAAAAAAATAAGAAGTATTTTTCTTGGATCAATCATGCAGAACTGTGTCCTCTTGGATTTTGTTGTAATTGTGAGCTACTCACTAGTTAACTCCGTATTCCACAGTTCTTTGTGTGCGTACCAAATCTATTTCTGACTTTGTTGCAGAACACTTGTGGAACCAGCTTATATTTCATCTGCCATAACGATTTCAGTGTATAGTCTGAGTTTTTTTTTCTTTACCGCCTTAAGGAGAATGGATTTATTCATGTATCCATGGAAACTAATTTCATATCTCAGTCATAAAACCGACAAATTTAAAATATCTAATTATTTATTATTAATTTCATTGCTCTATGGAAAATTTATTGTCATTTTTAAGAGAAAGAAGTACGCTTTTTTAATTGCAGGCATGCATCTACTCTTTGGAAAATAAGGTTCCACTTATTGCATTCTGTGAGGGGCGCTGCTTAACCCTTTTTGATCACCCACTGGTTGATTCATTGCATACAGTATATCATGAACCCAAGGTAATACAACATTGTATATTCTTTCTTGCATTCTGTTTCGTCATTCCCTTCTATTTATGTGAAAATCTTTGCAGGCAGAGATCATGCCTTCTACTGAACATCTCTTGGCTGCTGCTGACATACAGGTAGGCACTGCCAAAATATTTGCTTCTGGTTTGAGTTTATGAATAGGGTTCCTACGGATGCTTGATGATATTCAAGATTAATTACCTGCATCACTACTGGAACTCCAGAAAGCTGAAATGAAAATTCTATGATATTTCTTCAATTTCTTTAAGGAACAGTGAAAAAGGTACTACAAGGAACTCAAACAGAACCCTTTGCAAAGATTAAGTGGCAATGGTGGGCGTGCCAATGGCTAAGAGAAAAGAGAAAATGCGGTAAACCAAGGTTGCTAGACATCTCCCCAAAGCCTTCTCCAGATTTTGCCTCCCTGGTTAATCTCACAATCCCCGCTTTGTATTGATCTTCCCCAGCTAGCTTCCTCTAGAAACTCACTAAAAGCAAACATGTGCCTCCTTACCCTGTGGACTCTTCTCCAAACTGTTTTTAAGTCATGCCCTAAATGACATGTACAAGGTGTCATGTTCATCTTTTGTCCATCTGTTTGACTGTGAATTTCACTGTTATCATTTTCCCAGAAAGCCCATTAAAGGTCTAGAATTGTTACAACTGTAGTGAAGGACCTAATTTATTATTATCCGTGTCATTTTGGGTTCTTGCTAACACTAGTCTTTTGGTTCTGCAGAAAATGATTTTCTTTGACACTGCTCAGAGAGTGGCTAGCACATTGCGGCCACACTGGTCAGAGGCAACATCGGATCGTGCCAGAGTTGTTCAAGCTGTGCCAGACATGCTTGAAATTGTACCTTTGGGAACTTCAAAGGGGAATGGAGTAAAAATCCTTTTAGATCATTTGAGGGTTACCGCTGAGGAGGTAGCGCACTGATTTGTTTCTCCTCTGATGGTTTTTGCATTTTCTCTCTCTCTTGGCTTGCTTGCATTTGTGTTTCTCCTGATAGCGTTGTATGCTTTAATATTTCATGTAAGAAAAATCTAGTATATTAAATGGGAAATGCAGACATTTTAGTTAATTCACTGTTTAAAAAGTACACAACCATATTCTAGCTTAGTGTGTTCAATGACCCGATTGCATATCACTTGGCCTGGCATATATCTTCTGAAATTTTCAAGCATACATTGAGAGGACAAATATCAATTCCAGAATTGTTGATCTGTGATGTAAATCAGATTTGAGGCGCGGTTTCAATTCTCTCGTCTAAGAACGTCGCTATATTGACTTCCATCAGTGCATTTCCCCACCTCTAATTACTTATTTGCAGATAATGGCTATTGGTGATGGAGAAAATGATATCGAGATGCTTGAGCTGGCTTCTCTTGGCATTGCTCTCAGTAATGGAGCAGAAGAGACAAAAGCAGTGGCTAATGTAATAGGTGTGAGTAATGACGAAGATGGTGTTGCTGATGCCATTTACCGATACGCATTCTGAGCTCCAGCGAAACTGGAATGAGAAAGTTTGCAGAATAATTGTTGAGGGGTCAAAGCCGTTGCCCCTAATTAATTTTTTTCCAAGATACTTTTTCCTTCTTCCAAGAATTAAAGGGGAAGAAATTGTTGTCTCACATATGTCATTGACGACTATAATCGGTAACTTGTGGCTGACGCATAAAGGCCGGTTAGCCTTGCTTCCTTTTTACTCTCTAGAATTCAGTATATTTAGGAATTATAAAGAAGGGGGAATCCATGAATCCCTCAGAACAACTTCATTGCTTAAGTTAGGGCCTGTATCCATTTTTCACTTCATAGACTCATAACTGCGATCAATTATTGGACTTCATATCAAGTTCTTGCGCCCTAACGGTTGTTCTTTGATCATAAAATTGTTTCAGAAATCAATGTCATCCCAACTCCTTAAACAATTCACATTATAGATTCAATGCGAAGGTAATTATGTGAGGGCCTTGTCTTGACTTACTCGGAGCCAGCTTATCCATCTTGATCGATAGATGGTGATGTCTCTGATATGGGAATTTCTATACGTTCTTTTATGAGATTAAAAAATAAAAATTGTTTCTGGAAGACCAAACTTCTTATGTTTAAGATAAGTTTTCAGATAAGCTTTTCGGAAATTTAGTAAGTTATCCACAAATGTATTCAATTTTCAGTTATTGTAATTTTAAAATTTTCATCCTACGTCGATTCTTCTTTTCTGTAAGCAACTCTCATTGATTGGAAATTTTGATTACAGGAAATATAAAGATGTTTAGGTTGGCCTAATAACTACTCTCCTCTTCCTATTTATGATATACTTTCAGCATATCTCACATAAATTAAAAAAAAATTTTAAACTGTTTTATTAAAATATAATATATTTTTTAATTTTACCCTTATTTAATATGTATATCTTTTTAAAAAAATAACTATCTACACTATAAAATATAAAAACAAAATAATATATTCATGATAAAAATTTAAGGAAATCATTTATATATAGAACCAAGAAAACATTTTCTGTATTTTATAAATAGCACAGGCGAGTATTTTCATATAGAATATTAAAAAAAACTTCATTTCCAAGTACCCGCAAACTTGGTTTACACGTATTTGTAGATTCTGCGCAAAAGGAAAGACAAACAGACCACCGAAAAGCAAAGCAAGCTTAATAATGCTATTCACTGATACTCTTCATCTTTCCACTTGAATTCCAAAATTTCAATAACATCAACACATTTTATAACATGCAGAGAGCGACGAAGGGATGAAAGATGATTTAGATTCAGCGAGATAATGTTATTTTCTTTCATCCATAAAAGGGACCTGAACCAGAAGTAGAAGCAATTTGGTAATATGCTTTGCTGCCTCTAGCTGGAATTACTATTAAGACCAGTCCTAATAAAAGCTGCTGGAAACTAAGGTTATGTTTGGATTGCAGTTGGAGAAGCCAAAAGTGCCTGGGAAAGCGTGAAACTGAGATTAGTGGCTTATTGTGGTTCAGAGATTGTTTGGATGGGGCTTCTTTTCTAACTGACTTATGGGAAAAAGTACCTTTTCTAACTGACTTATCCAACGCAATCTGGATCAACTTTTCCAACTGATTTATGAGAAAATTGTGTAAAGCTTATGATCTAATTAGTTATCTGATTTCATTTACTTTAATTAGAGACCAAATGAATTTTAATTTATATTCATATTTGTCCATCATGTATATTTAATTAATTATCTACAATGTGTTTTCAAATTTTTCTCCGTAACAAATATTTTTATTTTATAATCTCACAAATAAACTATTTATATTTTCATAATAATTTTACATATTTTTTTCAAATTATTATCACATTAAAAACATAAATTTTAAACACTACTATTCAATAAAGTTCTTGCTCTTTTAAGTCATTTTACAATTAAACTAACTTTTCTATTAATCATCCAAACAACTTTCAACTTTTTTAACTGACTTTTTATAAGCACCTATCCAAACACAAATCGCATTACACTGACTGACTTTTACTCTAACTTCAATTACAAAAGTCAATTAGATTAGAAGTCAGTTTTGCCCCACGCAAATCCAAACATACCCTAACTCCATTTAGACACTAAAGACGTTTAAATAGCTCTTCGAAGCCTTCTTTGATATGACTGCCTAGGGACTGTGCGAGTTTTGAGCTCTCTTCCTTTGAGGAATTTGCCGCTTTGCTAAATCTTCCACACATTTCACGTCTGAGAGGGATGTGAAGGCTCTGGATTTACCTTCGTAGAACTTGGAAAGCCCTCTCCTGCAGATTACACAAAGGACTTCATTTGAGCAAAGGAATATACAAAATTTAAATTAAGCATGATGCCCAAAAGGCTCGAAGTTTTCTCAAGGCACTTGCTTGATGGGAAGTTGAGCCAACATCTCTGAAAAATCATGCAGAGGCTCATCTGAAAATGAGGACGAGGATAACAAAGACAATGAGGATGCATCTGATGAATCTGATGACGATGTTGATTCCAAAAACTGGCTTGAGTCTTTAGAACAGGATACGACGAATGCAGATTCAGGGATTTCTTCTGCAGAAGCTACATTAGGGCTGGTAGCTTTGCTTCTCTTGTCTGTAGATGTAACTGTATCCATCGAAACTCTCAAGAGGATCAAGGAAGAAGCTAGGTGGGTAAGGGCTTTTCCCCTGTATTTCTGACCCTAAACAGAAAAATGAAGTGGGATATAATATAGACATGCCATAGAAGGTTATGCAGTGTTTTTGTACCAGAAAATTTAACCAGAACTACAAGCTCTTCATATTATAATGTTCTCAGTTACCTTTTCGTTGCTCCTTAAGATCGTCATTTTATAGTATATTCTATTGAATCTAGTGTGGTTTCCTAAGGTTATGCCAGGCACTATCTATGTTTCCAAATTCTATGTTTTGTCTCCATATAGGGGTATCAAATAACAACAAAAACTTATGGGAATGGTACGCTGGAATTTCATCCGTATGTCGAGCCCAGTCCGTTGGCATGTTAGATCTTGCCAAATAAAGTTTTGAATCCAAGCTTAACATCAGACAACTAAAATCCCAAAACAAACCCACGTTGGGGGGTAGGGGTGGATCACCTACCTCGAAACGAACTGTCTCTGCCTTCGCACGAAGCATCTTGAATTTCGTTGCATAACGAGATTCCTTTGGAATGAACCTGAAACTTAATTGACAAGGTTGTTTACGATGCTCTTTTAACAGGCATTTTGGCAGGTTTGTGTAATAATACAGATCAAAGGCATCCTAGTTTCAGTTATGCTTTTTTCATCACTGAAGACGGTTATTTCTTTCTTTCATCTCTTGCTGCACATATTTTGACCATTCAATCCATTTAATCGTGCATAAATAACAAAAGACCAAGCTGATGACTCTTTCAATCGAATAATTTTTTAGTGTATCGGCACTGAATTTTTCCAATTACGATTCGCTCTGGTTAATAGTCATAGGTAGCAGGCGGAATGTTTAGCCAGGGTGAGTAAATAGCGAACACAGAAAACAAGGCAACGCCAAAAAAGGGCAGCTTAAATTACACTTCATGTAGCCACAGGAAATGGAAATTCCATGGTACACATTTTTTATTCAAAAACACAAATCTATAAGCCCATACGAAAGAGGAAAACAAAAATTTGCAGTGGGGCTAGTCAGATGCAGATCCATTACAAGAAGTAGAACTGTCACGCACTAAAACCGACAAGGACGTCCAAGTTGTGGTTTCGAAGTTAGAATTGTTGATTATCTTTGGCGTCTCAAAGAGTCCTCAAGCCGGGAGTTTTTTCTTGCACATTCCAAGATGGTCTTATCAGCAGTGATGAAGTACGCAGCAATTGTAGCTGTTCAGGAAACAAGAATCTGATGTTAATTATGTGAATGAATTCAAACTTCGGATGACGGGAGGGACAAGTAAATAGGTTACGCATTTTATTCCCAAATAGATCAGCAGCACAAAATGAATCCTAGTCCTTTTCCAGAACTATATAAATTTGACATCATACCTGCAGAAATAATAAGTGCCTGAGCAGTGTAATTGAGGTTTGCTTTAGCCCAGGGAACTGTACGGACTGCAACCAACTGAAAATTGAAGACAAGAATGAAATAAACTTCAACAGAACAATATAATATTAGAGATGAAGCAAAATTGGGTGCTATTTTCACGCGCGACATATCACTGTCAGTGACAGCCAAACGTTCATGCATCAGTAATCACTAGATTTCCACATCACACTCTTGATTAAGTGCCAGAAGTCTGTAGCCCAGAAGATTAGTTCCGAAACTTCAAAAAAGTCTCTACTCAAACCTGTCATGTGAAAGTTCAATTTAACAATGTTTTTCCTACATGACAATGACATCTGTGGTGTATTGGCATTAAGATGCTCAATAATTTCACCACATCACTATATGATTGTGAGCTAACAGCATACAGGCAATTTCGGGCAGTCAAATATGGCCACAAAAGAAATGATGTAGAAAAACAGAGCAATACCAAACTGTTCAACAGCTGTCTAACGAACAAAGAATTTAGACATGGAATTTAAAATCGCTGATATCATGATTTTGATCGCTCAAAGGCAAGGATCAGAACAAGAAGAAAAAATTCCAACTTTTAACTAGTGATTATTAATTAATGAATGACACTGAGGGTTAAGTTACTTCCCCCCGGGGAGAACTACACAGACTTATCAGAAATACTTTACTAATATGATTTTTTTTTTAACGCCAATTATTCGCATGATTTATGACAGCAAGATCACCAAAATATAGTATCTCATCACAAAAAGAAAATGCTACACCTAGAAAACAAACAGATATCCTTTAAAAAAAAAAAACTCTATCTAAAAAGACGTTCAGCACCCCCATTAGAAGTAAGAGACCAACAATCTAAAAAGTAAAAAATATACCGTGGGAACAGCACTGGCAACGCAAGCAATGGAAGCTGCCCTAAATCCAGCACGAACTCCTTCTGAAATTGAAGCAGAGGATAACATGAATGATGATGTCCAGATTAGAGCGTCATTTGACAAGATGTTAAAATAATATAGCAGGATGTCCAGCTTCAATAGTTTCCCTATTTTCTTGGTTATTATGAGGAGATCCCTCAACAATCAAAGCAGTTGTTATTTGCCTTTCTAAATCAACTAGAGAGATACACTTTCATGAAAATTCAATAAGGGTAAAGTGTTATTTAAACGTATATGAAAGATGATGATTAAATTTAATAGATAAATTTCGGTGAGCAAATCAGAGAACAAGCAATTCGTATAACATCATTAATCACGTGGTTCCCATTCAAACCAATCAAGTAGACAGGGATCTTGTTTAAAATACACAATTAAACTCCGAAAAAAGATGAACCACAAAAATATAAATCGCCCCATTTCAATTCCCACCATTTCCCAAGATTTCTCAGAAAACAAAGAGAGCACGCTCCATGTAAATGATCTACAATACGAACAAGTCTCAAATCAGATAAAAATAAAAAATAATGATACCATCAGTGCATAGCTTAGTCCTCAAAATCTTCTGCTCTTCAGCTGGAGAAGCAATTAAGAAGCCTTTTGTCTGCGAGAGCATATCCCTGAGCTCGGACGGAATACCCATTCTATTCCCTTCCCAAGATTAACTGCAAGACAATCTCTGTGCTTCTTATAAAGTGCCACAGCAGGAGACGCGGTAGAATTTCGCTATGACCTATTCCGCGGCCAGGTTCCTTGAACCGAGCCACCTCTGAAGCAAAGCAAAGAGCGGTTTTGCTCGTGGCGGCCAACAAATTTCCCAGTTGGCGATGAAATTGTCTCAATTACTAGTCCGATACTTAATATAATACATATTTAACTAATTTAATTAGATTAAAGAAGTTAAATAAATTAGTTAACTATAAGAAAAATAATACATTTTTCTTAAAACATTATAATCATCTTTTTTATTATCCATTTTCTTTCTTCTATTTGATTATGAATGAAAAAATATTTATAAAGATAATTTAAAAAAAATTAATAAATAAGATAAATGAATCTTATATTCAACGGTAAAACTAACCCAAAAATTGATTCTCATACTAAGGACGTGCTTTTTAAACAAATAAATAGAGTAGGAGTGATGTGCACGTGGCAACTGAGGCTTGACATGTGCTAGAGGCCATGAGACAGCCGTCTATTTGTCGTCTTTCTCGTCATACCCATAGTGTTTTAAGAACCTGCTCCGGGACACGAAAAATCTGGCGGGGGCAGCTGAAGCTGGCTTCCCTCCGCTTGCCTCCTGGGTCAAGAGTCCATCCATTTCCCTCCATTTATATTAAAATCTCATGCATCCGCTTCTATTAACAACCTTGACTGTCTGCTACCGCTAATTCTTCTTCTTCTTCGTCATCACTCGTTCCCGTGGGTCGGCACCGCTTTTCCTTCCGGTGTCAGAAGTGCAAAATTAGCTATTACTATTTCTGGATTACAAATGAACTCTTATAATTATCACATGAAGTAGTACATCATAACCACCCTGGCTTTATTACACCACTGCAAGTACTCCAAATCCATTCACTTGGTGCTAAAATGCGGTGCACAGCTAACCATGCGTCAACTTTATCAAATTCAGGCCCAACTTTTCGTTTTCCTTCTATTTCCCTATTCAAAATCTATTAACCCCAACATCATCGCCGTTAAGCTCATAGGGGTATGTGGCGCCCGCGCTAATGCGCACCACGGTGCTTTAATCTTCACTCATTACCTTTCAAACCCAAATATCTTCGCTTACAATGCCCTTCTCAAAGCATTTGCTCAGAACAATCTCTGGCAAGGTACGATATATCACTTCAACAAGCAATTGTTAACGCCTGATGCTCCAAACCCAGATGAGTACACGTTCACTTCCGTTCTCAAGGCATGCGCTGGACTTGCCTGACCGGTAGAAGGTGAAAAGGTTCATTGCATTGTCACTAAATATGGATGCGAATCAAACCTTTTTGTGTGTAACTCGCTGGTGGATTTGTCTTTTAAAGTGGGTCAGCTTGGGGATGCTCAGAAGCTATTTGATGAGATGATTTTTAGAGATATTGTATCTTGGAACACTTTACTTTCTGGTCATTGTTTAAGTGGAAACACCAATCAGGCAAGGTGGATTTTCGATGGGATGGGTGAGAAAAACACGGTTTCTTGGTCGACGATGATTAGTGGCTATGCAAAGATGGGCAAGTTATATGAAGCACGCCAGCTTTTTGATAAAATGCCAGAGAGAAATGTAGTTTCATGGAACGCAATGATTTCTGGTTATGCCCAAAATGAGAAGTATTCCCATGCTATAGAGTTATTTCACCAAATGCAACAACAGAGTAATCTGGTGCCCAATGATGTTACACTCGTTAGTGTATTGTCTGCTTGTGCACAGCTTGGAGCACTTGATTTAGGGAAGTGGATTGATAGATTTATAAAGCGAAACAAGATAAAGCTGAGTCTGTTTTTAGGCAACTCACTGGCTGATATGTATGCAAAGTGTGGATGCATAGTGGATGCTAGGCTTGTTTTTGATTCAATGCAGGAAAAAGACGTGACCTCTTGGACTATTATAATCACCGGCTTAGCAATGCACGGGCATGCAAATGAAGCCTTCATCTGCTTTAGAGAAATGATTGAACATGGAATGAGGCCTAGTGATATAACTTTCATGGGGCTACTAACAGCATGTACGCATGCTGGACTGGGTGATGAGGGGCTGGACTATTTTCATATGATGGACCAAGTGTATGGAATTTCTCCTAAGATTGAACACTACGGGTGCGTGGTTGATCTTCTTAGCCGTACTGGTCATCTAAAAAAAGCTGAGAATTTGATCATCTCAATGCCTATAGAGCCTAATGTCATAGTTTGGGGTGCACTTCTTGGTGGGTGTAGGATATATAAAGATGCAGAGAGAGGTGTTCGCATAGCTCAACGCATTCTGGAACTGGATCCTGACCACTCTGGAAGCTATGTCTATCTTGCTAATATACATGCTTCAAAGGGAAGGCTAGATGATGCAGCTAAGTGTAGGTTGAGAATGCGAGATAACGGAGTAATAAAAACACCTGGGTGTAGTTGGATAGAGGTGGATAATACTGTTCATGAGTTCTTCATGGGAGACTTGGACTCACATCCGCAGTCGGAAAAGATTAGTTTAATGATTAGAGAATTAAGATGGAGATTGAAGCTAGCTGGATACAAACCTAAGACAGACATTGTGGTACATAATGTGGATGAAGAAGAAAAGGAGGATGCTTTATCCATTCACAGCGAGAGGTTGGCAACAGCATTTGGGTTAATTAGTACTGGTCAAGGAACGACAATTAGAATAGTAAAAAATCTGGGAGTTTGCGAAGACTGCCATGATGCTATAAAGATGATCTCTCAACTTGTTCAGGGAGAAATTATTGTGCGTGACCGTACTCGGTTCCATCATTTCAGAAAAGGCACATGCTCTTGTAATGACTTTTGGTAGTGAAACAGAGTGACAAGAGATCTCTGGTTCATTTGGGTGAGTATCTATTCAAATGACTAGGGCCCTTGGCAAACAGGAATAGGATAAGATGATGATAGCGTTTGAAAATACTTATAAACATGATTAGTAAATCAAGATAAAACTTTTCTCACATATTTGTTTCGTTAATCATTATTCAAAAGCTATGGTCAGAATCACAATCTATCTTCTTCCGCTGCAGTTGGATTATTTTGGCAGCCAAAAGTCAGACGGAGGTGTTGTTTGGCACAGGGTTCCCCAAAGCTTGACATGAATAGAATTCAAAGTTGAAGATAAAACTATGAATCAGTGGCGGCCCCTATTGGATCTTGGTTACTTGTTCGATGTGTTCCCATTGATGACCTCAATTCCAACTGGAAAGGTGTTTTTGAGAGCTAATGATCTCGGGAAATATGCTTCTCAGATGTTGCATCGCATCCTTTTTTTCTTTTGGCCAACGGCATCGCATCTTTTATTTCATTATCGTTGTATTGTATGTTATACTACCTCCAATTCTAATTATAAGAACTCCTTTGTAATCTATAAATGAGAACTTATAATTAGAACTTTTTCCCCCCATCTTGTGCATTCTGTGGACTTCTTGACTCACCGGCATGCTTAACTTACCGATCAAACAGTATCTTTTTATCCCTCTAGAAATCCTCCATCTAGGTCTATAATTTGAAGGGAAAAAGGATCTGCAGTAGTCAATTAAAAATCATAGATTTTATATGATTATCAGCCCAAAAAATTAATACGCAATGAAGGGAAACAGAGAGAGCAGAGAAAGAAGACCAAAATAAAATTGTACATAGGCAGACAAGCGGAGATTTGAAAGGGAGCAGAAAGAGAGGGAAAGAAGAGATATATGATACCAAATGGCCGCAAGTCATTTGTGATAAGGGCCCAATAAGGGCAAGTTTCGATGGAGAAAGGAGAAGAGACTGAGAGTGTGCAGTAGGGATGGCTAAATTTGGCCCCCAAAAAAAAAATTTCAATGGAAGATGGGAGACTTTTTTAGCACAAAATCCATCCACGTGACGCTTTTACAGGATCATGGACGTTAATTAAGTGCCGCCACCTGTTTTTGTTGCCCACCGCCCACGCTCGATGACGAATACATAAACATCGGATTCTTGAACCATTCTGCGACCAACACTCAATCCTAACGTCAATGTCACTTTGCAAGGAACGGCACATTTTACGATGGATTCAAATATTTTCCAAATATTCAATTCTTCAATTCAACTGCAGGATACTCCTTAGCCATCTAATAACTATCAAAACTGAAGCATCTCACTCATTTCTCTTTCCTCGCTCCAAATACGGCATTGTATCAATTCCAGATCGAACCAGAATAAAACACAGGAACACTTTGGAAAGGAACCATCGGCCCTGGTTGATTTCTATCTTCTTGAGTTGGAAGAATGGGATCAAATGATTCGGGGATGAAGATTGTCCATGGCGAGGCTGGTTTTATACTCGAAGACGTTCCTCACTTCTCCGACTATATTCCTAATCTTCCTGTATCTCTTCTTATTATGTCCTCTCTTTACGCTTTGTTTAAAGAAATCAAATCAATGCTGCTTTAAATATAATAGTGTTTGTTTGTGCTTGCAGACATACCCAAATCCGCTGCGATCTAATCCAGCTTACTCTGTCGTTAAGTAAGTGAAATGTTCCACTATTGTGATTTTCGGATGTGATATTCTAAACTACTTGCTGGTTCTAATTCAACATATATTGGGTCTGTTGATTAAAATATATATATATGTATTGGCTCATGATGCGGCTTCTTTTGTGTTATCAGGCAATATTTTGTTCACGTCGATGACACGATTCCTCAGAAGGTTCACTTTTGCATCTTACTTGTATCATACTCTATTAATTGTGCAATCATGCTTAAGCAGCACAGTTTTCCGTCACCTGATCAGCTCATTTCTTAACCTTCTGTATTTTATAGAGCAGAAGAGAAATTTTCTTTTAGGTTCTTGTTTTCCAATAATATTATAACATGATGCCAATGATTACATCTTTTGTTGGCCTCCCAAATAGATTGTTGTTCACAAGGATAGTCCAAGAGGAGTACATTTTCGACGAGCCGGAGCCCGCCAAAGGGTAATTTGCCTTTCTGTATTTAGTTATTATTATTGTTGAGATTTGAATCAATGAATATGCTGCTGTTATTTCAGGTGTATTTTAACTCGGATGACGTGCGTGCATGTATTGTTACATGCGGTGGTCTCTGCCCTGGGCTCAATACCGTCATAAGGGAAATTGTGTGTGGTCTTTCGTACATGTACGGTGTCCACAAGGTCATTGGTATAGATGTGAGTGCTAAACTCTTTTACTTCACGTTCAATTCATTATCTTTTCCTTTCGAGTACGTTAGCAGCACTTTTCCTTGATCAATTCTTTTCAAAGTAAAATATGCGCATGAACAAAAATGACACTATCATAAGGTTATGACAGCTGATTGATATAACATAATCAAGCTAAATTGAGAAAATAGACAAATCCAACATTTGGATTTTCACCTGGGATTGGGTGGTTTGCTGTTTTTTTTTTTTTCCTGTGTAAAATGGCTTGCTGTTATTTATTAATAAGACTTTAGTGATTCAGTTTCACCACCAACCTAAATCTGGCTATATACATACAGGGGGGTTATAAAGGTTTCTATTCCAAGAATACTGTTACTCTAACACCCAAGGTGGTCAATGATATTCACAAGCGTGGAGGTACAATTCTTGGAACATCAAGAGGAGGCCATGATAAGACTAAGATAGTTGACAGCATCCAGGATCGCGGAATTAATCAGGTTTGCTATGTGCTTAACACATTCAGAAAAAAGATTTCTGAGCAGGTTATTGTTATGGCATGAGTGCTTACTGTTTTAGTTACGGTTAAAGGTTTACATTATTGGAGGAGATGGAACTCAGAGAGGAGCAGCTGTGATTTATGAGGTACACTGAATCAAAAGATGTCATGTTAGAATTCTCCCCCCGGTCAATTAAGATGGACATTTATTTCACTCAAAGAAGAAATATTTTTAATATATATATTCTTACTAATATGCATCTGGATGTGTACATATCATCTGCATCATCATATTTGCCGCCTTTGTAGTCCTACTGGTTCAATCCAGATTAGAATCCAATGTAGTTTTTAGATGGTACTTTGACGCTAAAATGTGTGTGTGTAATTGCCTTTTGTTGTTTGTTCACGCGGTTAAGTCATTGGTTGATTGGTGAATAGTGCTTTAATAACTTAATTCTAAAGTCTAGTTATCCTTATACCTTTGTTATTTCTGATATTGTACTCCTTAGAAAGCAATTAAGGCAATAAATTCTTGTACATAAAACCGGTTGCCAAAAATGTTTACGAGGTACATAGTGCAATAAATGGCCCTCGATACTTGGGTTCAGCTTGGTGGAAATTCGAATTGAACATGTGGGTGAATATGACCTAAAAGCAATATGGAGTGGTGAAATAGTCTGATTGTCCCAATATCGTTCCTACCATCTTTCGTTATATGAGGCAAGCATTCTAAACAGACATTGGTTATCATACAGGAAGTCAGACGGCGAGGTCTCAAAGTGGTGATTGCTGGGATTCCTAAAACCATAGATAATGACATCCCGGTATGCTTAATCACATGGTTTTAATTTATTTATAATGAAATCTTTTTATCATCACTACTTTTGCCAGAGGAGTTTATTATTAATAAAATTAACTTCAATTTCCTTTCTTTGCTTTAGGTTATTGACAAGTCCTTTGGTTTTGATACTGCCGTTGAGGAGGCTCAACGTGCTATCAACGCAGCACATGTTGAGGCTAGTAGTACTGAGAATGGAATTGGAGTTGTAAAGCTAATGGGACGCTACAGTGGTACACTTCACATTTGGGTTTGATTCACCGATATCTCATAGGCTTCTAATTTAGATTTTGCAGACCCTAAGTCCCCTAATCCAAATATAAATGAATCACTGTTTATCGTTTACTCTCTTTGAATCCTTTTTGTTCATTGTTTTTTATGTTATCATGGGTACTTGTGCCTTCAGGTTTCATTGCAATGTATGCCACTCTTGCTAGTAGAGATGTGGACTGTTGCCTGATTCCAGAGTCACCATTCTACCTTGAAGGAAAGGGTGGACTTTATGAATTTATTGAAAAGAGACTAAAAGAAAATGGACATATGGTTATAGTCATAGCCGAGGGAGCAGGGCAAGATCTTCTTGACGCCATGGATGAGAAAGATGCCTCTGGAAACAAGCTACTTAAAGATGTCGGCCTCTGGATATCTCAGAAGATTAAGGTACTTCATATGATCAAGAATGCTCTTAATATATGATTGTTTTACTGAACTTCCATGTATTAGAGATATTGCATAATGCGAACACAGTTAATTATTCTTTCACGTTTTTTCTGTGTCCACCAGTGTTTTTTTTTTTTTTTAATTTTCAGCTGAACATTTAATTTTCTACAATAGGACCACTTTGCAAGGCAAAATAAGATGCCCATCACTCTTAAATATATAGGTCAGTTTCTCTAATTTTGTCCTCTTCCCTATTTCCCCCTAATTGACTTCTTTGTTTAGTTACCCAAATCTACATATGAGGAGGGATGAAAGTTAGAGGTTAGGAGTACTTAACTGAGTTATCTGTCAGATCCTACTTACATGATCCGGGCGATTCCAAGCAATGCATCAGACAATGTCTATTGCACACTTCTTGCTCAGAGTGCAGTTCATGGGGCAATGGCAGGGTATACTGGCTTCACAACCGGCCTGGTCAATGGAAGACATACATATATTCCATTTAATGTGAGTTATACCTTATGCTATTGTAACAATGTATAACATTTTTTCACTGCATGTGTCTGAGTGAAGCAATGGTCCTCCATTTTTCATGCGAGTTCACCACTAATCCAGAAGGATGGTGATGAAAAACAGCCAATAGAGCATAATGCTTGCTTGCTTTCTTCTCTGCTCTTCCTAAAGTTTCTATAGAGAGTTGGTATATGAACAAGATTAGAATCGTTTCTGACAAAACGATATCATATCCAAAATTTGGCACCCAGAGAATCATTGAGAGGCAGAACAAGGTTGTAATTACTGATAGAATGTGGGCAAGACTCCTTTCTTCGACCAACCAGCCAAGCTTTATAAGTCCAAAAGATGTTAATGAAACTAAGGAGGAGGAGCTGCCCATCACTCTGTTGTTGGACAGGGACGAATGTGAGGATAAACAACCGTCAGAAAATAATGCCAAAAACCATATCAGGACGGAGAAGAAAGGAAACAAGTAGACATCAGCTTCTTCATCTGCTACCATATGCGGGGGAACATAGCTTGAAGAGTAAGCGATTTACTTCTTTTCTTACATTGGCAATTTATTTTTTTATTTTTTAAATTATGGCCATGTTCCAGCTTGGTCATATCATCTGTATTTTTCATTAAGTGGACTAATGGTGTCTCTTCAAAGTTAAGGAATCAAAAACAGAATTAAATAAATTTAAGAGATGAAACTAAAAGCTGAAATAAAACTCTTGCTTCTTGTCATTCTTTTAAAAAAATTTAGTGATTTTAAAAGCCACGAGATAAAAAATGAAAATAAATAAGTTCATGGGATGAAAATAAATTTTAATGTGAAGAAGTGAAGATGTACGCTTCTGTTGCTTTCTTTCTTTTTTTTTCATTTTTTTTTGGGGGTAGGGAGAACGGAGTTAACTTTTAACACTAATACTAGATATTTAATAAACCTGTGACGGATTAAGGATTTATTTGGTATACTTAGCACAATTAAAATTGTCATTCTTAAGGAAAGCATTGTAAGTATTAGGAGCGCCATAAGCGTAGCAACGACCCTCCTGGGTGTTATAAATCTTCAATTTTAAATCCAGTCAAGGCCACATGCGATCTCAGTGGAGTTGCTCCCAACTAATACAATCAAACTTTGTGTGCATAATTTTTAATTAAAAGCAACATTTGATCTAACTCAATACTTCTACTTCTATTGCTTTAAACTATATACTACTCGAGTCCTAAATATAAGAATTAGCTGACTAATTTGAGTAGATTAAAAAAATAAGTTAAGTTAATTATTTGTAACAAATCGGTGTTGGTTTTTCTAAAATATCCTTGTTAATCAAGTATATTAGCTAAAACTATCATGATTAAAAGGACTATCTTGAAGAAAAATAGATAAATATGAGAGACATAGTGGATTGGGATCTTATATTTAGAATCAAAATAAAAGTCAAACAAAATTTTATATTAAAAACCAGAGGTAGTATTGTGGACTTAATTTATTTTGGATAATGGAGTTCAAGTGTTCAACCATCTATGAGCTTATTCCTCTGCACATCAAGTGGGCTACATGATAATCCCCTGATTGTTTCAATGGTTATTCGTGATTTTCCTTTTTCATACGGGAACACGTTATATCATTTTTATGCCATGACTGATAAATATTTTAAGTTTTGGGCCCTTTATTGGGAAAATCAAAAAATTTCACATGGTAAGGTAGAATAGGACCCTGCTTAAGCACATGAGAAAAGAGTCCTATTGTAGCATCACGGCACCTTAATAAAATATATAGGGAGAACAACAAGCCGTTGAAGATGAAGAAACCAAAACTCAAAACAAGGATGTAGGTATTCAGCCCTATTGGACTTCGATCAAATTTATGGGGAAAACAAAAGCAAAATAAATGAGCTCAAAATTAAACGAAAGAACTAAAAATAGATAATAAGAAGGGAAAAAGACAAAAAAAATGACATGTTAACTTGGGAATGAAAATACCAAATTGTCATTCATTTATTTATTATTTTCAAAATACGAAAGCCCCCACTAGTTGGCCGGTCGCCGAAACTCTGGTGGAGGCAGTCACCGGAGCTTTGATGACTGGCCGACAATTAGTCACTAGAGCTCCGACAGTCAGAAATAATTTTTTGACAATTTTTACAACTTCAATATAACAGTTAACTACTTTTATAACGCTATTAACAACTTTAGTATAGCAGTTAACAACAGGTTTTTTAGGAAATTCAATAAGCTCCGGCGACCGGAAACAATTTTTTTGAAAATTTTTACAACTTTAGTATAACAGTTAACAACTTTTATAATGCTATTAATAATTTCAATATATCAGTTAACAACAGGTTTTAAAGGAAATTCAACAATTGGTTGTCAAAGTTTCGGCGACCAGAAACAATTTTTTAAAAAAATTTTACAACTTCAGTATAACGGTTAACAACTTTTGTAATGCTATTAACAATTTCAGTATATCAATTAACAACAGGTTTTTCAGAAAATTCAACAATTGCTCCGGCGACCCGAAACAATTTTTAAAATTTTTTTACAATTTCAGTATAATGGTTAACAACAGGTTTTTTGAGAAATTCAACAAGTTCTAGTGGATGGAAACAATTTTTTTAAAATTTTTTATAACTTCAGTATAACAGTTAACAACTTTTGTAACGCTATTAACAACTTCAGTATATCAATTAACAACAGGTTTTTTGAAAAATTCAACAATTAGTCGCCGGGGCTTCAGTGGCTGGAAACAATTTTTTTTTTAAATTTTTATAATTTCAGTATAATAGTTAACAACTTTTGTAAAGCAATTAATAACAGATTTTTTGATAAATTCAAAAATAGTATTTTTACAACTTTAATAATACCATTAACAAGTTCCAAGCAATTAATAACAGATTTTTTGATAAATTCAAAAAATAGTATTTTTACAACTTTAATAATATCAGTAACAAGTTCCATAACTCTATTAACAATTTATATATAGTATTTAACAACATGTTTTCTTAAAAATTCAAAAAATAGCATTTTTGTAACTTTAACAACTACTGTTTTTAAAAAAAAAATTATAATTTCAGTATAGCGATTAACAACTTTTATAATGTTATTAACAATTTCAGTATATCAATTAACAATAAGTTTTTTGAAAAATTCAATTTACAACTTCAGTAATATCTTAACAAATTCCATAACTTTATTAACAACTTTGATATAAATTTAACAATAGGTTTTTCTAAAAATTCAAAAAAATAGCATTTTTATAACTTTAACAACTACTTATTTTTGAAAATTTTTACAACTTCAGTTTAACAGTTAATACCTTTTATAATTCTATTAACAACTTTGATATAGCAGTTAACAATAGGTTTTTCGAGAAATTCAACAAATAGCATTTTGACAGCTTCAATAATACCGTTAACAAACTCAAAAACCTATTGTTAACCGTTATACTGAAATTCTAAAAAAATTTTAAAAAATTGTTTCCCATCACCGGAGCAATTGTTGAATTTCCCGAAAAACCTGTTGTTAATTGATATACGGGAGTTGTTAATAACGTTACAAAAGTTGTTAACTGTTATACTGAAGTTGTAAAGATTTTTAAAAAAATTGTTTCCGGTCGCCAGAGCTCCGACAACTAAATATTGAATTTCCTGAAAAACCTGTTGTTAACTAATATACTGAAGTTGTTAATAGCGTTATAAGAGTTGTTAACTGTTTGTAAAAATTTTCAAAAAAATTGTTTTCGACCGCGGGAGTTTGTTGAATTTCCCAAAAAACCTGTTGTTAACTGCTATAGCGTTACAAAACTGGTTAACTATTATACTAAAATTGTAAAAATTATCAAAAAAATTCTTTTTGACCGCGAGAACTTCGGTGACCAATTGTTCGCCGGCCACCGGAGTTCCGGCCACTGGCTGGCCAGTAAGGGTTCTGATATTTTAAAAACAATAAATAAAATGAAAGGCAATTTAGTCTTTTTATTTGCCAAGATAATGCCAGTTTGGTCTCATATGACCAAAATGGGATTATGCAAGTTCGGACATTCTGGTCATCCCCAAATTAACATGTCATTTTTTTGTCTTTTTCCCTGATAAGAAAACCACGAAAGTTCTAATTTCTCCCAACCTGCAGTCCGTACAATCCCTTAACTTGTACGTATATCGATGCGAAATATATTAGTTGAACTTGTCACAGACATCGGCTAATTCGCCAGATCTCAAAGCTTTTTGCCTTATGATGCATTTGCTTGTGAGAAATGGATGTAAAGGAGAAAAAAAAAAAAAAAGAGGTTAACCCGAGAAATTGATACGAATTCTTAGTCTTTGGCAAAAATTTGTATTGTTGCTTCATCTTTAGACTTACTTTAGTTACTAAAATCTAGTAATTAAATTAAAATTTAGAAAAATTAATTGTTTAATTTCTAAACTCATATGACTCAGTTCCTCAAATTTCGGTCATTTCATTATTTAATCTCTACATTTTTTATAAAAAAAAAACTAATCTTTTAAGGGAGTTATAAAATATAATGACCAGTCTTTATTAGAAAATATATGCACATTTAATACTTAACAAAGCTTCTAATAAAAAGATACCTGTGCATAAAAAATAAAAAAAAACTTAAGAGACCAATAAATTAAATGGTTACAACTTTTAGGTTTTGAAATAAATCAAATCAAAAGTATGAAAATTTAATTATTGATTTTTCCGTAAATTTTGTTTGCTTCCGCAAAATATACATACTTTTTATTTGGAGTACAAGTACTTGCTCCCCTTTTTGGTAGTACAAGAAACTTCGGGGCTGCATGAGCGCTCGAACATATTTTACTTTGAACTAGAGATCACAAGTCAATTCCCGATTTCTCCCCGCAGGGCTTACAACAATCAAATAATAACTAGTAACATATATCAATGGAGGGACAAGAATATACGTACGTAACACATGCTGGATATCAAATAGACCTCATCTCTACCGAGCGACTGCTACAGACAGTTTACATTACACTTTCCGGATCCAGAAAGCTGCCATCTTGGGAATGAAATACTAGCATTTGTATACACCAGAGGGCTCTGCGTTCTGAACAATCCACGGATGTTCCAGAAGCTTGTGTAATGGTAGACGTTGAGAGGAATCCTTCACCAGCATCTGTTGCCGACAAGTAGCAAAGGGAAAAATGCTCAGACAAAGTGATTGACAAAAATATGTTGAGAGGGAAAAGCGTGAGAGCACAAAAAAAGGAGACCTGGCTGATGAGGTCCTTTGCAGCAGAGGACACAATTGGTTTGGGAGGAAACTTGAGATCCACTTGGATTATTCTGCAAAATATGATCAGAATGTCCAGATGCTTAACAATGAAAGACATCATAATATCAATTTGATTCCTTCCACATTCATCATATAATTTAATTAGTCATCATGTGAAAACAAAGACCTAGTAGGATTATCTAGGTCCCACGGATAATGCAAATGCTAGTTTAGATTCTCATGCTTACCTTCTGTATGTCTCAGAATGTTCTTTAGCCTCAAAAGGAGGGACTCCATATAGAAACTCATAACACAGGACGCCAAGGCTCCATATATCAACGCTTGCATCATGTTCTACACTCTCCACTGTTGAAGCATCAAAATAAGAAAATTAGGAGTTACATCGGAAAAAATGATGCTTGTAATGATAAAAATGGATGAAAAATATAAATCAACAAACGCATTGATACATACCCATTTCAGGAGGAAGATAATCTAGTGTGCCACACATGGTCCGCCTGCGGTTAAATGTGTGCACCGACCACCCAAAGTCTGCAATTTTCAGTTCACCCTGACAAATAACGTGATCAGCACAAGATAAACAAAATAGACAACAGTCTAGATAAACACACCTGGGCGCCAATAAGAAGGTTCTCAGGTTTAATGTCTCTATGTATTACATGCTTTCCATGGCAATATATGAGGGCTCGGGCCAATGAAGCAACATACTGCTCAAATCACAAACAAAAACCATAACTAAACAACGTTTAAAAAACAAAAAGAATCAACAGCAAAACAGTTAATGATGTCTTCTGACAATAGCATTCTCCTCATCATTTATCACACATGATGGCGCGAGTATGCATTCTGTACTCTATAGCACTGAAGTTGGACGAGTTATCAAACTAGTTCCAGTTTTGTACACTTGATTCAATTCAAATTAAGAAAAATAAAACTTAAGTTAGTAGACCGCATAAATTCGTCAACAAAAACTCCACAGGGGAGGAACGATATAGAAAGGATAAGCGCAGTTGCATGACATGTACTCACAGTAGCTGCACGTCTTTCACTGAAATATTTGCATTTCTGTAATTCCTTGTAAAGTTCACCTTTTGGGGCGTACTCTAAAATCAAATAAACGCGTTTCTGCAGGAAAGTAGTATGATAGACAATATGTTAATACGCAGCGTTATCTCCCCTTCTCAGCAAAACACAGAAGGAAGAAGAGGAACCTGATCATAAAAGTATCCATAAAGGCGTAAAATGTTGGGATGTCGCAGATGACTTTGGATTTCAACTTCTCGCCTAAGTTGATGCTCAACTTGGGACTGTTGCAATTGGCTCTTGAAGAGGACTTTCAGAGCAACAATGTGATTACTCTGTTTCCGATGCACATATTTCATCAAATTAATTACACAGACAAAACAAAGAAATAGAAAAGGTGAATTTTCACAACTATTGCATAAAAAATGTAATGGAAAAAAAAGTGACTATATTAGATTGATATGAAGGGTTTTGCATGGTAAAATGAAATGTGTGTTTTACAAAGACATATACCCCACATAAACATTGCCCAGGCGACTGGGCTTAGCTCAAGTGAACCGAACCCTGAGGGATGGCAAAAAGCGAAAAAATCGATGACTTGTGTATAAAGGTAATGTGAAAAAAATTATAGGCCAAACTGATACACAGACACCCCTGTGAAACGAATAAACTAATTCAATGTAGCAGAGATCTGATTTAACCATTACCAGACATAATAACCCAATATTTCTTTCGAAAAAAAGGCAACTATAACCTCAAGTGAAGTGAACCCTGAGGGATGGCAAAAAGCGAAAAAATCAATGACTTGTATATACAGGTAATGCGAAAAAATTTATAGGCCAAACTGATACACAAACACCTCTGTGAAACGAATAAGCTAATTCAATGTAGCAGAGATCTGATTTAACCATTACCAGACATAATAACCCGATATTTCTTCCAAAAAAAGGCAACAGTTAGAATGCCAATCAAAGTAAGAAAAACTTACTCTCTTTTCTCTGGCCAAATAGACATGCCCAAATTTTCCCCTTCCAAGAGGCTTTCCAATATCAAAGTCGTTGAGGGTCCACCTTCTATTCTCCACAGCAGAAGCCTCAGAAGAAGCCTGAAATTGAAGTAAGAAAAAAGAAGAGTTAAGACGAACACGCATCTCATATGCGAGTGCAAGATCTTGTCGCAAATGGCTACTATACAAATTCGGAATTCAGGAGGAGCCCAAGGCTTCGATTGGACCACCCTGATTTGAAATTCCTATTCCTAACTAGTTTAAAATTTAAATTCAGAGGAAAGGACACTCTTAAGAAGAATGAAAAAAACAGAAGAGAAGCAAGATTTGACGTCTTCGACAAATATAATTCCACGATTCACGAATTCTTTACGCTCTTTGTTAATAACCGGAGGTTCCAGAATCGCATTGACAATTTCAGATATCTTTTGTCTTTCTCTATTTCCAAGTCGGACATTACAATCAATGCATCCCATAGAAGAATTAAAAACACCTGTAACAATATCTACGACCTTGAATCGGAAACCCTAGGTTCTGGATTCGTCAATGCGATGGAGAAATCGACTATTATAAGATGGGAGATAGAGAGAAAAATGTCATATCATATTATCTTACGGACTACCTTGTCATAAGATGGGGGCTGAGGCTGAGTCTCTGCTGCAATCGCCATGAGTTCGCGACGGACCGAGAATTACGATTCGGAGAAGAGAGATGAAACGAATAGGAGCTTGCAAGGACCGGCCGGAAAGGGAGAATTATTCAATGAGCTTTACAACGGTCGAGTGCTGATTATCCGCCACGTGGTCCAATACCGCTCAAAACATTTTTCAAATGTTCCCTTACGTTACCCCAAAAAAAAAAAACAAATAAAAGAAGAAAGACTGAAAGAGGAGCGTCTTACGAGATCTGAGTTTTTAAACTCGGAAGTCATTGATTAGAAGCCAAACACTTCTTGATATGCAAAATAAGTATGAAAAAAAAATCTTAATTTACGTAAAATTATTTTTTAAAAGTATTTTTTTGTCCAAACAAAATAGCCTTTAAGTTTCAAGGATTAACACTAATCTCAAAATGGATTATGCACCTTTTTGGCTTTGAGCAAGGTTTTTTCCCCAAAAAAAAATATCGTGGATCAAATTATTGTGAGGTTCCAAATAAAAAAACAAGATAATTATTAAAAAATTTAAATAAAAAGATTAGAACCTATTATTAAAAGCTTAATTGTTATGACACTTTTTAGTATTTATCCTTTTTTTTTTCCTTTCTCAAGACTTTAGCAATTCTTCCTAATTATTAATTCATCATCAATCAAATTATTATCATAGCAGTTTTTTTTTTAAAAAAAAAAAAAAAGCAGCTATTTTAGGCATTCCGTGCCTATTCTCAACGGTCTGATTGGTTTTTTTGTTGGGGTATGATATCTGTCTAAAATGGACCCACGTTTGCTTTCCGTATATTGTCCAGCCCATTCCCTGAAATGTGCTCGCCACTGGGAGCCCAGCTTTCACAGGTCAGGGAGCATGAACAGTTGCTTCTTTGTTGGGAAAATTATCCCAACACACGTTAGCACAGATGGATGAGGATCTGTGTCTGGAGGATGGGAATGGAGCTGGCTTGTTTGGAAGGGTAGCCCCATAATTAGGCCTCTGCAAGTCCCGAGTGGGAGGATACTCTAGAGTTTCACAAAAAAAAAAAAAAAAGTACTCACAGGCTTTAAATAAAAAAATTAAATACAAATAGATCATCTAAATTAACCTCCATATTTATAAGTTGCATTATGTCAGTCAAACTTATAAATATTAATTTTTTAGAATCTATTGGTCCGAAATGAAATTTAGGGACCTATAGTATTTTATTGAAATTCATGAGTAATTTTGTCTGATTTTTAATGACACCGATTATGCTCGGACAAAAAGAACATAGATCAGTGTATTTATAGCTCTGGCTGGCACCAAGTGTAGAACCATTACAGAGACACAGATTTTTCTAATAAAAAAACAACGAGTATACTAAAAAATAAGAGGCCTGCATTTTTTTTTATTTAAGACGATAACTTTTATAATGAATTCTCTTTTTGAACGGCTTCCGTAGAGAAAGTGATGAAAAAGGAAATGGGTGAGAAACGGCCATATTTACAGAGAAGGGACACTAGTCAGTTAGGGAGACAGGTGTTGGTAAGGTGGGAGATGCAATTTCATGCAAAGCCGCCACCAGACTCAAAGCATTCTCAACTCGTGCCGCGTAATCTGCCACTCGGCTCCACCTCTTTCCTATATACCACTTCTCTCCTTCTTCACATGACCCCCCATTAGTCTCTGAAATCTCCTCTCCACCAAACAGCTCTCAAATATATCCCACTTCTCCTTCCTCAGCCTCACCATGGCTGACTATTCAACAAGACCAGCCTACTACGATGATGTTTCCAATTCGAACCAACCCCCCGCACGCCAAGCCGTCAAGTTCTTGACGGCTGCCACTATTGGAGTCACACTCTTGCTCTTGTCGGCGCTCACCCTCACCGGAACTGTTATAGCCTTGATCGTGGCAACCCCACTTTTGGTTCTGTTCAGTCCGATCTGGTCCCTGCAGGGATAGCTGTTTTCATGGCTGCTTCTGGGTTTGTGTTCTCCGGCGGCTGCGGCGTTGCGGCCATAGCTGCATTGTCGTGGATATATAACTACGTCACCGGCAAGTACCCGGCGGGTTCTGATAGGCTTGATAATGCCGGCAGGTTGATTGGGGACAAAGCCAAGGACTTTGCGACTTATGGGCCGGGAAGGGCTCAGGAGGCCATTATGGGGCATCAAGCTTATGCGTCCGGTTAATGGAGAGTGGATTGATTTCATTTGAGTTTGCTTGTTAAGTCCTCGTGCGTTGTAGTGTTGTATCTTCTGTCTGTTAGTGTCATGTGTTGCTCTGGTTTTTGTTCACTGTTCGTCTTCGTAGCTAATCCCCTACCACTACATATATTTGTGCAATCTTCTTAATAAATCTCTTTTCCGGTTAAATGTCTTCTCTTGTTAAGATATATGTGGTAGACAAGAATGAGTAAGACTAGCATTTACACACCTTGTGGCTCGCAAAGTCATTATGTGTGACTGCTCCACTGGTTCTTTTCTGCAGTCCAGCAACTTTATCTTACCTCAGAGCCTTGGATCCAGAAGTTTCTGAAACCTAGTTAGCTGGCCTTAACTAAGCTGTCCTTGGGCGAGGAATTCTGACCCTGAGCTTGTGGAGGATAGTTGCGGATAATTTACCATGTCCTGCAACATCAACAGAGAGAAAAGGAAATTTACAAGCAAGCATGAAACGAGAGTCAGCAAGTTACTTTGCCAAAAAGAGTTCTCCGGGATATTAAGTCATTGCACGATGACCCAAAAATTAAAGGGGCCAAAATAACCCACCACTCGGCGCTTATTGTGGGTCTTGACCTTCCAACATGGACTAGCCAGCCAGATATAGAACCAGATGATGAGCATCACGAGCTCATTATACTGAATGTCTAATTTAAATAGTCTAGATTTAAAAAATTTTAAAAATTATTTTTTAAAAGAATGATAATTAAGGTATTATCTCTATTTTATAATTATTTTGAAAAAATAAAAATAAAAAAAGTAAATCCGAATCATTATAGATTCATATCTAATGAGTTTAGAGTCTCAAACTGGTTCCACCAGATACCCGTCAGGATGCGTCAAGAGCGTTTTCAGAAATGGAACTCGTTACTTGTGTTCTCATCATGGAAAGTTAAAACTGTTCACCACTGCGCCGGGTAGATTATGATTACTAATACCAATAGCACGAAATATACAAATACAGGAATAAACCGCAAGTGCGACGGGTTGATTACTAATATACGAATAGCACTAAATATTCGATTATATGTCATGCTATCTAATACTGAGAATGCACTTCGGAATTAACACATTTCTTGTACACATTGGAAAAGAAAGAACCACAAAATACTTTGCTTTGGACCATTCATACAATACACACAGGCGTCTGTGTCAGAATATATATAGGAAGGCAACTGATTTGAGGGTCTTGGCCCCTAGCAACACATAGAAAAGGAATACTACTTGAATGCTGTTGAAAATAATATCATAATACTTCTTTATAACGACGAAATCCAAATGAATGATACATTTAGTAATCAAATTGATGATTTATTAAAAGGTTAAATTACATCCAGTACCCAATTTAAATTTTTTTCAATGCATCTAACACTCTTAATTTTTTTCTGTAATACTACTCCTTATCCTTAATAAAAGAGTTAATTGAATATTTTGAGTAGTTTAAAAAATTAGTAAACTTAGTTATTTGTGATAAAAAAAATTTGTCATATGTAAAATATTCTTACTAATCAAATATATTAACTAGAACTACTATTTAATGAAAATTCTAATATGTATAACTCTTACAAAAACTATATTGAAATAAATAAATAAACATGAAAAACAAAATGAATTAAATTCTTATATTTAAAACCAAATTTAAAATCAGACTAACTCTTATATTAAAGATAAAAAATAATACATTTAGCACTCTAATCTTTTTTTTTGTGCATCAAGCATCTTAATTTTATTTGTAGTGCTTTCAAAATGCCAAATATAACTAAAAAAATATCAAAATGCTAAATGCACAAAAAACAAAAACAAGATTATGATCTGATTGAACCAAGGTACAAGATATGCACCTACTTAGAAAATCAACGTGCTAATCCACTTTTATGAAGAAATTGATCGTACATAGATAAATGAAGATAGTTGCTGGAGAAATGCATTCCAACTCCATAGTCACTAAAGCAGTCGTCAAATCTTCGCCAATAAACGTGGGAAAGCAGTGCGACTCGTAATTAGAACCTGAAACGTTACTTGGTAGGGCAAAGGCCTGAGTCGGTGTAACCCCTTGTCATGCCTCAGAATATGCTCGAGTACAAGACTACACCAACTTGCCATGCCCTAGCATTGCCACCAAAGTTATCCTTTCTTTAAAGTGACGGATTCATCAGACAGGACAATTTTACTTCTAAACATCAAACAGTGTTACAGACGATTTTAGGCTCCCCTCACTCTGAAAGAGTGACAGCTGGTATGATCCAACAGTGACATGACCCAAGGACTGTATGGGACCCCCTCCCAAATCCAGATAAAACTCCTCCCAAACATACCATAAAATCACTTTTAAAATCATGATTTAGTTTTCATCTAAATTCATCAAGTCAAGCCATGATGGAAAACCCATACCAACACTGCCATTCATAATGGATTAATAGTAGAGATAGATATCGCATGAAATTTCACAGTATATATATTCTCGGTGGAATTACACTTTGGTACAAAGAACTGAAATTTCCTTCGGGTCATGATCTAATAGAAAGCATTCACAAATTGGACAAAATGTTAAAAGCGTTAGTTGAGAAAAGTCGATAGACTGTTCTCTAGTCAGTACTCATTAGCATCATATTTACACTCCAGGGAAACTAAAGGATCAAAAGGCTCATTTAAAATTAGGGGTTACAGTAATGAATGCCTCTATTTCTTTTTCCTTTTTTTTCTCTACTTTGAATTTCTGTATAACTATTTGTCCCCAGTTGCGTTTTACTCCACCTGTGTCAATATTTGACCTATTCTAGAGATCATTATGAGGATGAGACATATCAAGAGAATAAATTAAGGGGAAGGAGAAAAATAAGGGGGGAAAAACTAGTTAATGTGGAACATATGGTGTGAACGCGCCCTCATGACTGCCAGAACAGCTCAAAATCGTCACTATACAACGAGCGATCTTGAATCTCCAGATTGGCAACATGCCAATTAACGAGTTGGGACTGGAATAATTTACACAAAACCAGTCCAGCTGGGAATATCCACCATTCACTTTCATCCCTGCATCCCCAAGCAGTGAGCCCACAGAAAGACATCAGATCTTCCCACGTATGTAGCTCCCAAAAAAAAAAAAAAAAAAAGCAAGAAACACACTTACATGCTAATACTCCATGGTTGAAAGCTTGGATGTTTTTTACTGGATGATTGAGAGTTGTAATGGATATATCCACAAAGAAATGCAACCACCTTCAGAAAAAGATATAAACAAATCATTCCCAATTTAAAAATGTACAAGAAGGAAATTAAACATCACATATCACCTATCAGATTAATTGCGAAAACTTACAACGTTTATGAAGGACGAAAGGTTCCACAGAGCATAAACACGGGCAAGCCCTGCAGAATGCCTTGGTCCGTGACTGAAGAGGGCATTAATTCCAGCAGGAAATGGAAGAAGAATGCCAAAAGGCAATATAAACAAAACAAGGAAGACATCCACCAAAGAAATCGAATACAACTGCAGCAAAGTAAGCAATACTAAACTAAAATCTCCTAGCAGCAGCATTGAAATCACCAAACCAACGAGATCCTGCAATTAATCAAAAGGAAAGGACTTTAAAATGATGGCAATAACGACAAGAGAATTCGCAGCTCATAAATTAGAATTAGTCAACACAAGATACCTGATGTCCAACAGGCTTTGTATTATGAAGTACAAGAGAGAGAGGATAAAATATATCTCTCTTTTCTTCAAGCATCTGTAAATTGTTTGAATCTATAACAGTCCCATGTGTCTTTCGCCTAATATAGTTGTCATCAATTATTTCACTTGAGCTCAAGAGCACTCCTCTCGGATGCACTGAAGAATGTTCCTTCTTCACACCCCGAACCCTGGAAATAAAAAAAATTCAAGTAACTCAAGTTTTCCTTTAAACAAAAAAGGATAAACTATCCCATATCAATGATACTATATATCCTCATCTGCATCATCACGATATGACATCATTTTTTTATAATTTTTGGTGGACGCATAATTGTCATGAAGATAATAAGAAGTTCCAACTCAACAAATTCTATATCAACTTGGACAACATTGTTTGTGTGTCTACAAGAACGAAATACTAAAATGCATATCATGGTCTCCCATTTGGAAGCTGTAAAGAATAAGTACCATGATATCTCCTCAACTCTTGCTGCTCCATCAATACTTCCTTCAGTGGGTGCAGGGTTAGTTCCTCCTTCAAGTGCATAAACCACAAGTCCATATTGGCAATAACCACTAGGTGTAGCCTGAAAGCAGGCAAGATCAACCCGTACACGATGGATTCTTAATGCAGGATTGGCATGAGTCTCAAGCCATCTGAGGACAGGTCGAAATGTTACTCTCAGTCTTCCACGGCGAACTAACCGCAATTGTGCATTCAACCCTGCAACCAATCGGTACCATGTGGTGGGAGGGACTGACTGCAAACATAAAAAAAGATACACAAATACCAAGTGCCCAGAGAATGGACAACAAAATTTAGCCCTCTGCAACCAAATAAATTTATATCTGTATGGTGAAACGCAATTGTTTGAGTTCCTCAAAATCAATATGCAAACCTGACTCATGAGGCTGGTAAGGATATTATCATTGTGAAGAGAGAATGGAGCCATATAACTTCCATCACCTCCAAAAAGTAATGACATTGGGTATCTTTGACACAATCGAGGGGGGAGGTCAGTTCTTTTTTCATCCCCACCAAGAAAGAAATCCACATATGCAAGCATCAAGTCAGAAGTTGCAGCGACCTAGAACATTCCAGACACGTTAACATTCAGACAGCCAAAAATAATCAGATCAGAAGCACAGGCGAAACTAATTGTTAAAATGGGAGAACCACCCTACTTAAAACAATCATGCTACTCAATGCAGGACTTAGATATCTCATACCATCTATGTCTCTATCCATTGGCATCTTTTGGAAAGCCAAGGTCTCAACAACTATACAACACTT